AGCAACCCAAAATTCTGTCATTTAGCAGCATTTTACTGAATAGAGTCAGTAAACCGATATTTTTCTTATTAGGAGCGTGCAGCTTCTGAAGAAGATTGTTGATACAAATACACAAATAATATAGAGTCACCGACAAGATCACCTGGCTCGTTGCCATTTATATTTTATTAGATACAACCAGTGTATCAGTGTATTTAATTTTAATTACTTCCTCCTCCTCCTATGTGGTGCGTACGCAATGAGTTGGATTACAGAGGTGAAGCAATCGGTTAAGTTGTGTGAGTAAAACCCCTGTACGATACAAGCAATGAGAGACGTCACTACTTGCGTTTACGTTGATTTTTTGGTTTACTAATACAACAATATTTCACGATCTGCTTCACCTCTCTCTGTACTCATTGGTGCGTACGTACTTGCGACTGTGACGCTAACAGTTTGACAGTTCATTACTGGGTGGTGTCCAGCAAACCGTTTATGCGTTTATGTTAGCTGTATTTTTCGGTAAAAAATATCGTTTGCTGTCTTTCAGTAAAGCATTGCTTTGCTGATCATGATCCAGCAATTCGTTTTACTGAAATCTATAAATCTATTTACTGAAATTCATAAATCTCAAATTTGGTGTGTACGCAGTTGAAAAGAAAACGGAAAAGTAATTTTTAAGGAATATTCCCAAAAGTAAATTTGACAGCTATACACAGCAAAAAAAAATGTAATATCGATCAACGTAATTCAAACTGATGTATGAAATAATGATGTAATAGCAAAAAGCAGATACAATATTACATCAATGGATGTAATTTTGTTCGCAAAATCGATGTACATCGTACAATGTGATATTGCACAACCGATAGATTGACCTGGTTGCAGCAGTTTCGATGTAATATTCAACAACTTTTTTTGCTGTGTAGGGAGGTGTCTTTTGCTAAATTTTGAGATCATAGGGGGGTGTCGTTTTATTTTAAAATCAACAATTCAGTGTCAACATTTCAAAGGGGCGTAATTGCTTTTGTAAACAATGACTTTAGCCGTCAATTTCTCGCGAATGATATCTTACCTCTCCAAAATTACAATGCTAGCTGGTAGAGGAAACATTCCAGTGAGATTTTATTTGCGAGAAATCTATGGCTAAAGCCATTGTTTACAAATGCAATTACGCCCCTTTGAAATGTTGGCACTGAATTATCAGTTTTTATAGCATGGTACGCAGCTGAAAAGTAACGATGTTTTTACGTGCTACGGGATAGGACACGGAATGCTAAAGAAATTTCTTTCAATTAGCATTTCTTGACCCAGTACGCAGTTCAAAAGAAATCGGTAACATCACATAACATAACACATCGATTACATTAGTATCGTGATCGATATGAAGGTGGCGCATTCTGATGGAATTTCATTTTCCTTGCGGAATAATGGTCTGACCAATTATTCCGTTAGGTAATTTTAGCGTTTGTTGTAAAAATGATGTTTTGGATGCATTTTAACAACATAAAAATTGATAATTGTTGATTTTAAAATTAGACGACACCTACCTATGATCTCAAAATTTAGCAAAAGACACCTCTAGCTGTCAAATTTACTTTTGGGAATATTCCTCAAAAATTACTTTTCCGTTTTCTTTTCAGTTGCGTACTAGGCTTATGTTGTTAAAATGCATTCAAAACATCTTTTTTTACAACAAACGTTAAAATTATCTAACGGAATAATTGATCAGACCATTATTCCGCAAGGAAAGTGAAATTGCATTCAGAATGCGCCACATTCATGTCGATCACGAATCTAATGTAATCGATCTTTCCTTTACCGATTTCTTTTGAACTGCGTACTGGGTCAAGAAATGCTAAGGAAAAGTAATTTCTTTAGCATTCCGTGTCCTATTCCATAGCACGTCAAAACGTCATTACTTTTCAGCTGCGTACCAGAATTTAAACAATAACCATAAGGAGGAGCGCCGTACCACCAATTCGGAATATCATCCCAACTTTAAGGTTATGGTCGTACCATATATGATATCGTTAGTGTATGGTACTCGTTTATTAGGGTTACTTATCGTTGTGATATCGCGATACCTTTTTGGTTCTTCTTCTTCTTAATTTTGGATTTTAGTGTTCGTGAGTTGCGCTTGGAGATCTCTATTAAAGAGATGCAAGTCGTGTGACACACTCTGTCGCATGGTGTCCAGCAAATCCCAATTAGCAGTTTCCCGTTTTTTCCCGAAATTTTGGAAAATTTCCCGGTTGAGCCTCTATGAAATTTTTTTCTTAGTCACGTTATAACCAAGGTTGCAAATACTCATTTCAGCTAAAATAATGTTTTTCGGAATAATAAAACCAAAAAAAATTGGTATGATGGCATGTTTAACTTGTAACTTACAAGAAGAGGTTACAAAGTATGCGTTTGAAACATATAACCTCTAAATTTTACTTTCTATGAGTCACAATCAGCGATTTTCTGATCGCTGAGTGAGTGAGTGAGTGAGTGAGTTTGTGAAAAATCGCTGATTGTGACTCTCATGAAGTGAAATAAACAGGTTTAATATGTCAAACACATTCTTTGCAACCTCTTCTTGTATTCTACCAATTCAAAATTTGATCATGGCATCTAATTATTTCATAATTTAGAAAAACATTGTTTAAGCTGAAATGAGTATTTGCAACCTTGGTTATAACTCGAGAACGGATTGACGCATTTGCAAGATTATTGTTTTATTTTGTTCATCTTCGACGGGTTTAACAGCAAGGTATTTCAGAGAAAATGTCCTAGTTCTAAAACAGTTTTGACTAGAATTCCAAGTCAATTGTTTTAGTTCAGCTCTGTGGAAAATTTCATGGCGATTGTGAAGAGGATTCCAGGTTCCGCTCAAAATTCCTTGGGAATCGTATTTTAACATTGCTAACATGCTAGGGAACGTTCTTTCGGGATCGTCTTTTCTTCATGCATTTATCATTATTCATACAGTATTAATCATGATCAGTCTTAGAAAACGTTATATGTTTGAGCCCAGTTCTAGATTAGTTTGTTATTAATATCGAGCATTGCAGCTCGCTAGAGGTTACCAAATATGGGTTCTCTTCGTCATCCACAATAGTTTGGGGGAGGGTCAACCGTTGCGATCTGAGAGCGAAATAGAGGCAAATAAAATAGGGAACACAACACCATGACCCAAACGACTGAACCAACTCACACTTAACTTGTTCTATTTCTTTCTTCCTCTCATGTACCAATACTAACTAGATGAGAACAAAGAAAAAATGGCGAGAAAGTATGAGCAAGAAAAGAAGAATTAAATAAGACATGCATCGGAAAGAGTAAGCAGTCAGAAAGGATCACGCCGGTAGGAGACAGCCAATTTATACTGGACGAAACTGGTAAGTAGGATAAGAAGGTGTGTGCCTACTTTAGAATTACCTATAATCCACAACAGAACCTCATTTCCTTCAATTACTACTCCATCGCAACACTCACCTAATAATGAGCACTAACCTTCATATAGTTTCAGCGTTATCGATATTATAATCAAAAGGTGAGTTTTAAAGTAAAATTACCAGACCAGATGACGGACACGAGCCTACCCAGGGGAGGACCCGGACACGAGCCTACCCAGGGGAGGACCCGGATACGACCCCCCATGTGTGTCTAGAGTATCGCACGAGCTGACGAGCGCAACGGGAAGGAAAGTAGGTGTATAGACTAGGGGGTTAGACTTAGCGGTTGGCACATCCTATACACTAAACAATTACAATTACAAAAAACATTGATTGTGCTTGTTTGTTATGATTTTATTTATTTATTTATTTATTTACTTATTTATATATTCCCCCTTATTCTGCGAGTCACGTGACTCTCTCTCACCGGTGAGGTGACAATAGTCACCTCGTGTGAGGTGACTCTCCATTTGATTTGCATGGAGAGTCACCTCACACGAGGTGACAATTGTCACCTCACCGGTGAGAGAGAGTCACGTGACTCGCAGAATTAGGGGGATTATTTATTTATTTATACATTTATTTATTTATTTATGGTTTTCATGGTTTGTAGACAGAGGGTGCAATATATTTTTCCTTGAAAATTTAGGCACAATATATAAAAAAATCAGCGATGTGTTCTTTTTCGTATTTCAGTTATATTTGTTTGAAGTTATAAAGTTTTCGCTCAATACTCCTATGCAACAACGCATGGTAGTTGTGGTGACCATGTTACAGTCACTTTAAATCAATGATCTTTTAAATCGGCCCAGTTATGAATTTCTGAAAAAAATCGATTTTTTGGACCACCCTAACATGGAAATACCCTAATGATAAAATAAAAAAATAATACATATAATTAATTAATTAATAATTTCTAATAATTTGTGATAAGGAACATAACTATATCGTTTTGCTATGGAATGGCTGTATTAGTGTAAATACATGATATCAGTGAGGTGATGAGATGCTAAAAAATGAACCACTAAAGCTCACTTTAGTGAATCGGGTCTTTAGAACAGCTCGGGAGCGGATCGCCCTCACATCGCTAGGTATTACTAACTGCGAAAGAGCAAGCATGACGATTTGCTAGCATATTTACATATTTACCACCAATACTCTATCTTTGGAAATGTAGTGGCGAGGGTTGCTGTGAAGCATCGTCCAAAGTGTATGTTGTCAAGGGAAATTTTCGCCCAAGGATTTTTTTTTTGCGAAGAACAGAAAATCAGATAATTTGATAATTTGAGCACCGACAAGATGGTCTAATAGATCCACCAGAACAGCTAATTACGCATTCATGATTGACAAATACTGACAAGTACCTAAAATCTGTTTATTTACGCAATCTTCTTTTGAAGCAACATGTCCATAACACACATACTTGTGTGTAACTAGCTAAGTCCACAAGTAATGAGCGACACTACCACTTGTGTGTCACATCGGTTCGCTTATTACTCATTAATATACCTAAATATTAATATACAGATACATTGTTGGGATCCGGCAGCAAAAAATGCATTATCATTATAAACTTACCTCGCGATCGTTTTTCCTTTAATTTGGCCTCTCCACCTTGCCACCATAAGGTGAAATCTTCGTTTTTGAAGCTGCATTTTTTGCGCTCGTTCTGTAGATCCTGGTTGACCTTCGAGCTCGGCATATTTGCTGTTGTGCGTACGACGATTACTTTCCTCTGCTCTATTGACGACTGGGAGATATGCACGCGATGTACCACTGACCTCAATTACTGATGTGAATTATTCACTACTTTTTACTAGGTATAGGACGCAACAATTGAGCTAGTATAACTCCCTGCCTTGGTCTGAATTCCAGTAATTCACTCAAACGACTGATGTGAGAAAGTTGCTCTAAACACAGGGTTATGACCATCAGTTTTGTAGATTACTCTAGATGATAATCACTGGAATTAACCTTTGGATCGTAACAACTCACAACTCACTTATTTCGAGACAGCACTGAGAGCTAGCTGTGCACTTACACACGTATTCACTTACTCGAGCGACGAGCTTAAGTGCGAGTCTACCAGTCAACTTTATGCAGCAGCGCTTTTGATAACTTTTTACAGCTCTTGCAAAAATAGCAAAAAACGTTACTTAACTGATAAGAAACCGTATGCTATCACTTGTATTTCTTTATATTGTTATTCGAGCCACAGATTCGGAAGATTGAACATACCTACGTGCATACAACAAAACTTTAACCTGAGAGAATACACGAGAATTTTAAATATTACACGTATTAAATAATAAAAAGAAAATATCGAAAAACTGTCAACAACTAAAACAAAAGCAATTCTCGGACTTCAACAATAACATTGTATAACAACAAAATATGAACTGATTTATACTGACGGAGTTGCGGAGTGAGTCGACGGACGGGACGACACGCTACTGACTGAAATGAGATGAGATTGGGGAAACTCGGGAAACTAGAGTGGGTCTCTCTCTAGGGGAAACATAAATTTTAATGACGGACGACGGACAACAACGAATGACACACGAACAATAAGCTTTCATTCATATTCGAATTGCCATTGAAAGCTCTTTTGGGAACATCCATTGAATACGACACACTATAAACGAAACTAACTCAGAAAGTGAGGCACTTTACTCATTTTTATTTCCATATTCCGGCTTTACTTCCCCATCGAAGCAAGGGTTAATCAGAGATGTTATGCCTTAGAAAATCCCGATGGCGCCGACTGGGATTGAACCCAGGCCCTTTGGAGAGAGAGGCAGTCACGTTTACTCACGATTATTTTTCCGCGCAACAAATCAAACATCTATGTAGACGGAGCATAATTTCTCAATTTTTGCATCAGCTGTCTTAGATTGGCAGATAATCGAGCCAAAGAACCAACAACTTTGGCTTCAAGCAAAATGTTGGTGGATGACGTTTCTGCCACCGGAGTGCGTTTACCACTACACCACCAGCGCAGCTGGTTCTTACTCAGTTGTGAGTCACTTTTATTCATTCGTATCCAAGCTAACTTGAAAGTACCCATTAATTGTTTAAAAAAGTCCAATTGGGTTGTTTATATTCGAAAAATATACCAATTGATATACATCATCTGATAGAGTTTTGTTTTCTGAGCACGATATTTTTATCGATTCCGTAGACATTAATCTCGATTTTTAAATCAAGATTTAAATTTTTGATCGTTGGCACTAAATCTATTCGTTGACAGCTCGCAAGTCCCACCAAGGGGCGCTAAGATGGTGATTTTTTCTAATATAATAGCTTTTATTTAAAATAGTTCCAGTGTTCCAAAATTGCTGAAATTTTAGAGTTCGGTTGGATACTTTCAAGCCACAGTGTAAACAATATTCTAAAACCGTTCACATGGCTACACTGAACCAATTTGACATATTCCTGTTATGTGGAAGTCTAATAAATTTGCGCTATAAGATAATCCATTGAAAATGATATGATTGAAAATGTGTCAGGTAAATTCTATATGAATATCCGATACATTTACAATGCTCATAATTTGGTAACATTTATATGATCGTCATATGATAAATGAAAATCGGTCAAATTATAATAATTAACTGAAATGGATTTGAAACCCATAAGCATAAGCTTTACTTTTCACCACAATATAATATATGTGTCATAAATCAATCGAAGTAAAGTTTATGTGAAAATCACATGAAACTTACTGCTTCTTTTGACACATATATTTAATCGATTTCTAAAAATAAATCGAAAAATAAACATCAGGCAGTGGGAGCTTTAACAGTTGTGTCTTTTTTTTATTGTAGCTGATTTGGGATTCGATCCAGAACTGTTGAGGTGTGATGCTTTCGGTGTCTGTGCTCGATTCCATTGGGCCACGGCTGACTTTAAGATTGAGCTCGTTCAATTAGCATGAAGTAAGAACAGCTCTCCCGACATGGAATGTAGTGCAACGTTATGCTCGTTTTGCTAGAGTGAAGCAAAATAACACTGACAAATTTATGCTCCGTTTCGTTGGTGTCGTGTATTCAAATCTTTCTTAATGCTCCTGTGTGCAATAAAACAACGACTACATTATATGAGTTCATGGAACTCGTTCATGACACTCAAGTGTGAAGATTTACAATTAGAATCTTAGCTACTTAAATATTGCAGTAGAATCATTTTTTTTCAATCTCAATACATTCTTTTCCGGAACCCCTTATCTTATGAAACAATAACAAACAAAGATTATTCAATACAGTCTCATTGTTGTTAGTAATATTTAGTTCAACTAATCATTTTAATGAGTGTACGATAACATCGTTGAAAATTGTTTCAATAATTTATGAAGAACAATCATGTAAGATGTATTTTAATGGGAGCGATATTCATCCCAGAAAACCATGCCAAAACAAATGTTTGCTGTTGGATTTATTAAAAGGCAAATCTACATGACTATCTAATGATTGGGATAGATCTGTTTACAATCTTTATACCTCAAAAATCAAAGGAAGCTATTCCAATGAGATACATATGTTTTCCTGTACTGCAAAGTTGAATGACAATCCAATAGTTTCTACATGTCTGTTTACACGCGACATATCAACAAACGTCAAAAATCGTTAAAAGCAACTCCAATAAAATATACATGTCTATCTTATAAGATATATCTTTTAGTGAGCAATATTCTTCATGAAAACAGGTATATTTTACTGAGTTTTCTCATAGTGCAAACTTATATGATTTTCCATTAGTTTCTAGATATCTGTTCCCACCCATGACATATCAACAGTTTTTCACCATGAAATATATCAGACAATATTCATATACTTTTTACCTATCGCTAACCACGTTCGAAGCAAAGTATTATCAAGTACTAAGTATGTGAAATTATGATAGAAATCATTCCATATCGCAGTCATAGTTTTTAAGTGATAATCCAATGGAATCTATCAATCATCACATAGAATGAATAAATCTGCTGACATTGCTATGTTATCAGATGGATCCAATAAACGGTACATGTCGATTTGTTTCAGTGTACCGAGAATAACTAAGAGAGAGAGAGTTACTTCTACTCAGAGGCTCGCTCAGAGGTATGGAAAAAAATCTAAAACTGCAGGAACTCAGTGCTGAGTAATAGCACAAACGAAGTTACAGACGACTAACTGGCGAAGAAAGCAATTAAAATAATGTGGTTCGCTGTAATATAATTTTCTTAGAAGCTTGTGCCATCAGCCACCAGATGGGCTAGTATTTTTGTTTTGATTTGAACATAGTTGATTTTGTGTGCAATATGATCTTTGACAGTGTGCAAAGAGTGTATCATTTTGTCATTTTTTATGCATTTCAGTTTAGAGTAGAGTGAAAGAGATAGAACCAAAACATTCTAGCACAGACAAACAGACATAAAACTCGCAAGTTGTTCATCGAACAAGCATTTAACGGTCAATTTGAAAGTATCGTAGTTGGTGGTACCACCACCTGTGGCGAGCATAGTCAATTCCCTTGCGTTTGACGTTTACACACTATCGCCTTCTGTTTAGCGTACTACCTACCACAGTGTACTCAACAGATGGCGGTAATGTTTTAGTGACGATGTTTTACAGTGAGAAATATTCAATGTGTTATGTCTGTTTGTTTGTGATTCTAGTACATTTAGTGTTGTCATGTGGTACAATCATAGAGGTAACTCTAAGACCACTGGGTCCCGAAGAAAATCATTTTTATTTTTGGCTCACTCAGTACCAGAACAACGGTCCCAAGCAGTCCCAAGCTATTTCACTCACCCCTGCATGTTCTGCATGAATCCACACACCCCTGATGTTATCTGTCAAACTTTCATAGCGAATCAAAACAAACATAGTGTAGTAATAGAATTTCAACTAGAATAGGGTACGTTAATCGTTTGCTTGGGACCAATAGGCTACTAAAGTGGTGAGCCAATTTAAAATCGTTAGTTTCGTATTGATTGTTGGTACAATGGTACAATCCATTAGTAGTGTTGCCATGTGGTACAATTAAGTAGTAGTGGTGTTGCCATGTGGTACACTGAAAAATTGCAATAGCAAGTGCGTCACCAAAGCTTAGAGGTAACAACCCAACAAACAATTGAGAGCTCTTATAAAACACCTGAGTTGATCAAACGTTGAATAATAGCTTCCAGAGTTGAACAAGAATGTAGTTGTATTGCCATTTGATTAAAAGTTTTAAAAGCTGTTGGAGCACTCTTAAATGATTGTTTACGTTCGGTTTACCTATATGCTTTATAAGACCTACGATAACTTTTATAGCACCTTAGTTAAACTGATTGACAAGAGCTATATAGAACGTGAAATAAACGCATCAAAACAAACCATTGGGAGCTCTTATACAACACCTGAGTTGATCAAACGTTGAATAATAGCTTCCAGAGTTGTACAAGAATGTAGTTGTATATGGTTGTATTGCCATTTGGTTAAAAGCTTCAAAAACTGCTTGGAGCACTCTTAAATGATTGTTTACGTTCGGTTAAACTGTTTGACAGGAGCCATATAGGATGTGGAATAAACGCATCAAAACAAACCATTGGGAGCTCTTATAAAACACCTGAGTTGATCAAACGTTGAATAATAGCTTCCAGAGTTGTACAAGAATGTAGTTGTATTGCCATTTGGTTAAACGCTTCAAAAGCTGCTTGGAGCACTCTTAAATGATTGTTTACGTTCGGTTTACCTATATGCTTTATAAGACCTACGATAACTTTTATAGCACCTTAGTTAAACTGATTGACAAGAGCTATATAGAACGTGAAATAAACGCATCAAAACAAACCATTGGGAGCTCTTATAAAACACCTGAGTTGATCAAACGTTGAATAATAGCTTCCAGAGTTGTACAAGAATGTAGTTGTATTGCCATTTGGTTAAAAGCTTCAAAAACTGCTTGGAGCACTCTTAAATGATTGTTTACGTTCGGTTAAACTGTTTGACAGGAGCCATATAGGATGTGGAATAAACGCATCAAAACAAACCATTGGGAGCTCTTATAAAACACCTGAGTTGATCAAACGTTGAATAATAGCTTCCAGAGTTGTACAAGAATGTAATTGTATTGCCATTTGGTTAAAAGCTTCAAAAACTGCTTGGAGCACTCTTAAATGATTGTTTACATTCGACCAACCACAATTTTGTTGCTAAAAATAGCACAAGTGATAGGCATGTTTATATAATCATAAGGCAATGATTATTCGACTGCAAGAGAAGTTACTCAAGATGAGCTTGATATACTTCTCTCATATGATCAAAATATGTATTCAAGAATAGAGCAGATGGAAACAGAAGCGGCTGGCAATCCGGGATCATGAGTTCGAATCTTGCTTCGAGAAACCCTCGGTGGAGTAGAGGTAAATTATATATAGGTGTTATTAATAAATGCAAACATTAATTTAAGACATATATCATATAATCAACGATAACATTTCTAGATAAATTCTCTCAATTAATGATTAGAGAGATTAATTGAAAGAATATCAATCAAAGATTAAACAGATGCTTGTTACTACTTCCTCCATGATCACAGAATGTGAATTATGGCATAATTACATATTTTTTCAATGTGCACAAATAAATTAAATTAATAAAAACTGTACAAGCAATTATTTTGGCGTACCACGACAATTGTTAAACTAATTTTAATCTGTGAATATTGTGAGTACTTACACAACGGTTATTAAGGAGTCATTAAAAAGTGCTATAAACGCTTTTCACCGCTTGCTGTTCAATTAATATTTAGGAGTCATAAAAGAGTGTAACAAACGCCTCTCAGGTTCAATCTCTAATACATTTCGAAGCAGCTGTAAGGAGGTGTCTACAAACGTTGTATTAGAGCTTTCACCAAAACAATAAAGCTTGACTTTAAATATGTATCTATAAACGTTGTATAAAAGTTGCTTCTATCCGGTTGTTAAGGAGTCATTGAAAAGTGCTATAAACGCTTTTCACTGCTTGCTGTTCAATTAATATTTAGGAGTCATAAAAGAGTGTAACAAACGCCTCTCAGGTTCAATCTCTAATACATTTCGAAGCAGCTGTAAGGAGGTGTCTACAAACGTTGTATTAGAGCTTTCACCAAAACAATAAAGCTTGAGTTTAAATAAGTATCTATAAACGTTGTATAAAAGTTGCTTCTATCCGGTTGTTAAGGAGTCATTGAAAAGTGTTATAAACGCTTTTCACCGCTTGCTGTGCAATGATTATTTAGGAGTCATAAAAGAGTGTAACAAACGCCTCTCAGGCTTCCTCTCTACTAAATTTCAAAGCAGCTGTCAGGAAGTGTCTACAAACGTTGTATAAGAGCTTTCACCAAAACAATAAAGCTTGACTTTAAATATGTATCTATAAACGTTGTATAAAAGTTGCTTCTATCCGGTTGTTAAGGAGTCATTGAAAAGTGCTATAAACGCTTTTCACCGCTTGCTGTACAATGATTATTTAGGAGTCATAAAAGAGTGCAACAAACGCCTCTCAGGTTTACTCTCTACTAAATTTCAAAGCAGCTGTCAAGAAGTGTCTACAAACGTTGTATAAGAGCTTTCACCAAAATAATAAAGCTTGAGTTTAATATGTATCTATAAACGTTGTATAAAAGTTGCTTCTACTCCTATACCGAGGGGGGCGACACATCTAAATCTCAAGTTTAGATAGTCAACAAATCTCACACTAGCGAATCAATCTTCGAACAATCTTCTTTCATTTGTCGCATCTACTTGCATCGCTCATCAATTTTTTGCAGGAAATCTTCAGAATCGTCATCAATCTTCTTTCTATCTACTCAGCGTGCGCGCAGCTAGCCACAGCAAAACACAATCTTTTTTGCATCGTAGATAGAGTCGCCCCCCTCGTCCTATACCGCGTATACATATAATGCTGTAGTTGAACAGGTTCTCCAAACCAGTGTAAACAAGAGTTTTACAGAAGTTGTAATAAACAAATTGTACAGTTATTATTCAGCATGCAGTTGAATAAAATCACAATGGAAGCGTTTCTTCAACAAGAAATTGATTTTGGGTAAACGTTTTACTGATTACGTTAGACAACACCTTTGTGTTGCAGTTGTATAGGTTCTCCAAACCAGTGTAAACAAGGGTTTTATAAAAGTTGTGGTTAACACATTGTGCAATTATTATTCAACATGCAGCTGAACAAAATCAAAACGAAAGCGTTTCTTCAACTGGAAATTGTTACTTGGGAAGGCTACAGGCTGAAGACATACTTCAAGTCTACGCGTACATCGTACGGGTTAGGCAAAAGATGTGCGTTTGACTTTAAAACTGTCGGCCCTTCGCTCATTTTCAACTTCTATTCAATTTTCATACTGCCATACTCTAACGGAACTATCCACCTACCCTCTTCTAAAGATCATTCTCTAGCTAATAAATTATCACACTAAAGCTTCATGTTAGTATTTCCAACCAACTCTGAAGTTTTTTATAAATTTCTCATACAACTGAGTAGAAGTGACTCTCTCAGAATTATTCTCAGTGGCCGTGCAGCTATTAACGCTCGCCATAATTTCACCGAGGTGTGATTAATTTTTGACATTAGACGCTTACCATGTTTATGGCACAGTTGCAGAAGGCAGAGCATAAACGTATAAACAACCGGTGGAAACTAACGATTTTAAATTGGCTCACTACTTGACCAAGTAAATCTATAAGCGTACCCCATTATAGCCGAAATTATAGTACTAAACTATGTTTGATTTGATTCGCTATGAAAATTTGACAGATAAAATGAGGGGTTCGTGGATTTTCCAGGGGGTGCGACACATCTAAATCTCAATTTTAGATGGTCGGAATATCTCACGTTAGCAAATCAATCTACGAAAAATCTTTTTTAGTCTCTTGCATCTGTATCCATCTACTTGCATTGCCCTCCAACTTTTTGCAGGAAATCTTCAAAATCTTCATCAATCTTCTTTTTATCTACTAAGTGTGCACGCATCTCACAACAGCAAAGTGATTTTTTTCCTGCATCGTAGATAGAGTTGCCCCCCTCAGGATTTTCCTATATTTCAAGGGGTTGATGCGGCATGCGTTCGTGATATTCATGATTCGTCGATGTACTTGGGACCGATAGGCTAGTCCTGAGTGGTGCGGAGAAACACGAAATGGTTGTCAAAAAGAATCCAACTGGTGCTGTCAAAAAGAATCCAACAATCTAGAGCCTAAAAGTGATACTTTTCTCATACAATCCCCGTCGGCAGAGAAAGTATTGTGGTCAATGTTGAAAATATTGTCATTTCGGCATTTTTTTACTAATATTCTTCAACAAAAAACTTGCTCAAATACTCGAGATACGGGGGGTATTCATTGGATGAAAGGTACGTGAAAGAGGACACTAAAATAGAAAGTTTATCTTCCGACAGTTTCATCTTAGTATTCTTCTTTGGTCCAGTGTAAGCCACACTCAAAATAATCCACACGTCAATGCTACGTGAAAACATACGTGGCTTTTTTCCATCGCACTTTTCACGTAGCACTCACGTGGATCATAGGTAGTACAGAATGAACTAATGAACTCTCATCCCACTGGAATTTCACGTAATAGCTACGTGACTTCTCCCGTATCTTTTACGGAGTGTTTAGGTAGATCCTAGATGATAACCCAGTAAATTTTATCAAAAAATTCTGTGGAAAGCACGTTGTTTTGCGTTGATTTTTACCTTTTGATTTTTTTTTATATAATCTGATTAATTCACAGTCAATTATTACAATGATTGCATTATTTTCCGATTCGTATGTTCCTAACTAAAATAGGTACATAATTGGAAAATAATGCAACATATATTAATGCAATAAAACTATATGAATAATATATCAAATGTTATTACAAACTACAAACTAGCTTCTACAGGATTAACATTGGAACTATTTTTAACTCGAAAATACATTTTAGACTGATCACCGATTTTATGTACTGGTACTGGAGAACTATCAAATAACTCAATTTTTAGCACATCTACTACAGATAAAGATCTTGTAACTTCATACGCCAGAAAATTTTTGTTGGTTCCAAAAACTTGCGAAGTTGATCATTCGTAATTCTGAGCAAATCGACAAAATCGACTCCACATTCTATTCAAATCAAAAAAGACACATCAATATAAGATACAATATCACATTAAACCGTTCTTACCATCAAATATTTCTAAGAAATGTTGCGTGATGTTTAAATGAACTAGCAGCTCTTGCAGTTTGTTTTCAACATGCGCCATTTTGCTTATTCTTCATACACAGAATGAACGCGGAATGCAGCTGTCAAAATGAATTTAAAAAAGTACGTGATTTTCACGTAAGACAGATGGGGCAACTGCAGTAAAAGTAACTGGCGTTCATATCATATACAACCAAAGTCCGATGATAGTTACCTTTGTCAGATAAACTGGAATAAAAAAGCATTTTTTGGAATTTACGTGATTTTTCACGTAGCATTGACATGTGGATTATTTTGAGTGAAGTCCAATAAAGTGCTATAAAGGGTTATATTGGTTATCGAAAACAACAGCCATGTTAATCAACGAAGAGAATCGATCATTGCGGTTAGGCCCCCATGAACGCACGCTGTCGAATAATTCTATAAAGATTTAAATTAAGAAAGAATTATTGATGTTACGTAATATTTGAACGGCACGTTCTCCGTGTTTGTTATGTAACGCCAAATTTCGTTCAGTGTTAAAATATGCTATAAAAAGCTTTCGAAGCGATGTGTCAAAATGAAATCCAAACAAAAGCATGAGAATGAAATTTGCCCGTCGTCTTCTTCGTAGCACTCAGCGCTCACGCCGCAATTAGGTATTTTTTTGTAATTTTAAGTTTTGAGTCGCTGTTATCCTTGCAGGCAGAATTATTTTTCAACTCGAGTTTATGTTAGTACAACCGAATTCAAAATGTTGCCGAGAAATTTCGTTATCCGAGGTATTTCATGTCAAATGAAACGAATATAAAATTGCATTACATCACTTACCTTTAAATGTTACTCTTTCTAGCCTGCTATCGATCTCTGTCAACATTGGCCGTACCGGAATCGACTGGAGCTGTAGTTGATAAAGGTAATTTTTTTAATTTTATTTAATTAAATGAACTCAAATCATGTATCTTTTTTTCAGCCAACCAAATACTCCAGCACCCAGATTATTTTGGGGTACATCGTCTGTTTACAGTAGAAGATCTATTCAGAGCTAAGGTTCATCTGGGTCACAAAGAAGGTACTTTGCATAGTAATATGAAAGGATATCTGTTCGGTAGTCGATTGGGTCATTGTATCATTGATTTGGACAAAACGGCCGAATATTTGCGGCTGGCCTTGAATGTTACTGCACATGCTGCATACAGAGGCGGTATCATTCTGTTCTTCAATCGGAGTGCCCAAAATGGGCACATCGTTGAAAAAACTGCCATGGAATGTGGAGAGTATTCACATACACGGTTCTGGCGTGGTGGTGTGTTTACCAATGCAAACGTTCAGTTTGGAGCTGTAACTAGACTTCCGGATTTGTGCATTTTCCTCAACACCCAGACTAATATCCTAGAGATGCACACGGCAGTCAAGGATTCCGCCAAGATGTCAATACCAACAATTGGAATCGTAGATACAAATTGCAATCCTAATCTTATCACGTATCCGGTACCAGGAAATGACGACACCCCATCGGCAATTGAGCTGTACTGTAAACTATTCAAAAGCGCAATTTTATTGGGAAAGGCCAAAATGAAAGAAGACGCTGTGAACAATTAATAGCTTAAATAAATTTCTACTGAATAGATCACGTTTTTAGCGTCTGTTCTAGTAGTTAAGTAATTTATTATATAGTAATTTTAAAAAGAAATACTTGCTTCATGTAAACTGTATTTATCGTCATTAGTTTTTTCGTTTCCCTCCCATTCCATCGTTTGATAACTTATTTCTCCACTATGATTTTCGTATGCAAAAATACAAACTTTATTGACTACCACCGATAATCGACAGCAGCGGATGAGGTATTTTACATCTAACCGTAGTGTTGGGTCTCTTAACACATGAACCACGTGGGAAGCATGATAATAAAGAGGGTCCCCAGGATACAAAAGAAAATCGCATCCAAAAGAGTCTCCTCCAGTTATGCAAACCAAGCGGTTTTTCCAAACATCTTTAAAAACTTTGTATTTCAAAAGTTCACTCTGGCTGAGATTATGCTCGACGCAACTATGATCTGAAAAGGTTAAATGTTAGAGTTAGAAAGCAACCTTGAAATAAATTTAAACTGATTACCAGTTACAAGTGGGTGTTCCTGAGGGATTTGAACTAGTTTGACGATATCCATAGCTTCAAGTTTCTTAATTTCTTCATCAATGAGCTGAGTATGATCGATAGAGATATCTGTATAATGAAAATGTGTTTTAAACTGGCCCAGGACATGTTAATAATAAAAAAAAACCAGTGACCGCGAAACGAACCTTCTTCCTTAATGCCGCTTTCGAGGAACTTTTTACGTTTACCTGCAACGATTTTTGGTAAACATCTCTTGAATTCGTTCATCCTTTTTTCAATAATAGGTTCCTTCTGCTCGTGGACTTGTCTCCAGCATAACAGTTTGAATTCGCGCTTCTCCATCTCACTCGGGCACCGAGACAGTGAGGCACCATTGTCTTTTAGCTCAATAATTCCTTCGTCGATTCCAAGTTTTATCTCAAAAGATGTTAATACGGCGGGTAAACCAAAACTACTGGCATTGCGTGGCTTGGATACAGGTGTCCCAATAAGATTTCCAATGATTCGGTGTTTAAACCGTAATTTCAAATAATCTGTGAATAGTTAAATTGTTATTGTCGTCTAATTTCATGTAAATACCGCTGCTACTGCATCACCTTCGACATTGTAGATAAACCCCCGATTGTGCTGTAAAGTTACAAGTATTTTACTGTACATTTTAGCCCAGTAGTAGATTTACACGTAAGTGGTAACTGTAGATCAGTGCGCGGAGTTTTTAAATGGATAGGGATAGACCTAGCCCACGTTTCAGCGAGTGAGTGCTCGGGTACAATCCGTATCCATCGGCACCGTCCGTCAGACCCAATGAAATTTATAATATATTATAAGGTCTGGGCCAACAGGCAGCTTGCTGGTGTTAGAAGCAAAAATGTTGTAAACATTGCTGAACATCTGCGAACAGACAGATATACGTCACTGCCAACATACTGAGAACAGATACGTCACTGCCAACAGCTGTTTCGTGTAAAAAGATAAACATTGCAATATAATACGAACACCACTAACCATTTGCACATTTCACTAACACCAATAAGCCCTTTGGCCCAGACCTTATATAAACGTCAGTGCGTCAGATCCACAAAAATCTTCTCTCCTTCAGTTGGGATTGACGGACTTACTGTATACACGGAGAAAAAATACTACCCAAAATTTGAGTTCTTTTTACTTAATATTGACTTCAGCCTCTCACTTGCACTCGTTATTGTTGTCAAAAAAGGAACGAGGTATTCGACCCAACGTATAGTTCAGCCCAATAAGTTACTTTTGAGTAAATTGCATATTCTCAAATTTACGTGAATTAATCTTAATTTTGGGTAGAATATACTTAAGACTAGGTATTTTTTTTTTGCTGGTGTTAAATGGAAAATGCGATTTACTCAAATTTGGGTTATTGGGCTGAACCCCGGAATTGAGGCAAAAGTACTTAATTTTGGGTAGTTTTTCATCTCCGTGTAGCGCTTTACTCCTATGAGCAAATCCTATTAACAACTGTCATTATGTGCATGAAACATGGCGGACTATTTCTTATGCTTTCGCTCCACTGAAAAATCGTATAAGGAACTGTCACTTTATATGTAAAGAACCAATGTCTTCAACACGAATCACAGTCAATGTTTTTGATCTGTTCTTGTCCTTCTGCATAAAACACGATTTTCCACCTCTTTCCACAAAACTTTTTGACTTTAATCGGCGCACACTAGAGATTAGTGACGTTTAACGCACGCACACTAGTGGAAGCAACTAAAGCCCTACAGTAAAAGTATGGACGTCTGTCAAAAGTTGTTCCAATCGAACCGTCAAAATGCACCGCTTTGCTCGATTGGAACAGCTTTTTTCAGTTTTGTGGTGACAGTCGTCCATACTTTTACTGTAGGGCTTTAGAAGCAACGCCGTGTAAAGTTTGTTGCTTACACGGCGAATGAGAACGACCCAAATTTGAGTTTAGTTCACTCATAATCGCCAAAAGTACAGGAACTCAGCGATGAGTAAATTTGCCTCATGTTTTCCCAGGTTTTTCCAGGATTTTTCAGGGAAAAAATTCCGAATTTGAGAAAAGTAAAGATTGGATTCGCTCAGTCTATTGGTACTACCAACAATCAATACGAAACTAACGATTTTAAATTGGCTCACCACTTTAGTAGCCTATTGGTCCCAAGCAAACGATTAACGTACCCTATTCTAGTTGAAATTCTATTACTACACTATGTTTGTTTTGATTCGCTATGAAAGTTTGACAGATTACATCAGGGGTGTGTGGATTCATGCAGAACATGCAGGGGTGAGTGAAATAGCTTGGGACTGCTTGGAACCGTTGTTCTGGTACTGAGTGAGCCAAAAATAATAATGATTTTCTTCGGGACCCAGTGGTCTTAGAGTTACCTCTATGGTACTACCGAGACTGAATAAAATTTTCGTCAATTTCCTCATTTTCCGGCAGATTTTTTAGGTTTTCCACAGGAAACCATGAGACAAATTTTACTCATCGCTGAGTTGCTGTACTTTTGGCGATTATGAGTGAACTAAACTCAAATTTGGGTCAATCTCATTCGCCGTGTAGGTTAGCCAGAGGAAAATAAAAATGACAATGATTTTTGCAGGGGGCTGGCAACCCTATATCAATCCTATACGTTTGACAGTAGGCAACATCACGGGCCCTATTTAAGGTTCTATTTACTTTGATGCATTTTTTTTTTAAATAAAAAGCAGTTTTTTTCGACGCATTATTTTAGATTGCAAAAAGCTCGCGTCATTTTGTGTAAAATATCAAAAGGAATCGAATAGTGCGAGCTTTTTGCAATCTGAAATAATGCGTCGGAAAAAACTGCTTTTGAAATTTTCCAAAAAGCATCAAAGTAAATTGAACCTTAAATACGGCCCGCCTGACGTATACATGGTGGAAAGGGACGGAAAATCGTGTTATAAGCAGAAAGACAAGGGCTGATGATACTATCAAAAACATGACCGCCAGCCAGGCCCCTGGATTTTTGCTGTTATATTTCGAGTACATTAAAATTTATTGTTAAGTTGTCGAGTTGTTGTACAGGAGAAAAGTTACTTTCTATTTCTAACGATACAATGCTCAAACCATGAAAATTAGTGTGAATCAAAAAGTGGTACGTTTTTCTGCTCAATCAGCAATGCGTGGTGGAAGCGTTCCACACGGGCTTTCTCTGCGCACTCACACTATCATAGCATGCTGCCAATTTTTACTGCAGGCAGAAGCGAGGGCAGAAGATGCACAGCAAAAAAAGTTGTTGAATATTACATCGAAACTGCTGCAACCAAGTCAATCAATCGGTTGTGTAATATCACATTGTACGATGTACATCGATTTTGCGAACAAAATTACATCCATTGATGTAATATTGTATGTGCTTTTTGCTATTACATCATTATTTCATGCATCAGCTTGAATTACGTTGATCGATATTACATTTTTTTTGCTGTGTGCCTTCCACCCGAAGAGGATGACTGCAGGAAAGATTGTGTTTTGCTGTGGTTAGCTGCGCGCACACTGAGTAGATAGAAAGAAGATTGACGACGATTCTGAAGATTTCCTGCAAAAAGATGATGCGCGATGCAAGTAGATGCGAAAAATGAAAGAAGATTTTTCGAAGATTGATTCGCTAATGTGAGATTTGTTGAGCATCTAGACTTGAGATTTAGATGTGTCGCCCCCTTGCTTCCACCGCTAGGTGCGCTACACTAATAATATTCCACACATTTTTATTGAAGAATTTCCATGTGAAATTGTATATGATTTTCATGTGATCACACATAAACATAATCCACCCAGAAGCACACATGAAATTTATGAGTCAAATGAATAGTATGTGTGGTTACACATGGCTTTAATGTGTACACATATTTAGTATGTGTCCGACACATAGATATTATTTCAGGGGAAACATGTCAGAAAGGTATAACTCGAAACGTAAACAATGTCTTTGAACGTCGATTTCTCTTGAATGACCACACACCGACGGAATCTGATTACACTAGCTCATAGAACAAACATTTCTCTGCCAGATGATTTAGTTAGTTTGAGTGGGTATGTAGTCATTCGTGAAACCGACGATCCAAGTCATTGTTTACGTTTCGTGTTAGACCCTTCTGACATGTTTCCCCTGATTTGTAGATCACATTGCAAAAACCAATGAAAAATGGAGCCACTTTCTGATCCGAAGTTCCCCTTCTGTGTTGAAATGCTATCCCTAATAAAAATGTTATAATTATTTTGCTTAACGACGTGTTCAGGGTATCATCCAAACCATTTATGGAATATTTCTACCTTTTGCGTTATCGTTCATTTGGTATTTATTTGTTTATAAGCACTGCGAATGAGAACGACCCAAATTTGAGTTTAGTTCACTCATAATCGCCAAAAGTGCAGGAACTCAGCGATGAGTAAAATTTGTTCCATGGTTTCCTGTGGAAAACCTAAAAAATCTGCCGGAAAATGAGGAAATTGACGAAAATTTTATTCAGTCTCAGAGTAGTACCAATAGACTGAGCGAATCCATTCTTTACTTTTCTCAAATTCGGGAATTTTTCCCTGGAAAATCCTGGGAAAACATGAGGCAAATTTACTCATCGCTGAGTTTCTGCACTTTTGGCGATTATGAGTGAACTAAACTCAATTTTGGGTCGTTCTCATTCGCCGTGAGGGATTGCAGTGAAAATATACCTGTTCTTCAACATACCTTGGGCAGATGTTGCTGAAAAATCAACAGCAACAAAATGAAAAAGCCGATATTTTACAGTGCAGCTATGACATTTAACAGTGCGCTCTCGTGTTGCTCTTCGTAAAATCAAAACATACGAACGTGTTTCGGTTCAGTGCCGCATGCGTTTTGGACAAAATTCAAGTTTAGTTACAAATCTTTGTAGAATTCAATACTGTAAGTTATTTAAAAATGAGCTCACCAGACGGTTCAGCCGACGAAGATACAAAAACAACGATTGATGTAAAGCATGGCTTCCAAAACGATGGTGACGAGGGGAAAGGATTCAGCAAAAATGCAGTCCGCAAACGTAGCCGTGATTTTATACATCACCAATGTCGCATTATCATTCGTAACGTTCCGTACAAAATTACCGACAAAATACTGCGGTCGGAGTTTGAACGGTTTGGCACTCTGGAGGATGTGAATATTTTGAAGCGTCCCGACGGGCGTCTCGTTGGATGTGCGTTTCTGCAATACTCAAAACGAGAGGAATCGAACCAAGCAGTCCAGGAAATGGATGGAAACATCTTCATGGGAAGGAAGCTGCAGGTTTGTTACGCACAACACAAGGGTACATATCAGAAAATGAAGGCAGAGCCCACATTGAAAAGTGAGGAAGTCAAGCAGGAATACAAAGATGACGACGTCCAGGAAACGGAAATCAAGGAAGAAAGCGACGAAGAAAATAGCGGAGATGAAGATAAAACCGATGAGGATGATGACGATGAGGAGGAAGACGAACCTGAGGATGTAAAAGACGTTAAGCCTATAGACCTTCCTAGACAGAAAAACCACACCGAAATTGAAGAAGGTAGAACTATTTTTGTTAAGAATGTCCCCTACGATGCTGACGAATCTGATCTAAAAGATGTCATGGATCAGTTCGGCATTGTTGAAAAGGTCCTAATCAACAAGGAACGTATCTCAGGACATTCGAGAGGAACCGCTTTTGTTATCTTCAAGCGAAAGGAATCAGCTGAAATGTGCAAAAAGCAGAGCCTGAAGATTCAGGTGAATAATCAATTCATCGAGATTTTGGAAGCTTTGAAGAAAAAACAGATTCGCGAAAAGGAGAACCTAAAGACAGATAATCCGGGGAAAGATTCGAGAAATCTGTACTTGTTCAAAGAAGGTCTGATAATGGCGGGTTCCCCTGCAGCTAAGGAAGTTTCCAAACCAGATATGGCCCAACGGCTTCGGCTGGAGCAGCGCTGTGCACAGATGCTTAAGAATCTGAACCGATTTGTATCACGGGAGCGCCTTACAGTTCACAATTTGCCAGAAAGCTACACCAACAATGAACTCCGTAAGATGGTTCAGCAGCACACAGGCCATAATCCGCATGAATGCCGTGTCATGCGTGAAAATTGTCCGTCGTTTGGGAATCCATCAGGACAGTCAAGAGGATACGGTTTCCTGTCCTTCAAAAAGCATGAAATTGCCTTGGAAGTCCTCAGGAAACTGAACAATAACCCAACAGTTTTCGGGAAAAATCGAAGACCCATCGTCGGCTTTAGCATTGAAGACCGAAAGGTACACAACATCAAAGAGCAACGGCTACTGAAATCCCGTCTCAATAATCCAACATACCAAGAAAAACTCGAGAAAATTCGTGCAAAGAAAAAGGAAAAATACCTTCACAAAAAGGAGCAACAAATGGCGGCTAAGGAGCAGCTGGCGATTGTACCAAACACTCAATTTTCTGCTAAACATACTAAGAAAACAGACGCCAAGCCTGCGAAAAAGGAACGTAGGCGTAATCTGATTGTGAACACTGAGGAATTCAGCGGAGAGGTTTCCCGCCAGGGCAAGGTTGGTATTCGATCGAACAGGAAGATCAACACGCAGGCAGAAGCACACATGACACGACTGAAGGCCGAAAAGAAGGAAGCACGAAAGAAGCGGGTCAAACAGGAGCACGAACGAAATCGAAACCTGAAGGCTGCGAGACGTGTAAAGCCGAAGGAAACCAATTTCGCTGAACTGAACAAGGAGGACCAATATTTCCGGCAAACGGTGGGCAAGTACAAGGAAATCATCAGTCAAGCGACGAATAAGAGTGGGCGTAATAAGTGGTATAATGAATAAGGTGTTACTAATAAAGTGAAAAGCTGTATTTTGAAGTGTTTTCCTTGTTTATTATTGCGCGTTCTATTTATATCCATTATTCCTGCCTCACGACACAATTTCACGAATTTTAGTAAAATGGCTAAATTATCCATTAATCTTTCACTTAGATAGAACTAACTTCAATAGCTCAGCAAATTTTAGGTGATAATTAAATACTACCACTTCTAGGTACATTCCTCACAATATCAACTTGCTAAACACCAACTTTTGAATAGCACATGAAATGTTTTGTATGGCATTACTGTTGTCAAAGGATCATTTGTAAAAAATGACACATGGAACATTTGCCTAGAACATTTTAATACGCTATCTCGATGTGTCTTCCCTCTTTTTTGTAACAATAATTCTAATACTTAGGCGGGGTCTTCAGTACAAGAAACCCCTCCGTCTTGCAAGCTCGCTGATCTCATGCACATACGTTAGTTACTTTTTAAACCATTAATGACAGTCAAAATTTCGTTTATCGAGCAGTTTTGTGACGCCCAGCGATTTTATGAAAATGAAGCAATAACTTCCAGATTTTTCAAGACTTTCAAAGTGTTTTTTTTTTGTTACTTCATGCGTGAAGTTTGTTGGAAATGCTATCTAACTTGAAACTTTAGTGTAATAATTTATTAACTAGAGAAAGGTTTAAAGAGGGTAGGTTGATAGTTCCACTAGAGACCCTATTTTCTCGAGGTTCTAGAAGAAAAAATATCAAAATATTGTTCCACGGCAAGTTCATTAAATATTGCGCATTTTTACGTTATGAGTATGAAATTTACGTTTCATTCGTATGAATTAGAAACGAGAGGAATTGTAGCGATTTGTAGTTTTTTTTCTTGTAAATTAATTATAAGCATGTAATCATAAATTCATATTTATGTTATAAACAAAGAAAAATTAAACGTTGAAGCGTTGCATTTGAGTTTTTTTTTGTATTATAATGAACATCACTCAAAAATTAACTTTAAAATTTTAAGTGCTGGGACTACAATCTGCCTGACTATTGACGCCACTGGTTCCAACTTTAACTTAGTTACGTCCGTTATCGCAACAGGATTGCAGTAACCGCAGTATTTTGATATTAAACAGATTCTGTGGACAAATTGATAGTAAATATTTGAAATAATCTTTGTATTACCTTCTTACGTTTTGTTCTAGTCATTATGCAATTCACGTCCAAATCAAATCGCTCTTCTGGATCTACCAGTACGCCATAATGGTTGTTATTAAAGCTAACTTTAACATACGCTAGTAATTTCGGCTCGTACGCCATATGGTTTTGTTTTGAACAGAGTTTCATACGAACGACGTATGATTTTTTTCACACTAGTTCAGCTCATAAAGTTCATTGCAGCCTCGTATGAAATTTAGACTCATTTCGTATGGGAATCATTTTTGAGTCATGTAATTTTCATACGCATGCTATGAATACCATACGTGTCGTATGAAACTATTTCCAGAGCTCAAAATGCTTGTTCATACGAAGCATATGATGAAAATCGTAATTCTAGTTTCCTCAGTGCATGGATCGTCAGCTGCGCAGCAAGGTGTTGAGGTGCATTAAAGCCAACCCCGGTCGACCCGAGATGTGGCCAGAAGGCACAACGCCAACTTTCAAACGGTGCGGAACATCCTTGCCAGGGAAGGATACAAGTCGTACAGAGCCAGTAAACATCCGAACCGGTACATGAAGCAGAATTCCGTGTCCCAAAAGCGTGCAAGGTTCTTGTACGACCATGTTTTGACGAAACACAAGGGCTGCACTTTGATCAATGACGAATCATACGTCAAACTCGATTTTAAGCAGCTTTCCGGTCAAAAGTTTTACATCGCGACTGGACGTGGACCCCCCGTACCGCAAAGATTCAAGTTCGTGTTTGCCGACGAGTTCGCGAAGAAGGCCATAATTTGGCAAGCGATTTGCAGTTGTGGCCTGAAAACGGAACCATACGTCACATCCTCGACGATGAAATTCCATGTTTACATCGAAGAATACATGAAAAGCGTGTATTCTTTGGTACAAATAGATGAACCAGCCCAAGGCTGAAAATCTCCCTAATAGAGCAAAAAAAAATTCTTTGGTACAAGCAATGTAAATGTTTACCTTATTTGACAAACCCCAGGTAATCATGACAGCAGTAGGTCTCTTTTTTCATTCAAATTGTTTTCAATAGTCAAACGTCATGATTACCTGGGTTTTGTCAAATAAGGTAAATATTTACATTGCTTGTACCAAAGAATTGCCGTTCATCCGCAAGCATAGAGGCAAAGTCATCTTTTAGCCCGATTTAACCAGCTGCCACTACTTCAAGGTAATTCTGCAGTGGTATGCTGCCAACAAGATCGATTTTGGCCCCAAGCTAATGAATCCTTCGAATTGCCCGGAGATTCGAGCAATCGACAAATACTGCAATTTTAAAGCAGCGACTTCGGGGCAGTCAAGGATATCCAGCAAATGCGGACAAAATGGAACTGGATAAATGTAACCATCTAATGCTGTAACTTTGAAGTTTTAATAAAAGTACTGTAAAGCAACCATTAATAGACTTTTTAAACTTATTGAATCTCGAATTACAGTCTTTTTGTGCGTACCAATTTACAAGCCAATTTACTTTTAGTCAGTTTTTATACCTCTAAAATCAATTGTTGACATGCTATTCAAAAAGCGCACGAAAATGGAAAAAAAGGAAAAACTGTGCAATGGTAGCATAGAGGTAACTCTAAGACCACTGGGTCCCGAAGAAAATCATTATTATTTTTGGCTCACTCAGTACCAGAACAACTGTCCCAAGCAGTCCCAAGCTATTTCACGCACCCCTGCATGTTCTGCATGAATCCACACACCCCTGATGTTATCTGTCAAACTTTCATAGCGAATCAAAACAAACATAGTGTAGTAATAGAATTTCAACTAGAATAGGGTACGTTAATCGTTTGCTTGGGACCAATAGGCTACTAAAGTGGTGAGCCAATTTAAAATCGTTAGTTTCCAGAGGCAACTACATTTAAAAAAAAAATTATATCTTCTAAAAATACTTGGGCCTATTCTGCGCGGCGTGTGAGGTGAGGTGACAGTGAAGTGACAATTGTCACCTCGGGTGAGGTGACTCTCCATTTGATTTGCACGGAGAGTCACCTCACCCGAGGTGACATTTGTCACTTCACAAGTGACAGCGTGTCACCTCACCTCACACACCGCGCAGAATAGGCCAAACCCAAGTTTAATAGGAATATCTCATAGAAAATTACTCGAAAGCCATTTGAGGGGGTTTATAAATTTCACCCAAAATCGCGAGCAAAGTAAGATTTGAACCAAGGATCCAGAGTTTCTCAAGCCTGCTCAATAGAATGCAGTGGTCCACTCTATAAAATGGAGCCTTATGATCAGTGTAAACCGACGTGTAAACAGCATCGATATGTCCACCAAAATCCAGAATGGAACGCAGAGCGACACGAAATCAATTAAATGTGCCGTACTGGCCGTTTTGGGTAGAATCCATGCTGAGCTATGAAAATTTAGTTTTTACAAGAACTGAAGAGCACCTCATTGATGATGATCTCGAATACTTTGGAGTATAATAATGATGTGATATCTCTAGAGCATTCCTTTTGTCGTTTTTCTTGTGAACAGGGAAATTTTACGAAAAATTCCACACCTCAGGAAATTTGCGCTGTACGGAAAACGTATCGTCGATATAGGAATTAATTGTACGGTAGAACTCATGTTTCTAATGTAAGAACGATCTCGCCAGCCTAAATCCAGTGTACGACTATTTTCGGAACGATCCGAAAAGATCGGCGCTGGTAGATTCATCAGGAAGTCTAAGCAGGGTGGTCTGCGTCAAGAACATTATTAAATAAATACTTTTAAAGAAACATATGATCATCTTATTTGGGCTTACAACATATTTATGATTTTACGGGATTACTCCATTTCACATAACTACTTACTTTTCATGAACATTAACGGCAAATAACTCACCAACACTAGCGGACCGTGAGTTTCAGCCCACCTGTGGTTATCCGCTTTGAACCCGGACGAGTCCAGTTCTTAAAAGTAATGTGTTCATGCCAACTTAAAGTTTAATTAGTCCATAGATTATATGATCCAATTACGAAGAACTTGACAACTTTTTTAACAATGTTCAAACATAATTAAAAATCACATTTTATCAAACTTCTTTAAAACAAGCTGACACATTAAAATATTGAGACCATTATCCATCAACTAGTTTGCATTGAATACAAGAAACTCATTTTCGGAGAAATATTGTTTTCGTCTGGTGGGATATATTACAAAAAAGTTTTATTTTATCCTTGATTTGTTTTCCGTAGTGAGTACCAATGCTACCGACACCAGGGAGGCAGTTTCCACACCAGAACCCTACCTAACGAACCATAAAAAAAATGTAGGCGTAGTTTATGAACAGCTCCAAATTAGCTTTTCAGATCACTGTCAACGTAGAGCCTGTATTGCGTATGGCATCCCGTATGGTAGGAACGCGTCAGATCTGGACCTAACGTGGGTGACCCTTAAAAGATACATCTATGCTAGACAATTGTGAAAGAAATCTTGAACTTGCAATAATAACTGAGTGGTCCAGTTGTTGCACTACCAGGAAAAGGCGCTTCACAGGATTCAGAACAATGTTCTAAAGATGATTTTGAAGTTACCTCTCTGGTACAGTACTACCGAGATATATAAAATTTTGAATGTTGAGGCTTAGGAACAAATGTCCGACAAAATAATTAATAATTTCAGGCAGTCTTCAATTGCAACGATAAATTCCCTTTATTTTTATTTTTTTCCTTGATTTGTTTTCCGTGCTAAGCACCAATGCTACCGACGCCAGGGAGGCAGCTCCTACACCTGGACCGTACCGATTGTACGACTTTTCCCCGAAAACCAGTTCCCCGAAAACACTTTCCTCGAAAGTTTTATCCCCGAAATACGATTCCCCGAATGAACCATTTCCCCGAAAGGAACGTTTTCCCGAAAACTATTTCCCCGAAAGAACTAGTTCCCCGAAAGATACAATTTACACTGTGCGGTATATTTAAATATGATCCTTGGGTTTGTTACAACTTATCTATATGAAATTGAGAAAAATATCTTTGCTGAATATTGATAAACAGAACAAAGTCGTTCAACACCCTAGATAAAGTTTGTGGTTATGACTTGTTATGACATTTGGCGGTTTATTAAATTGATATCTGATTGTAATGAGCATAAAGACTGAGCTTTGATATAAAGAAGGGAAAATTGTGTCAGTTTCATCAAAGCTTTCGCTGGTTAACTACTTGTATCGAACAATACCACAATACACATATCAATGTGTGTCGAATTAAAGTGGACTCTACACGACTGTTTGTATTGACAATAATCGTATTGTCAATGCATTTTATATTGACGTCAATACATCGGTATTGACAATATATCTGTATTCACATCATCAATATTATTGTCAATACTTTTAAGTATTGACAATATTTCTTACCGTGTGGGCTTCGCTTAAGACAATAGTTTGACTTTCGTTAATACTACATGTAAAGGTCACACACTAAGATTATTTCACCGAAATCTGTGAAATTTTACCGAAATCTCAACACAGATTTCCTGTAATTTTTTACCGAATATTCTGAAATGGTGTGGTGTATGGTGTTTTCTTCTTGCTCCATACAATTTTGGATTCTGCCTATAAGGAGTCGCAAAGTGACTATAGCATGTATTGCATGGGGACGCATGGTATCTTTTATTTATTAGTATGGAGTTTTTTAACGTTCGTACCTATCCAACACACACACACACACATACATTGTATGCAATTAGCTCCATGGAACATACCAAGTTATACGTCAAATAATCAACTAAGATAAAAAGAAGGAAAAATTCTTGCAACAAACAAAATTTTCCCTTCTTTGTATCACAGCTCGTTCTTTAACGTTTTGAAGAATAAATATCTTACTAATTTATAAAACTGATATCTAATCGTAATCAAATTAAAAAAACGAGCCGTTAGGGGCCATACATTAATTATGTCACGCGAAATTGAGGCAAAATTAATCAATCACAGATTTCTACACGTCCCTCCTTAGGGCGTGACATAATTTGTACATCACCCCTTATACAAAGAAGAAAAATCGTTGTTTGTTTCAAGAAATGTTCCTTCTTTGTAGCACAGCTCGTTTCTTAACGTATCGCATAATATCTACCCTAATAAAAATGTTATGGTTAATTTGCTTAACGACGTGTTCTGGGTATCATCCAAACCATTTGTGGAATAGTTCACACATTTGGGTTATCGTTCGTTTATGGTAATTTTTTATTAGGGTATCTAATTGGTTTTATCAAAGAGATATCATGTTCCTTTCTTTGTATCACGGCTCGTTCTTCAATTTTATTACAATGAGATATCGCTTTGATAAATTAGTAAGATATTTATTCTTCAAAACGTTAAAGAACGAGCTGTGATAGGGTAGAGAACTACTTCGGCCTAATCACCCATTTTGGGCCTATCGAGCAGAAAACTTCAAATAAATCCATGATTTCAGAGTTAACAAGTAAATTATGCGTTTGGTACGATACTTTAGTTAATAAGCTACCGAACAAAGTCAATTAGAACGCGTGATATGAAGGTTTGCACCGATAATTCCCAAAAACAAAAGAAGCGCTCTAACCGAATCAATTTTTATCTTCATCCGATAGGCCGAAGTGAATTCATTGGCGTTTCAATGCGTTAGGCCGAGTTTGGCGTCAAGAAGCAGTGTTAGACTTTTGACAATATCTCAACGATTGGTTGCTCTTTATCAAATTTTACGGTACGTACGGAAAGGTAAATAAATTTGGAAGCCATCAGTATTAATAACATTCCGTTTGGTGCTAACCTGAGCTAGATTAAGAAAGACTAAGTGCGGGTTGTGCTTAATAGGCCGGAAATGGGGTAGTTAACCCTACAAAGAAGGGAAAATTTTGCTTGTCGCAAGAAATTTTCCTTCTTTGAATCATAGTTCATTCTTTGACGTATAATATGGTATGATCCGTGGAGCTAATTGCATACAATGTGTGTGTTTGTTTGATAGGTACGACCGTTAAAAAAAAACTCCATACAAACAAAGAAAAGATATCATGCGTCCCCATGCCATACATATTAGTCACATGGCGACTCCTTATAGGGTGAATCTAAAATTGTATGGAGCACGAAGAAATCAATATGTGTTGAATAAAGACAAAAGTTTGACTTTCGTTAAAACTACATGGAAAGGTCAAAAGCTGCTGAAATAGGATTACACCGATTTCAGGAGCTTGACCTTTACATTTTGTTTTAACGAAAGTCAAACTATTGTCTTTATTCGACGCACATTAATATGTTTATTGTGGTATTGTTCGATACAAGTAGTTAACCAGCGAAGATGCGTAGATTCGGGGAAATGGTACATTCGGGGAAATTATTTTCTGGGAACTGTGCCATTCGGGGAATTGTATTTCGGGGAAAAGTTACATTCGGGGCAATAACTTTCGGGGGACTGGTTTTCGGGGAAAAGTCGTACAATCGACCGTACCACCTATCGACCCATCAGCTCATAAACCGGGGACCAACTACTTCCCTTTCGAAGGAAGGCGTGATCCGAGAGGTTATGCCTCAGAACATCTCAGGCCTGCTGGGGTGAGATGTAATCACGCTTACCACTACACCATCGGCGCCGCTTGATAAATTCCCTTATAATTAGTTTTTATTTTTAAGATGAAAATTGTTATTACTGACAAGACAAATGATATACACACATACAAATACACCTAGATATAAATCATTACAATTAAGGTTGGTATGTTACTTTTGTAGCTGGAGCACCTAGATTAAAACATGAATGTAAATTGAATTTAACTTGAAACAAAAAATAAATAGTAGAATTTGGATGGGATTAATGCTGTGATATGCTTGTAAAAAAAATTGAGCTTTTGTATCGTATGTTTCTACCGACTTTTATTGCAATACTCAAATTACGCAATGAAAACAAGTTTAAGCCATTTTCAAGTCTTGCTTGGAACAGGTTAACGTTTAAAAAGGTAAAGAATCGCTTATTTGCAGCGAAATGACTTTAATAGAAATACAAAAACAAATAACTTTCGCGACTAATCTAAAAAGTGTCTCAGATATTCAGAGCTGGAAATAGGAAAACATTGAAACATTGGCTACACATGAGACCTTCAAGGTGTTATTTCGTAAAGTGACCTTTGAAAATTACCTCAGTTCGTGAAATCAAGTACACTAATCACACAAAAACCGTTACTAAAAATTCACAAAATTCTTCAACTTTGCGTGTTGTCTTTTTTCCCATTGTTTCATTTTATAAAATACATATATGAACCATTGAGCTTCGAAAATATTGTTCAATGGCAAATCTGTTTGTAGTACTCTTATTAAATGGATTGACATATAAGCTGTAGTGAAAGAAATCCTTTACTTTAGTTCTACATATAGACATACAGTATCGACTGGCATATGCGTGTTCCTTTGCTTGTACGTTTCCTTGAGTTTAATGAACAGTCCATTTATCTTTACGATTTTTTTCCTAGTTTTGCCACAGAACGGCACTGTTTGCTTGGTTCTACAACTCATTGGTTAACTGATTCAACATTCCTACTAACTAGTGAATTGAACCGTTGGCTGCTTATTATTACTGTTTCATTGCCATTCTGCTGGTTATATTCAAAAATGAATACAAAATCTTATCGTTTTGCGTTATTCGCTCCTTTTGTATCGACTTCCTTTCTTTCGAATTACAACGATGTAGGACGTTTAGTCAAATTATTCTAGAGCTAATTCTAAAATGCAAAAACATTACACATTCACTCCAATTTATGATTTATACAAACATACACAAACATACAATCACATTCTCTCTTTTAAGACTTCTCTTTGATATCAATATCGGCTTCGCTTCTACCTCAGGCATAAGCAAGCCAACTAAGTGGCAGATTAGGCAGTTTACGTTAACGATTCCATCTAACACCAGCCCACAATTAGAATCAAGGTCAGTTGATAGATCGCTTTCGCTGTGTACCTACGGAAAGAGACTTTCTTCTTGTTGTAATAGTTGAGGCATTGTTGGCACTGCTGCTGCCGCTATTAGCATAGGTGTTGCTCCTGGTGGCATTACTGCCGCTAGCCGTAGTGGACGATCGTTTATTTGAGTGTGAAGCATAAGAAGACGATTGAGATGAATTGGTGTGGGCAGATGAATGATGTGTATCTTTGTTGGCAGTGTTGTTGGCTAATGATGGATTGGAATGAAGCGCAGCACTGGCACTTCTACGACGGGGTTGTGAAATGGCTGTAACATGTTACATGAGTTGTAGACACATAGAAACATCAAGATGAACTAGGAATGTTGATGAGCTTGATGTGTTTGCGTACAGTTGGTAGTTTGGGTACACACGACATCGGCTCAACTAAGTGAACACTTACCGTTTTTGTCAATGGCCGAAATGGAGCTGCAAGATGCACCAGCGATGACATTCTTCGCAGGTGTTATTGTTGGTTTGACTTTCTTTTCGTTTCCGGACCCAGATGCGCTAGATTTATGTGAAGGAGTGGACGGGGTTCCGCTTGCGCCTGCGCCAGCTCTATCCGTTGTCTTCTCCGTCTTTGGTTGAACCTGTTTGTGTACGGTTACGGTGTTCCAGTATTCCATCTGCTCTTTTCGAGATGCTGCAACTTGCCTTTGTAGATCTGGATGTTCAAATAACAAATTCTGATGAAGGGAAAATATATTAGAATATGTTTATACTTTGACGGAGCTTGTGACAGCAACCTGTTAGAGGCTACAAACAACATTAACTAGTATCATTATCTTTGAAAATGCCGTACATGACGAATGTGGAGAAGAAAATCTCACAGACACTCAATTTCATTAATCAGTGGAGTTTTTTTTTACAAGCCTCAAACCAAATGCTTCAACAGCCAGAGAAAAAAGAAATGCTGCAAATACAGTACACAGTATTGTCAGCACCGTATATGATATGTGATAACAACATGGTGCTTTATTTAAGGTGCAATAGTAAGCGGATCATTTTTCAAGAATTCAAAAGTAGTTTTTTTCGTTAGTAGTCAAATTTCTGGGCATGAAAAGACAATGGTACCACAGACAAACAGACATAACACATTGAATATTTCTCACTGTAAAACATCGTCGCTAAAACATTACCGCCATCTGTTGAGTACACTCTGGTGGGCACTACACTGAACAGATGGCGGCAGTGTGTAAACGTCAAACGCAAGGGAATTGACTATGCGCGCCACAGGTGGCGGTACTACCAACTACGATACTTTTAAATTGACCGTTAAATGCTTGTTCGACGAACAACTTGCAAGTGTTATGTCTGTTTGTCTGTGATGGTACCGTACGGATTTCGAAATTATTGTGAATACATTTCCATGGGCCAACTCAGTGGCGTCCCGTAACCTCACTTTTTGCCTGTGCCAGGCATGGAAAATCATTTGCATTCATTTCGTGCATTCATTTACATTCATTTGCCTCTAACTTTTTTCTTAAACAGCATTCCGCAAAATGTTGTGCAGAGTTTTTGTAGGTTTTGTTATTAGCTACAACTTTTGTTAACAAGTCAAATCCATATCTCTTATGCATGACGAAGCAGAAGCCACTACTGTTTTTCAGTGAATGTATTTTACATTCACTGAAAAACAGTAACAAGTTCTGCCCGCTCTAGTTCGTGATGCATAAGAGATGAGTTATGAGCAAAAGTTGTAGCTAATAACAAAACCGACAAAAGCTCTATACATTATTTTGTGGAATGCTGTTGATGAAAAAAGTTAGAGGCAAATAAATGTAAATGAATGTATGAAATGAATGCAAATGATGTTCCATGCCTGGCCTGTGCACCAACTTTTAAAACCAGGTTTAATGCCATATTTATACTCGAATCGGTTGAAAAATATGTATACTTAATCTTCTAGTTTCTTCAATATACATAGGGTTAACTACCCCATTTCCGGCCTATTAAGCACAACCCGCACTTAGTCTTTCTCAAACTAGCGCAGTTTAGCACCAAACGGAATGTTATTATTACTGATGGCTTTCAAATGTATTTACCTTTCCGTATGTACCGTAAGATTTGATAAAGAGAAACCAATCGTTGAGATATTGTCAAAAGTCTAACACTACTTCTTGACGCCAAACTCGGCCTAACGCATTGAAACGCCAATGAATTCACTTCGGCCTATCGGATGACGATAAAAATTGATTCGGTCGGAGCGCTTCTTTTGTTTTTGAGAATAATGTGTGAAAACCTTCATATCACGCGTTCTCATTGACTTCGTTCCGTAGCTTATGAACTAAAGTATCGTACCAAACGCATAATTGACTTGTTAACTCTGAAATCATGGATTTATTTGAAGTTTTCTGCTCGATAGGCCCAAAATGGGCGATTAGGCCGAAGTAGTTCTCTACCCTATATCAATTGCAAGCAATATTTTAGTAATTGTTTATGTTTTGAGAGATGGTGCACAGGTACATTGAGGTTAAGGAAACGCCACTGGGCCAACTACTAAACTTTTTCCCGCCCGTGATTACTCTCGAGGCCCATGCCTTTTTTTTTGACATTGTGAGGTATAACTTTCTGAAATTACAACCGATTTCTGTAAACATATTATAACACAGTCTGTACTAGTTCTTCTATTATCGGAAGAAAATTCAGGCCAATATCTCAAGATACTCCAGAGATATTGGTATTTTAAATTGCCGTTGATGAGGGGTGGTGAGGAGTGTTTCCCCTCGCCACCACTGGCAAAAGGGATGATCGTCGTTTCGGAAACACCCCTCTCTACCCCTAATCACCGGATGAGTTTGGTAAAGGGGATGCTCGATTCGATTCGTAACATCCTCAAAATTGTCCTTCGCTTTCTACTTTTTATACACAATTTTCACACTGTCTATAACTCTGTCTGTTACTATAACGGAACTATCCAGTGTATACTTTTATCTCCTCATATATCGTATAAAATTTTCACTTTAAGGGGAAGCTCACCGGCCCGAAAATAAAAAAATATTTTCGGTACGTTTTTATTTTTCTAAAAATATTGGGAAAAATTATCAAAACTCCAAGAAAATCAGTTTCTTCCTTAGATTTTTGTCAAAAATTACATGCAAAAAAAATTTTTCCATCCCATCATGAAAAAAAAATTGGACTCTCAGAAAAACCGAAAAGTTGATGTTTTGTGGTTTTTTGAGTCCAACTTTATGCCATAATGACTTATAAAACATGTTTTTGCACGTGAATTTTCTTTAAAAAATTAGAAAAAATGTGATTTTTTTAGATTTTTGATACTTTTTTTTCAATATTTTTAGAAAAATCAAAACGTAATTATTTTTTTCGAAGCGGTGAGCTTCCCCTAAGGGGAAGTTTATCGCCAACTAATTAGTACATTTATAATTCGATCTTTTCGAAGTCTATTTTTTCTGAAATTTTTTACCATATCGTAAACTTTCTTAAGCACGCCGTCGTTTATTTGCAATATGGCTATATGTATATATGGATGAAAATTTTAAAAATAATTAAAAAACTTCGGAAATTTCGATTTTTTTTTTCAATTCCTAATAATTTGATATTACGTACACGCAGCTCAGTTGTTTATAACAAAACATAGTTGCAACATGCCAAAATTGGCTAGTTTGTATGAAAATCGGCCTATTGTGCTAATTTAAAAGCCACCACTGTCTTTGTGTATTTGTACTAGCAGTACAGTACTATTTGGCCACTAACTTTAAGAAATAAAAATCCAGTTTTTTCCCGGTTTTTAACGATTGCCCTACCTATGTTTCCCGGTTTAATATAAACAGCTAAATATTGTAAAAATGGAATATGGGCATGATTGATCACTGCAATTTATTTTAAATGTAAAAAGTCAGAGAAACTTCCCCCAACGAAGTAAATTTTCAGAATTTTAAAAATTTATTAAGTTTCATAATTTGCATAATTTAGATAATGTTATGAAGTCCTAAATTTGAAATGTTTGTAAATGTCTCAGAATTTTGAAATTTGTATAAGTTACTTCTTGTAAGTTATTCGAACGGCACTAGGCTGTATTGATAGATTGAGCATATTTGTGTTTATAAAACAATGAGATCCATGGAATAACATTTGAATTCAAGGACTAAGAAAATGTTCAATAGTTTGAGGCTAGGCCTATATTTCACAATCTTGATCTTTGCGAGCTTTTTGAGTTTAAATATGGTGTATTTTAAAACCCTCAGATAAAAAAAAACATGATTCTTGGACTTTGACAACATGTTAGGATTCTGACACTCCGAAGCATTGGACAGATAATTATGATGAGAATGACCAATGAGTTTTGAGGAGAATTGTAGAGACATTCTAAAGATGATTATACGGGAATTTTGGGTAGACTTTCAATTCAATTTGAATATAAATTTCAGGTAATTTGGAGAAGTATTTCAAGAAAATTCTGGGTTGAGCTACAGGAGATTTCTAAGGTAGATCTATAGAATATTATGGGGATTATGACAGTAGTACTTAAGAAAACTCAAAAGCAATCGGAAGGAATTTCGAGGAGCATTCAATTCTGAATTCTCTAGAAGGGATTCAAAGCGAATGAAGCATGAGGCAAACTTAAAAGTGGGATTCGAGGCAGTGCGGTTAGCGTCGTTTAGGCGTATTGTGTGTGTGAGGAATCGATTCCTGCTCCGGCCCGAGGAACTTTTCGTAAAAACGGAAGTTTACCCACTGGTCTACTGTGTATTTTGTGTGTCGTTGTCTAGTGTTAAGAGTTCAGTCTGTGTAACCTCTTGTTTTTGAAGACGGTGTCAATTGGGTTCTTTAATTTTGAAAAATATATCGGTTTTCATCATCTGAAAGAGCTTCGTTTTCTGAGCACAGCGATATTTTTTTCGAAACCACACACTTTCATCTCGATTTTTAAATCAAGATTTAAAGCAAAATAATAACTTCACTGTTTGACACTAAACTGACAAACTGACAGCTCGCTCCCATACAAAGTGACACCGAGGGGCGCTAATAAGGTGATTTTTGCGAATGTAATCGTTCTTCTTTAAAATAGTTCCAGTGTACCAAAATTGATGAAATTTTGGGTTTGGGTTCCATTTTTAATGCAGATTACTAATATGCATTTACCTCAATACCCTTAAAGAACCCAATTGTCTTTAATGATGATATAACTTAAAATCTCGTAAATGTTGATCTGATCGATCGATCGGTGATACTCTAAGGAAGCCTTAGCGTGAAACTTCAAAGGCACAAATGTCAGCTTCTACAAAATATACAATTATGAAATTGGTACTCTCTGTTTGTAGTAGCACAGCAAACAAGGAGTAGCAATTTCAAATTTGTATTTTTTGTGGAAGCTGACATTTGTGCCTTTGAAGTTTCACGCTAAGGCTACCTTAGAGTATCACCTTATCAAATAGAAATTCTGAGGAGAGCTGCAACGAAATATGGATAATAATACCAAGGGAATCTAATTCTTATTATAGCTAAAAAAAAACTTTACGGAAGTTTAAGCTAGTTTGAAGATAGTTTCAAGAGAATTCCTAAAGGAATTAATGATATTTTGAAGAAATATCAAAAAGTTTGGGAGGATTTTATTGGAAACTTTGAGCATATTTCCAAAGAAGAAGCATATTCCTTTAAGAAATACTTTATGGTAGCCCTCAAATGATGTCATATGTAGATTGGAAATCCAGCTTTTGTTGGTTTAAAAATTCAAACTACAATGCGATTTTCCTCATTTTCCGAAAAGATTGTTGACTTCCAGGAATTTCTTAGCTGACGAGTTATTAACTTACACTTCAAGTACACACACACACACACACACTTAGTTTTTTCTACCGAGCTCGACTGTGCAAATCTCGGTAAAAATAAGTTTCACTGAGATCATAGCAAAAGTGACATTTGATTGCTGAGTCTTGGATAATGCTAAGCTGAATCTCAGCAAACAAATAAAATGTTTGCTGAGATCTCAGTAAAACTTTTTTGCCAAAATTTGCACAGCCGAGCTCGGTAGAAAAAACTAATAGCGAATTCGTTTATTATTCAGTTCCAACCTGGATCGGGTATCAAGATTGGGCCTGCTTGTTTTCTGACAAACGTCAGTTTGATCGTTTATTTTTAAAACCCAGCTCAGGTTGAGGTTTGCACCTCGATAATAAACGAATTCGCTATAAGTGTGCACAGTAACATTAGTAAATATACCCAACTTAGGTAAATAAATATAACGCTATTTCAAAGTTGACACATTCGCCATTCATGTTCAAACATTTCAAGCATAACTTTTCAAAAGGACGTAAGTCGCAAAAATAAACAAATCGATATTTTGCATTTAACCGAATATAAAATACATGCTTTTCCTACGAGTTAATGAAAAACAAGGTTTGAAATTGTAATGCATTATGGAAAATATATTCAATGAACGCCCTATGTGACCTTCTTTCATTTTACTTTGACTATATGTTTTAGTATTACTTCTACGTGAAGTCAACGATTTACATAGTTGAAGATGCTAATTTCAAATAACAGACTGTAGTGGTAATTTTTATACGATAGATGGAGTAGATGAAAGCATAGAGTTGATAGTTCCGTTAGAGTACGGCAGTGTGAAGATTGCATATAGATATTAGAATAGCGAGCTAGAACAACTTTTAAGGAAGGTACAAATCGGTTTTTTCATCTCTCTTTACCAAACTCCCCCTTTGGAGAGGGATGGTGAGGGGTACCCGCTCAAGTACCAACTGTGTGTTTGAAACAGTTCTACCGGCGGGGGGGACACCCCTCACCATCCCTCTCCAAAGGGGGAGTTTGGTAAAGAGAGATGAAAAATCCGATTTGTACCAAAATTATGTAAGTTAATTCCATCTAAATTGCAATAGCATCAACATTACGATACTAAACTTCACTGAGAAGCTAATTTTACGAACAGGTTTACAATGAAGACCTAGAAAACTCTATAAAGCCACTCTATGCTGTGTAGAACAGAAGGGGAAGTGCAAACCAATCGGTGAAGCAAAAAGTTGTACGTTTTTCTGCTTAACAAGTGATGCGTTGTGGTTGTGGGGTAGCGTTCCACACGGGTTTTCTATGCGCACTCACACTATCACAGCATGCTGTCTATATTAACTGCAGGCAGAAGATGCCTTCTACCGCTAGGTGCGCTAGTGTTTTCCAATGAAAAGTGGAGCCACTTTCTGATGTGAAGTTCCCCTTCTGTTCTGTGCCATTATCCTAAAATCTCATTTAGTTAGTTCTTTGAGCTCATTAAGCTGTTAAGATTACAATAAGGAACAATAAATAGAAGTATTCAGAAAAAAAATCATCATCTTCTCTTAAAGCTGCGCTTAACAATCAACTCAGCTGAATTCAAGGGACTTGAACGTGAATTGAACGTGCCTCAACTGACTTGATCAACATACACGAATTGAAAAAAGTTGAACCAGGCTTAACTTTTGAAGCCAGTTTAATTCAACTGAGTTGATCAATGACTTGCATTCTCTAAACCCACCTTAACTCTTAATCATTCCTGCATTTACTAAAAGGCGCTCCAATGCGCTCAAGGAATTGATTTTTGTTGAACACATTTGGATCGCGCAGACGCACCAATCTACTCGAAGTTTAAATTTGGCAGACGCAATTAAGTATAACATCTATTAAGAGACGCACATACCCATTAGCAGCTTAAATTTTGCAACAACTAACAACATCTAGTGTCTAAGGATTGATGTTTATCTCAATTCAACTCAGCAATGTTAAAACACCCAGTGGGAGCTGAATTTATAATAGGTTCAAAATCATTTATTTGAGTAACTTTTGCTCAAGTTGCTAAAATGCAACATCAAGCATTAAGTAACCACAAGTTCGCAACTCTATTTATAATTTGAAATGAAAAACCATCCTCAAACTACACCGAGTAATTAAGTTGTTTGGAACTAGCGAAGCCAGCCATACTTATTGATAAGTTTCTGTTGTAAAGAAATCTTTTCCTGGCTTTGAATGAAACTCTCAGAGATTCCCTGATTTTCCAGGTCCAAAAATTAATTCCCTGATATTATCTGATTTTAAAGGTTTTTACCGGAAGTCGACACCCTGTAATTTAATATACAATAAAGAAGGGAATATCCCTACTTCGAATAATTAATATAGAAATGAATATTCCCTTCTATGAAGATATAATTGAATATTCCCTCCTTCTAATATATAATAAAGAACGCAATATTCCCTTATTCCAAAATTTAATAAAGAAGGAAACACACTCTTCTTCAAATATATAAGATGGAAATAAACTCTTCTTCGAAGAAAATATTCCCTTCTTCGTATATTTTATACAGAAGGAAATAATCCATTTTTCGAATTTTTAATAAAGAAGGGAATATTCACTTTTTTAAATATATAATAAAGAAGGAGGAAATAATCCCATCTTCAAATATGTAATAAAGAAAGGAATATTCCCTTCTTTGAATATTTAAAAATGGAAATAATCCCATCTTCGAATATTTAATAAAGAATGAAATCTCGATGAACATTTCAAATGGTCCTATCTGCTTTGATCGATTCTCTTAATCGACTTTCTCTTTCGTTAATAACTCAGCTGCAAAACCTTTCCCTGTTGTATTTGACGTTTTGGACGCTAGATAAGAACCTCCTTTATCAAACTATGTGGTAGAATTAGCGCGAAATCTGTTTGCATAGCAGTGGTTATGAAAAGAGAAAGTCGATGAAGAGAATCGATCAAAGCAGATAGGACCATTTGAAATGTTCATCGAGAAATATTCGATTCTATAACATTCCCCCGAAAATCATTCCCCAGAAAAGCATGCTTTGTATTAGATTGACTATTTTTGTTTATTATGTAGTCACTCCTGGAATCTTCTTTCGCGTATATAAAAAGAAGAGAAAAACTTCTTAATGGATCAAGGGGTTTTCCCTTCTTTGAAAATATAAGAAAAGGAACTAATTAATTCTTTGGATATACGATAAAGAAGGGAATATTTTCTTCTTTGAAAATATAATAAATGTAAATAATTAATTCTTTGGATACACGATAAAGAAGGGAATATTCCCTTCTTTTAATATTTAAAAGATAATAAATTAATTTGTTAAATATATGATAAAGAAGAGAATATTCCCTTATTTGAAAATATCACAAAAGGAAATAATTAATTCTTTGGATAAACGATAAAGAAGGGAATATTCCCTTCTTTTAATACATATAAGAGAAAATAATTAATTCGTTAAATATATGATAAAGAAGGGAATATTCCCTTCTTTTAATATCAAAGGAAATTATATAATCAATAGCTTTTCGCAAGGGATTCGGGGTAATGCCCATTCGGGATAATAACGTGTGGAATAATGTTATAAGTTTGTAATCGGTAGTTCAACGTTCCATGCACCGATTTTTTAATCCATAACGAGAAATTCTTCAACTCAGATCGAACAATTCTTCGATAAGGTTTAACAGTTTCCGACTGGTTGAATTGGATTGCATAATTGACCCTTTGACTTTTTAAATGATGTACGAAGTGCTCGAAAACTTGAAGGTTGTTGAAGGTTTCTAAAGAGCTATAAATGGTTTGGAATTGATAAATACATAGTTCCATAAAAGTAAACGTAGTATATCATCAATAGTAAACAAAAATAAAAGTGAAAATTACTAATGTCATCATCTTTTCTGGGGAATGGTACATTCTGGGGAATGCTTTTCTGAGGAATGGTGCATTCTGGGGAATGGAATTCTGGGGAATGGAATTCTGGGGAATGGTTTTCTGGGGAATGTTATAGAATCGAAATATTCCCTTCTTCGAATAAATAATATCCTCTCAAAAGATGAAGATTTTTCTTTTGATATATTCTGGGAAGTTTTTCGGGGGAATCCTTTTCTCGTGACTCAAGGCTCGCCTACACGTAAACCAGCACCATCATCGGGTTGGGTTCCCCTATCCGATGATGCTGTTAATTTACGTTCGGTTGACGAGGCAAGAACCATTCAAGTTTTGTTTATCCAAGTTTTTTTTTTTTTCTTTTGGTTTGTTTTTTCCGTTGATCTTGTTTTCCGTGCTGATCACCAATGCTACCGACGTGCCAGGAAGGCAGCTCCCACACCTGGACCCTACCTATCGACCCATCAACTCATGAACCGGGGACCAACGGCTTTACTTCCCATCCGAAGGAAGGCGTGATCAGAGATGTTATGCGTCAGAACATCCTGGCGGCGCCGACTGGGATTGAACCCAGGCCTGCTGGGGTGTGAGGTAATCACGCTTACCACTACACCACCGGCGCCGTTGTATCCAAGTTTTGTTTATACAAAGTTTATAATACCTTTTCAATTGTTGGCCTATTGAATTGGTACTGCTTTGCGATAGATCAAAATTCTATCCGCCAGACTAAAACTATAGCGACTATAGTGTGCACATGCTCAATAAAAAGGGATTACAGAAACAATACTAACCTGTAATTTTCTAATAGCCTTCTGCATTACTTCGGGCGAAACCAATCCGAAATCGAACATGGAGCCCACATGGAGCACGAAGTTCCGGTATAAATTTTTCCGTAGCAAATCACGTCCTCGACAATTGATGAACATGTCCAATGCGACTGGAATCTGGCAATCACCAACGTAGCCATATTTCATCACATGTAAATTCCACATCTTCATCAGTTCCTTCTCGCCCTCATTCACGTCGGTAAACTCGTCGATCATTTGCATCGTTTTGTACTGTAACCACAGTGGATCGCTTTCACCCTCCGAATCGATATCCAACTCTTTTGGATGAACCGGTAGGCAGGTCATTGTATGGTGGTACATTCTAAATTGAAAGCAGAATATTTTAAATTAAATGCGAAAAGTATTAAACGTAAATGTACCCTAAATCTAGCTACTTACCTGCTATGTCCAGTGATGAACGGTCGCTGACTATCGAATTCATTCTCATCGCACTCGATAAACTCGGTCAGGCTATGTTTCTGACGCCGTGGTCTGCATACGAGCAGGTTCGTGACAACAGTTCTGCGCATAGGACCTCGTCGAGAAAATGCGTTAACGCTACCAAGCAAATCGTGTGGTGATCCGTTGTATGAACCATCGTACATTTCATTGATCGACACATCGATTCTAGCTCCATTTGGTATCGGTATGTACGTAAAAATAAATCTTGCGTGGCAAAGTTTCAAGTGTTTTAGCAATGGATACAGTGTACCGCAGTTCAGGCTGCACCATGGGCAGTGGAAATCCGACTTGGTTTCTGTTTGTTGACGAGAATTGTTGTTGTACACGAATTGATAGATGATGTGATCAATTTTAGGTTCATCGGCGTAATGCTTCAGTTCTGTGGAACCAGAGGTTTGGTTAGTAGCTCCAATAGGCACAAGTGCACCCGTATTTCCGTCAAACTGCGAAGTGATATTGGAATTACCTGCAGCTGCCGCAGGTGTGAGGATACTATTGTTATTGATGTTAATGCTGAGGTTCCTTTTGTATGACGACGAAAGTGCCTCAGGTTTATGATTCTCCTTGTCATTGCTGTTATTCAAGTTTATCGTTACGGGTTGCGGTCTATCCACTAGACCAGGCAATGCTTCTTTAGTCCACTGTAAACGAAACTTGAGGCTTGGTGATTTACTGAACAAAACAATAGGATTTTGATCATCGAGGCCGTTCTGTTTGTAGATGTCAATTATGTCTACGTCGTTGCGATCGCCATTCAGTGGCTGGATTGTCTCCCAGGTGGAATTTTTCTTCGGTGAATTATACTTTTGCATTTGTTGCTGATGTGGCAAGATCTCCTGTACGGTAAGCTCATAGTCACCTTCTTTTAGCAAACATCTACCGTATTTGTCGTATATGATCAGCTCAGTTCCGAACAACTTGCTTGTAACGCTCAATTTTTGTCTCTTCGCCGAAGGCTCTTCATCACTTCCACCATTTTCATACGCATCAGTTCCGTTCGATATAGCGCAATAACTGTTTTCCGTATTGCAATGCATATGGATCCTGAACAGCAGAAGAAAGGACAATTGTGGCCCAGCCACCTGATTTACGCCCACCGAGTTGAATGATTCTGTAGCAATACTGATTGTAGGCACCTTGTCGTCAGCTACTTTTTCCATCGGATTCACCACCACTTCGGATTTTCCTACAGCCACCTGCATCAGCGCCGACGAGATATCTTTGCGTTTGTTGTGTGAGATTTTCAAGAGAATCGTTTCCACTTGTACGGTCTTAGCACCATTCTCGTCAAGATCCACATTTTTCGAGTCATCTGTTATATTGTCAACGTGACTTTGGTCGTAAAAACCCAGAAATAGTATTGTTAGGTATTCGCCAGTCAGCAACAATCCATTAACTTTGTCGTTACGTATTTTGTTCATTTTTTGAGCCAACATTGTGTCAATTTTGAAGATGTTACGACTTTTATGTGAACGGGACATCCTGTGACGCATGTATGATAAGTTTCGGTTCAGGAATATGGGCTGCCAAATACAAAAAAAAAAGTTATTCAACACTATTCAATATTGATGCAACGAATACATCTTACCGATATCATGTTTCGAGTCCTTAAATACCGATATATCTGGGTTGGTTCTGAAAGAAGCAATTAAGATAAATAATTCAATATGATTATTTGTGAATAACAAAAAGTAGTGTACTACCCATGATCGCATAACAGTCCCAAATCGATAGAAAATCAAGCAAACATGGGATGGATATGTGATTTTGTGCAGTTTAGTGGTACAGATACAGGTAGGTTTTAATTTAAACACACAAAAAATCAATAAATAACAATTATTGCTGGTTCAACAAATCCGTTTTATTGTTTTGTGTGTCACCGGTCTCCGTTTTTAAGTCCTTTGCGTCTCGCGGTTTTGCTTCTATACGCTCCTCAATCTTTCTTGACTGTGTGCGATAAATGTCTAGGTAGGGTAGAAACTTGCTTCGGCCTAAGCGCCCATTTTGGGCCTGTCAAACAGACAACATCAAATAAATCCATGATTTCAGCGTTAACAGGTCAATTTTGCGTTTGGTACGATACTTTAGTTCAAATGCTACCGAACGAAGTCAATAAGAACGCGTGATATGAATGTTTGCACTCAATATTCTCAAAAACAAATGAAGCGCTCCGACCGAATCAATCTTTATCTTCATCCGATAGGCCGAAGTGAATTCATTGGCGTTTCAAAGCGTTAGGCCGAGTTTTGAATCCGTAGGCCGAGTTTGGTGTCAAGAAGCAGTGTTAGATTTTTAACAATATCTCAACAATTTGTTTTTCTTTATCAAATCTTACGGTAAATACGGAAAGGTAAATAAATTTGGAAGCCATTAGTTAGTTTTAGATCACATCGAGGATTATTGCTAGTCCTAAGCACCGTCTATTGGTTCTTTGTGTAATTACAGCTGATCTGGCAAAAACAGAGTAGCAACCGTGGCTCATGCTCGTATTGCAAATTCATAAATCAGCAATGTAATGCAAATATATTCAAAAAATGTCCTCTCAAATCATTTTTTGAAACTGCAATGGGGCAAGAATGCCAACCCCTGTTGGTCAAAAGTGCCATGCGTCTTACATGGAGTGAAATCGATTAATGTTTGTTTATTACAATGCTTTTTGATTTTTAATCGTGCTAGCAACAGCTGTTACTGTTTACTAAATTTAACTATTAAATTATACAATATTATTCAATACAAAACAAATAAACCATGTTTACCAATGAAATCAAATGAAAACTATTGTTGATGATATTTTATGTAACTGGTTTTGTCAAATATGGTGAAAATGAGCTTACCGAAGACTTAAATGCACAATGCAGCAATTTCTCAAGCAATTTGTTTAAATTTTTTTTATAAATGTAGGGGTCGCGTGTGAGGTTCAATTTTAAAAGGTGATTATTGAACAATTAAAGAGAATATTTACATATTCTTTGTTATTGTTAATAGTGCTTTAATTAACCTTCCTACGATATAAAAAAAAGTTACGCAACGATTTCGGAGGCATTATCTTACCAAATTTAAAATTATTTACACCCACTAATCTTTTGGGAACCAATTCGCACGGCACCTTAAAATTCGCAGAATTTCATGGAGAATTCATCAGATACTATGTGTACTGTCTGGTTCAGCATTGGCCACTTGGTGGTCCCTGAATAGGTTCCGGAGGCCATTTTATCATTTTCATAGAACGAATTCGTGTGGCTCCTTCACATTTGTTGAATTTCATGAAGAATTTATAAGTCGTTGTGCCAATTTGGTCGTGGCACATTTCGAGTATGAGAGAGTAATTGCAGTTAGATCAAAAGTGCCTGAGAAAATGCAAGTACTTTCGCAGATTACCCGAAGTTGCGATAGTGAAGGTAAGATCACAGAAAAGCAGACATAACACTCTTAAAACGTTCATCAAAATCGTTTTTAACGGTCAATTTAAATGTTTCTTAGTTGATAGTACTGCCATTTGTGGTGCACATAATCAATTCCCTAGCGTTTGACGTTTACACACTACAACCATCTGTTGAGTGTATTGCCCATCAAAGTATATACGACAGATGGCGGTAGGGTTTACAATTATAAATGTTCAATGTGTTGTGTCTGCTTGTCTGTGATATAACATTGAGGTAACGTTAGGATAAATTCAAAACATTGAGAAATATTACGCATCACTTTCAGAAATACTTCACTTCGCAACCGATGAACCATTCTGACGGCCATATGAGTACCCAAGTAACCATATAGTCGCACTATAGCTTGTGTATTCTTACTTTGCTTGAGTATGGTTAGTTGGGGAATCTGATGAAACTGTCACTTCTTGAAACTGATCACTTTCGTATTTCTTTCATTCTCCTTTCGCAAACGGAGCGCTCGATGGACCAGTGACTTTGGACGTGAGCCTCGTGCCAGATCATCATGGCAATTCAATAACATATGGTGGACATCAAACCGACCAAAAAAGGCGGAATCATATTAGAACCAACCAACCAAGGACGATCTACGGAAGGAAATTGCCGGTGAAGCACGGAATGAAATACGAAGCGTTAGAGAAAAAAGTCCAAGGGATTCCAAAAGAAGCAAATAACGACGGCGGAAGAGCAGAATATGGTGAGAGCTTTCCATTTATTTATTTACATGCCAGGGTTGAAAAGAATATTTTCGAACCTGGAAGTGTGTATGTATCACCAATATCCATTTGATAACGGTGATGCATACATGCGGAGCTTATTGTGAGTGAAAGTAACCTCGGAATTAGCGTGACTCTCCAGACATTCTGAAATGGGTTGCTGGATCTGCAATAGAGCTATCACCTTCTAACTCCCGGACTAAAGCTGTCTACAATGACCATAAATGTGACATTGTAGAGAGAGTTCTTCCATAATAACACTGCCGGCCAGTGGGGGTCTAGAGGGAATACACACACACACACACACACACAATTTATAAGAGGCCATGTCAACATGTCCGGGCGACATTGGCCATCCGGTGGTCTCGGAACATGTTTCGGGAACCCTTGAAAGGTGACCAATATATCATTTTCATCAGTGGCGTGCCGTAGCCTCACTTTTTACCTGTGCACCAACTTTCAAAACCAGATTTAATGCCATATTTATAATCGAATCGGTTTAAAAATAAACTTAATGTTCTAGTTTACTCTATATCTATCCATTGCAAGCAATTTTTTGATAATTGCTTATGTTTTGATTGTTGGTGTACAAGTAGATTGAGTTAAGGAAACGCCACTGATTTTAAAAGAACCACGTCGTGCGACACCTCAAAATTTGCAGAATTTCGTGGAAAATGCATCAGAAGCTACGTCAACAGTCTAGAGCAACATTGGCCATCTGGCTAACCCTGGAACGGTAGCCAATTTATAATGTTCATAGAACCAATTCGTGCGACACTTCCGAATTCGCAGAATTTCATGAAGAATTCATCAGACACCATGCCAACATGTCCGGGGCAACATTGGCCACCCGGTGGTCTCGGAACAGGATCCGGGATTCCTGGAAAGGTGGCTAATTTATAATGTTCATAGGACCAAGTCGTGTGACACCTCAAGATTCGCAGAATTTCATGAATAATTCATCAGAGGGTATGTCAACTGTCTAAATCAACATTGGTCACCTGGTGGTCCCGGAAAAGGTTCCGGAGTAACCGTAAATGTGGCCAATTTATCACTTCCATCCACAGAACCAAGCCGTGTGGTACCTCAAAATTTACAGAATTTCATGGAAAATTCATATGGTGTGGGAGGTGTTGATTTGGATTTCATAATCATAATGATAATTCTATCATATTCAAAAGAACAGCCATGAAACCATTCACCATTATTTGTATGACTCTTCTATCTGCTACCAGGTGCTGAAGCGAGCACTAAATTTTAAATTAACAATCCCATGAAAATAAGTAGGACAGGGATGGATCGCTCTTTTGAAGCTTTTTCATAAATTTGTTTTTATATAGAATGCATGTGTTAAATCCAATTGAATTTCCAGTTAACCCATCTTATAATATATAGTTTATTGCTATTAATCTCCCTATAAAATTTAAAAATTTTGGCAACGCAGAGCCACACTGTGTTTTCACTGAAGGTATACTTGAGAGCGCAGAAATTTTGCATTTTAATTTGCAGATTCATAGCACTAAACTATCGATTTTAAGATGGGTTAACTGAAAATTCAATTGGATTTAACATAAGCATTCGATAATAAAAAGTAATTAAAAAGCCTCAAAAGAGTGATGCAGTTAGATACATTGTAGTGTTCAGTGAAGCAAGTCTATGTGAAAAGATGAATAATCCGTTGAATAAATTGTGCCTTACTTGTTGCGATCAGGAGTTTCCGACATATCCTCAACAAAATCCTTATTTTCTGGCGTTTAGTCGAGTGGCGCAAAGCAGTTAGTAATTGAGGATTCACAGCTACAGCCCCCTAGGATTAACGTAGACTTCTCTACAAATACTTATTTTCCTTACACATCAAAATTGTTCGCCAATTGACCACTTTGTCAAGCAGTTTTGGCGTGACTTTCTACCAGCGATTTCACAAAACTGGACCAACTAATTTCTATTTTTTTATGAAACGCACAAATGTTAGCTACTTTTCTCGTGGTTCTAGAAGAAAAAATCTCAAAATAATGTTTTATTTCAAAGTTCGAGTGGTAGTAAACGTCATTTTAACTGCTCGAATGAAGTGGTTAATTGCCAAATTGCGAAACTAGGATTTTTTCTTTAATTACACCAAGGTATACAGAACACAATCATATGATTCCTTGTAGAGTTCACAAATGGCCGCTACGTAGGCTATAAATACACTTCCACCTCGAATTTTCAATTACACAAACCTCGAAAATTACATATCCATTTCACCTGAAATTGCTACTGCATGTATGCTGCAGCGCAGCAAACGTGGAGTAACAGTTTCATTGTAGTACGTGTCGTGGAAGCTGATATTTGTGCACTTAAAGTGTCGAAGTGGTAGCGAGAATAAGGATCTCACAGCGAACCACCTGGGGAGTGCTAAGAGTTCTTTGTTTACAAAAGCAGTCCCTTTGACATATTAATCGATTTATTGACCTCTTAGTTTTAAATTTGCATCAACAGGCCACTAGCTGCCTCCGATACAAATTCTTTAGTCTTCTAAGCTCTGCAACTTCCGTAAGAGGCACATACTTTCAGTGTTATTCCAAAAGAGTTCTCATGTTGTGAAGCAATGTATTTGAACTGAGCTAATCTGAAACCATGAATACGAACTGATACAAATATTTAAATGGTTCATTAATTATTTAAAGATTCTTTATAAAATCACGGGTAGGACATTGCTTGTTGTTGGCTAAAAATGTCCATAATAGAGATTTAAAAAAATGCTTCATTGTCCTACCAGTCCCACCCACTTCTAGCGCTTCTGCGGTTTGCCACAATACTACCACGCTGTCTAGGCACCTGATTTTTTTATTATTATTTTAAAGAGGGCGTCATTTTAAGATTTTTTTTTTGTCTTTCAACTGGCTAAGACCACAGTTGGCCCATCTCGCCTCATTTTAAGATTGCTAAGGGCGCAGTCAAGCCTCGCTAAGTCTAGCTTCAAATTGCCAGCTGTGAAAATTCTCAAAAAAAAAATCTCTTTGGGCAAATTGGAAATAAGAAGATAATGAACGAAATAATCAAAACATTGTAAACCGGGGCTTCACGGCGACCTCTTCCTACGGATCGTTTTCCCCTTGACTCTACTTCCACCACCCACAGTCTACCACATCGACTCTGCTGATAATTTTATTAATTTACACGAAAAGGTGAACCTTGTATGCCTGGTTGAACACCCCCCAAGAAAGAAAAAAAAACCAATACAATAACAATCCACACTCACTTTCAAAGGCTTGCATAAAAAGCTCATGGTCCGTCTGGAGTTGTTCCATTTTAGGCTGCTTGGCCACTTCCGCTTCCCTGTCCTTTTTCTTCGATACCATCTTGCGGTTCTTAGAATTACTACTACCACTAGCACAGCCACTTCCAGCAGCAGCGCCGCTGGAACCTTTTAATTCCTTTCCGTCCAGCTTGATGGCGGTATTAGTAATTTACCGATTATGGGCTATTGACCAAGCAGACGAGGAAGAAGGGTTAGCGGAGTGGTAGCAATGGTTTCTTTTTCCAATGCAGTACCCTCGATGGATTCCTGCGCGAAGAGGTTTTTCACGACTTATTTCACATGGAATTCAGAGCAAAACACCGATAACCGAAATCACGATATTATTTTCCGTTTCTAGCAACTGAAAACTACACAACAAAACAGATTCTCGATGCGCAGCTTCGTTTTTGCAAAAGACGACGATCAGAAAATAAAACCCGCTCAAAAGGTGCGAGCAATGTTTGACATGACGCTCACTCAATCTAGTACTGCTGTTCGCGATTCGAGTCGAGTTCGGGGTTCGGGCTCGGGATCGAGCGGATCGAGGGTGAACGCGAGGTGTGTGCTTGAGGGATAGGAATTTATTACACGGTCAGCCAGATTAATTCAGTGTGTGAGTCACATCTGCTCACTCCTCAATGGATCAATGAAAATGCTGAGGTTTTGACAGAACTATCTGTGGCCACAGAGAACAGACGTCCAACTTCGGTCAGAAACTTGTGTAAAGATAAGTTGAAACATCGCCGTTACGTGGTGCTGGCATCTCCTGATTTCCTCTATAAATTTTCCACTTTCGACCAATTTGACGCTAGTATCGATAAATTTTTTGTTGAAAATTGCCACTTGGCACTATGGGAACGTCGCCGCTACGTAGTGCTAGCATCTCCTGATTTCCTCTATAAACTTTCCACTTTCCACCAATTTGGCGCTACACAGCAAAAAAAATGTAATATCGTTCAATTTAATTCAAGCTGATGTATGAAATAATCACAGACAAACAGACATAACACATTGAATATTTCTCACTGTAAAACATAGTCGCTAAAACATTACCGCCATCTATTGAGTACACTGTGGTGGGTAGTACCAAGAATCAATACGAAACTAACGATTTTAAATTGGCTCACCACTTTAGTAGCCTATTGATCCCAAGCAAACGATTAACGTACCCTATTCTAGTTGAAATTCTATTACTACACTATGTTTGTTTTGATTCGCTATGAAAGTTTGACAGATAACATCAGGGGTGTGTGGATTCATGCAGAACATGCATTGGTGAGTTAAATAGCTTGGGACTTCTTGGGACCGTTGTTCTGGTACTGAGTGAGCCAAAAATAATAATGATTTTCTTCGGGACCCAGTGGTCTTAGAGTTACCTCTATGGTAGTACGCTGAATAGATGGCGTTAGTGTGTAAACGTCAAACGTAAGGGAACTGACTATGCGCGCCACAGGTGGCGGTACTACCAACTACGATACTTTTAAATTGACCGTTAAATGCTTGTTCGATGAACAACTTGCGAATGTTATGTCTGTTTGTCTGTGAAATAATGATGTAATTGGCGCCTTGCAGTGAAACTTTTTCAAGCTTTCGCCACCTACATTTCGAAGTGAGAACTACTAGAAGGAGGATAGTTTCCAAATTTTCCAAGTAAAACAGACGCTTTTTGGGGCAAATCGGTCCATAAAGAAAAACTAATAATTTCCCGTGGAAACTTTTGCTTGAATCGTGTAAGAAAACGTGTTTGAAAACTATTTGTTATTATTTCGGTATGAATCGGAGATGTTTTCATGGCAAATTATGCATAACAAGTTTGCACCCACAGGGAGAGGTTACCTCCTGCGCAGCGGCATTTTTCGGAAAATTGTGAATATGTGTGATTTCCACTAGGATGAAAGTGGAAATTAAGTGAATTTACTTAGGAAAGGTTGTATCATGCTGGTGGTAATGGAGATTGGTTGTATAGGACGCCAATATTCAATAAATGTTCATTTTGGCCTTTTGTTAGCAAACATATTGATGCTCACAATTTTCGACGGAAAACGCAACGGAACTTGCTTTACTCAACACGCACCATACTATAAAATGGTGCTAGATGGTCTTCAAAGTGATAGCAAGATGACAAATCATCTCTATTTTGAGTAATTGAGCAATTTACTTCTGTTTACATCATATTTACGATGCAGCATTGTTGGAGCCGCGAAATGAAATGAATATATCTTATGAAAGTTCAACTGGAAAAGTCAAAGTTGCACATCAGTCTGATCGTAAAAACGTTTTCTTCTGCAATTGATCATTTTAGATGGTCAAGTTTTGAAACCACCACAGCATGCTTTTGGCGCTACTGTATATGGACGATCAAATGTAAAATACTGTGGTAGCCACAGCATAGTTCTGTCAAAAACACAGCATTTTCATTGATCCATTCGAATGTTATATTGGAAGAATTTACACAGGCTTGATGAAAATTATGATTTAACGCTAATTTTCACGAATATTATATGCAGTCTGTCAACATTATCATCATCATGCAGTGGCGACATCTGCGTTGAGCTTTTACGGCAATCTTCCAATAGCAAAAAGCAGATACAATATTACATCAATGGATGTAATTTTGTTCGCTAAATCGATGTAAATCGTTTGCTAGTTGCAGCAGTTTGGATGTAATATCACAGAGAACAGACATGGAGGCTCGAACAAAATTTCTCTAAAAACTTGTGTAAAGATTCCTATTTGACTTAAGCGCCACTAACGGCGACTTCCCCACTTAAAGATCCTCTTTGACAACATGATGGCGCTGGCGTTGCACAAATTACACTAGACACTAAGTGCTAGTAGCGCCAAGTGACAATTTTCAACAGATTTTTTTTTTTTTTTAATTCTTTATTAAAGAGATTTTTAGCCTTAGGCTAGTTCATCTCTAAATTTTCAACAGAAAATTTATCAATACTAGCGCCAAATTGGTCGAAAGTGGAAAATTTATAGAGAAAATCAGGAGATGCTAACACCACGTAACGGCGACGTTCCCACTTATTTTACACAAGTTTCTGACCGAACTTGCACGTCTGTTCTCTGTGGTAATATTCAACAACTTTTTTTTCTGTGCAGGTTTGCTTCCACTCACTTGCTATTGGAAGATTGCCGCAAAAGCTCAACGCAGATGTCGCCACTGCATGATGATGATAATGTTGACAGACTGCATATAAAATTCGTGAAAATTAGCATTAAATCATAATTTTTATCAAGCCTGCGTAAAATTCTTCCAATATAACATTCGAATTGAAGAAGAAAACGTTTTTACGATCAGACTGATGTACATTTTTGACTTTTCCAGGTGAACTTTCATAAGATATATTCATTTCATTTCACGGCTCCATCAATGCTGTATCGTAAATATGATGGTAAACAGAAGTAAATTGCTGAATTACTCAAAATAAAGATGATTTGTCATCTTGTTTTCACTTTGAAGACCATCTAGCACCATTTTATAGTATGGTGCGTTTTGAGTAAATCAAGTTCCGTTACGTTTTCCGTCGAAAATTGTGAGTATCAATATGGTTGCTTAAAAAAGGCCAAAATGAACATTTATTGAATACTGGCGTCCTAAACAACCAATTCTCTATTACCACCAGCATGATACAACCTTTCATAAGTAAATTCACTTAATTTCCACTTTCATCTTAGTGAAAATCGCACGTATTTACCAGTTTTCTGAAAAATGCAGCTGCGCAGGAGGTAACCTCTCCCTGTGGGTGCAAACTTGTTATGCATAATTTTCCATGAAAACATCTCCGATCCATACCGAAATAATAACAAATAGTTTTCAAACACGTTTTCTTACACGATTCAAGCAAAAGTTTCCACGGGAAATTCTTAGTTTTTCTTTATGGACCGATTTGCCCCAAAAAGCGTCTGTTTTACTTGGAAAATTTGGAAACTATCCTCCTTCTAGTAGTTCTCACTTCGAAATGTAGGTGGCGAAAGCTTGGAAAAGTTTCACTGCAAGACGCCAATAAAAAAATTATTTTCTGTATTTTGAAATCATTAGACGTTATAACACAGAGAACAGACATTGAGGCTCGAACAAAATTTCTCTAAAAACTTGTGTAAAGATTCCTATTTGACTTAAGCACCATTAACGGCGACTTCCCCGCACTTAAAAACCCTCTTTGACAACATGATGGCGCTGGCGTTGCAAAACTTACATTAGACACTAAGTGCTTGTAGCGCCAAGTGGCAATTTTCAACAGAAAATTTATCGATACTAGCGCCCAATTGGTCGAAAGTGATAAATTTGTAGAGGAAATCAGGAGATCACAGGAGTGGAACTATGGATCAGAAAGTGGCTCCACTTGTCATTTGCCAACACTAGCGCACCTAGCGGTAGAAGGCATCTTCTGCCTGCAGTTAAGATAGGCAGCATGCTATGATAGTATGCGTGCACATAGAAAGCCGGTGTGGAACGCTACCACAACACATCGCTTGTTGAGCAGAAAAACGAACACTTTTTGATTCACCGATTTGTTCGCACTTCTCCTTCTGTTCTGTGAGGAGATGCTAGCGGTCAATGAGCTGGATTACCGAGGTGAAGCAATCACTCACACAACCACTGTACGATACACGCAAGTACACGCAAGTAGTGACGTCACTACTTGCGTTTACGTTGATTTTTTGGTTTACTAATACAACCCTATTTCACGATCTGCGCCACCTCTCTCTGTACCTCATTGGCTAGCGGTACGTAACTGTGACGTTTCCACTTAACTTTACACAAGTTTCTGATCGAACTTGAACGTCTGTTCTCTGTGGTTATAATGATATTTTGTACTTGCTAGATACAAGAAGATGTTGAAAGGCAAGTATCTGACACATAAAATCTGTCATTTTCGCTTCCAGAGTGTTGTGTTACAGTCAGTGATTTTATGATTCGTGAGCGTTCACTCAGAGTGAGCGCTCGCGAGTCGTAAAATCGCTGATTGTGACTATCTCAATGTGACACTTGCCTTTCAAGTTCTTCTTGTATCTAATAAGTACAAAATATCATGATAACATCTAATGAATTAAAAATTCTGAAAATTATTTTTTTATATCAAGCCTGTTTTTAAATAATTTTAGAAGGTATTTGAATGCGCTATAAAGCAAAATAATTCGAAAAAAATATCTGCAGAGAGGGCATCTAAATTCCAGCTATTTTTCGGAGTCGATTAAGGGTGGTCTGTGAGTGTTGGCATCCTGGTCCGGGATCAAATGTGGTGCCTCCATGGTATCGGCTTATTTCTACGGGGAAAGAACCGCCAGAATCTAAGCGACAAATACAGTAGCGCTGTGCTCGAGTGAAGGTGGAAGTAACGCATAGATAAATGAGCAAATACACAAACCATTCTTCTGAGGTTGTAATCTTTGCTATCCAATTCGTTCGAAGCATTTACCTTTTCGCGGCAGATGACTCGATTGTGCCGGTCTCATCGAGGTCTCATAGCAATGAGCTGGATTACCGAGGTGAAGCAATCACTCACACAACCCCTGTACGATACACGCAAGTACACGCAAGTAGTGACGTCACTACTTGCGTTTACGTTGATTTTTTGGTTTACTAATACAACCCTACTTCACGATCTGCGCTACCTCTCTCTGTACCTCATTGGTCTCATAGCGGTCGAATGAGAAAATGGTAGAGTTGCCAGTCTTCCTCGCAGTCTTCTCGATATGTTGTCTTCACTGCAACTGCCATGTACCCATTAATGGGTAAAAAAGGACCCATTTTTGATGACTATATGAGGCTGTCAAATAATGGGTGAAGTTCAATTTCAAATAATGGGTACTCTTTTACCCATTTCTCAGAGCGCTTCGGGCGAGAATAATGAGTACTTTTTTACTCATTAATGGGTGAAAAGCAACTTAGATAACATCTTCCAGTCCTCGCTTCAGTCGCAAAGTGTCTTAACGATGTCGAATGGAAATTGCTCGTTTGAAAAGTAGGTATTTCTTATTTTATTTCTTTCTGCCCACATCTAAACATCAATCTGAAACTTGCAGGGACAGAACTAGCCGGATCAGCAAGGAGATCCCAGGAGAGCTTTGGGAGCACCATTTCTTGCACGAACGATGGAAAGACCACTGGATGGAAAATGGTGAAATAAAGATATAAATATAAATAACGTTTTGTATTCTTAACTATTCATTGTGGCTCTTTCAATGATCCATAAATCATACAAATTCTAAAAGAAAAATCATGGTTTAAGGATTTCAAAATTGGGTACTTTGTACCCATTTTATAAAGCCAATTATTATTTAAAAATGGGTAAAAAAGTACCCGATGATGTGACGTACAAGGTCTTTACCCATTAATGGGTAAAGACGTTTTACCCATTAAATGAGTTTACCTACTTTACTTCGAAATGGGCACTTTTTCACCCATTAATGGGTACTTTCCAGTTACAGTGTATCTCTATCTCCTTCTATCTCTATTGGCGTTGACGGCGACTCTGTAGCTCTTTACTCCTATGAGAAAATTCATTAGCAAACGTCAGACTGTGCGTGAAACATGGCGGACTTTGTACTATCCTTTCACTCCACCGAAAATTCCTATAAGAAACTGTCTATATTTGCTGACAGAGCAAATCTTTCGACGGTGCCGTCAACACCAATAGCAAACCCCACACGCATCAATATTGACGCGAAGGGGAATTCAAGACCAACAATTAAAAAGGCCTCAACTCCATTTTGTAAACAAGACCATTTTATCGCAAACCAAAGTCCGCCAAGGCAAAACAACATAATGAACAGGTAGAGGAAATTCTCCTCTACCCGATTGTGGTTTAGGATCAATGAGCTGGATTACCGAGGTGAAGCAATCACTCACACAACCCCTGTACGATACACGCAAGTACACGCAAGTAGTGACGTCACTACTTGCGTTTACGTTGATTTTTTGGTTTACTAATACAACCCTACTTCACGATCTGCGCCAACTCTCTCTGTACCTCATTGGTTTAGGATTGCGAATGTAGGTTTCGGTTCCCGAGAAAATGGCCTTAGAAGGTTTGTTTATAAAATGGAGTTGAGGCCATTTCGATGGTTGGTCTTAAATTATTGACAATAATTTTAATGATGTGAATTCAGAAATATTGTCAATCTCGATGTATTGACGTCAATATAGAATGTATTGACAATACGATTATTGTCAATAACAGCAATCGTGTAGGGTCCACTTATCTTACGCACTTCAAACCGGTCAATCACGAGCTGGTTCGCGTTTGACAGAAAAGTGATTCATTTTCGCCCCAGTATTAGGTACTGCAGCGTGACGTCATAAATGAACTCAGTGTTAATCGGCTGAACCTTTTTGACAGTTCAGTGGTACTGTTTACAAGCACTTAGTCGTTTTTTCGAAATAAAATTTCTAATTTTTTTGAATTTTAACTTGAAAATTGTCGAGGAACAGCGCGTTGCAAGGATGTTGCTCGTGAACATTACAGAAATGCTGTTTACATCTCACTGCAGTCTGAAAAATTATCGAGAAAATCCACCCAAGAAAAAATCGACTAAGTCCACGTAAACAGTACCACTGAACTGTCATCAGATTGAGGTTAACCCCGACGGTGCAAAACCTAATTCTAAAATTTCCGAATTTTAACTTGAAAATTGTCGAGGAACAGCGCGGTGAAAGGACAATGCAGAAGTGTGGTTTACATCGCTCTGCACTCTGAAAAATTATCGAGAAAATCCACCCAAGAAAAAATCGACTAAGTCCACGTAAACAGTACCACTGAACTGTCATCAGATTGAGGTTAACCCCGACGGTGCAAAACCTAATTGTCTCATCTTCTCTTAGGTTTTGTTGATTGTGCTTCAGTCAGTTTTGTCTGTTTTTTATGGAACCTGATGAAGGCAATGTGATCCGTCGAAATTTGTTGTTTAATATTAATCCGAACAGTTACTGCTAGTTTTTTTTATAACTAGCTAAAAGTTATTAGTTGGTGACAACGTCTAAAACACATTTTACAAGATTTACTTAAGAAGAACCGTAATAGAAAACTTCATCAGCAACCAGGAAGATGGAGTCAAGTTTGAACAAAATTTTAAATATGAACCGACAACAACTCAGTGGTCAATTGTACAAGTATACTAATGTTGTCAAAGGTAGAAAACATTGGGTGTGTTCTTGTCTATTCTGTTTGCTCAATGCAATTTATTTTGTAGGATGGCAGTATCGATGGTTTACGGTGGATGCTCAAGCGGGATTGCTTAGCTATTATCTGTGTGAGCCATCTAATGATGACTCAAATCCAAATATCATAGGAAATTCACCTCGAGGTCAAGTTCATTTGGCAGGTGCAGTGATATGCCCTAGTGACGAGGACTCTAAAACATTCACGGTCAATTGTGCATCGGGCGATATGTTGAAGTTGAGAGCAGGAGATGCCCGGGCCAGACAAGAATGGGTAGACGGATTGAGAGCCATCGTAGAAAGTCATTCGAATTCTGCTACTTCATTACCACCGAGAGATCAGCTTGCTGCACACGATGCATTTGGAGCCGCTCGGCAACAAATGCAACAAACCGAACTAAGCAATGCAGCCCTAGCCCGTGCAATCGAAAATGTATCGGATCCCCTAGTACACACAGATCCTGATTTATTGATGCTGAAAGCTCTTTCTGCAGCAAATACGCATTGTTTACTTCAGTGTCTAGGTTTGCTTCAAAGGCATCATGAGCTTGAGCCTACATTTTCAAGCCTTTAAGATGCATTTATACATTTTCAAACTCATTCTCGCTCACATCCAAAACTTGCTGCTTAAAAAATTTATCGCGCAATCAAATGTTGCATGTTTAAGTAAAACTGACACAATAGTAGTATAAATAATTTAGAAATAAAAGCGACTAACCCCTTGTCTGTGTAATGATTCCGAACATTACAAGCTGTTGTGGACATTTGGGGGAGGGAGGGATTTTAAGGTTTGTGAACAGCCCCTAATTAATTAGAAAACAGTCAAAAATAGTATTTAATTTAGGATTTCGGATGCTATAGTAAGTTTGTGAATTTTGGGCAACAATGATTTATATCAGAGAGAGACATGCATTATCGTCTATCCTTATGTTTATGCTTCTTTTTCGCTTTCTTATTCTTTTTTGACTTTTTGTGTTCCTTAAGCTTTTTCTTTTTGCTTTTCTTGCTGGAAGTTTTATCTTTTTCAACCCATTCCTCAACGATGGAGTGGGAGCCAGTTTTCTCGATTATTGCTTTCAACCGGGCGTCCAGCTGGTGTTGTGTCGCCAATGATGATGATGAAGAAGTGGGAACTTCGTTGGCCGTTTGGGATGGTAGCTTTGGCCCGTAAAATTCATCATCTTCGGAACTAGACGACGAGTCTTCAGAATCTGCAGTAATTTTGCGAACCCCTGAATCAGGTTCTGTCCTTTTGATTTCAAGAATACTTTTGAAAATACCTCGTGGAGGAGAGTTGTTACGCAGTACATTCATTTGGCTCGCAGGTTTTATTGCTACCAAGCTTTCCACCAGTTTAATTTTGTCGGTTTCATTCATTGAGGATGCCGAATCTGTTCGTATGGCTTCTGATGGTTTTGGATCGGCTTCTTCATCTTCGTCGCTGCTACAGAAAATAGACTTGAAGAGATCTTTCTTTTCTTCCGGTTTCATATTAATGCTCTCCAGTACTTTCTGTTCCAAGTCAGTTCGATTCTCCGGTTTCTTCGCACCAATCGTTTGCACATGAGGTTTTGGGATGACAGTAGAACTACGCTTCTCATGGCTTGTACTAGGCTTATCAACTCCCGAAAAGAAATCTTTCGCGGAAACCCTGACGGGAACAGATTCGGTGCCTTTTTCATCTTTTGTGCTGCGTTTTGGAATAACGACTGGGGTTACAAAGTTCGACTTACTGTGTACCGGTGCTTCTAGATAATCGAATACAGAGAACTTGTTTTTAGTTTTCGTTTTTTCTTCTTCTAGCATCCCGCCAAATGGTTCCGGTACATTGAAACGTTTGCAGAGATCTTTGTTTGGCTTCCATATTGATCGATCTCGCTTCATTTTGATGTCCAACAATTTTGTAGGATCAACGGTTTCCTTCTCGCAAATCAAGCTTGATTCCGTAACAAATCGGTCAGACATTAAACCATCCAGAGGCCGGTACATTCGCTGAGCTTGAGAAAATTCTTTAAATTCGCGCTCGCGATCCCACGAAGACATACCAAGCGGTTGAAGAGAATTTAGAAATTCTTCTTTGGATTTTAATTTATCCGTAGGTGTGAAAGAGACAAACTTGTCGTACCTTTCTTGTTTTTCTGGGTCTGCTATGAATGGTTTGAATCCTTCCTTGGTAGCTCCAAGATTGCCAGTTGCTAATAGGATATCAAATTTTAGGGGATCTTTTTTCACTTCAATTTGATTTTGTCCATCAGCTTGGCTTGAACTCAATTCGTCTGGATTCATGACTTTACTAGTAACAAAAGAATCCTTTCGTTTGTTAATGATGTCCAATATAGAGTTTTTTGTATCCTTCGATTTATCCAGTGGCTTCTCTCCTAAAGCCTGGGCACGTTTCTCCGGATCCAAATCATGCCTTCCTAATCCTTGTATTCTGTACCGATTCGATTCAAGAAACTGTTTTTCTTTTGTTTCATCCAAGGGCTCGAACCGGGTACGCCTCTGTAACCAATTCCGTGGCATAAAGTTACCAGGAAGGTTGACTCGAAAGACTTTCTTCATTCCTTTCACCACTTTTTTTGACGGACAAAATCCCTCCAAACAATTGGCATATCCGCTGGATTTGATTGCTGCCGGAGCCTTTGATTTATCTTCCAGGGAGAAGTCGTACCGAGACATGTCGTCTTTTGCATAAACATCTTCATCATCGTCGTCTTCCAGGGCACCTACACCAAAAGCTTGACCTCGAATTGATAATTTTTTATTATTCCTATCGACTATTTCCAATGTGTCAAATAGGTTAAATCTTTGGGCAACGACAGATCCTCGTTCGAGCCCTGAATAACCTAAACCAAATGTGTTATCTTTTATTGCTGCTAAGAGGGGATCAAAATCATCAGGAGCAAATGTGACTTCATAATCTGAAGAATCGCTTTGGCTATCAGAATCCTCTTCATTTGCATTTTGAATTCCTCCACTGGGAAGTTCACAACCATACATTTTCATCACGAAGAGTTCCTTATCATTGCGATTCTTAGCTTTTTGTTTTTCAACTTTACTCTGCCTCTCACCAATACCTTGTCCTTCACGCCATCCCATGTTTTTGAGCATCCGCACCGCAGTCCTTTCTTTTGCAGGCTCAAGCAATGTCTTTAATACAGGAGTTCCCGGAATAGGCCCACTCCAATTGCTCTGAACTAGCTGACGTTTGGTGGCTTTGCTAGAATGGGCAAAATCTTCCTTAGTTTGAACCCGCTGCGGTGCGATTCCGAACTCCCCTAGATCTTCATCATCCATAAAATCCATTGGATTTTGTGATCTGGAAGCAGCTTTTTCCTTGCGGGAGCTTTTAAATTCTGCCGGTTTCCAGCCTTCCTCTGAGCCAACGGTATTCCAATATCCAGCGGAGAATCCACCGGTAAATGCCCCATGAAATCGACGTTTTCCATTTACATCCAACACAATTTGATCTTCGACTGAAACGGGTTTCTTAGCGGGAATCTCGTCTGAAACGAACTACAATCAGCAGCCAGCCACAGAATTTTAGTAAATGGTAAATCTTACCTTCTTCATATGTTGGCAACGGCGTACCAAATCTACACAAGGTCTCTTCATCTTCATCCATGATAGCGATTGAATTAGAGAATTAATTTCAATGAATCTTTCCTTCGAAGTTGATGCTGCTATATCAAAAAAATTTAGGCTATGCGTAGTATTTTTGCTTATTTTTGTTTTTTTTTTTTATGACGTTTCAGAAGAGTCGGAAGAACACGGTAATCGCAAATAACTCTTTTATGATGTACACGGTAACCAGCGTAAACACATTAATGTGTAAAATTTCACACATTTCGAGAAAAAATGGGCCTACTCATAAAATGTGTAAACTGCGTTTACACATTTATGTGTAAACCCAGCAAACGTCAAAAGAAGTGTTTTTTTTACACATTTTTCAAGAACGGGTTTTACAGCAAAATGTGTAAAAAGTAATCATTTCTAGAACTTAAATACAACCCTAATAAAATTGTTATGGTTATTTTGCTTAACGACGTGTTCCGGTATCATCCAAACCATTTGTGGAATGGTTCTATTATTTGGGTTGTCGTTCGTTTATGGTTATTTTGTATTAGGGAATGGTTGCGCATGGTTTTTTATTAACTTCGGAATTTTCTTATTTGTGTCAAAGATTAAATAAAGATTGCTCGAATACAATAATATTTTATTAAAAAAAGGAATGCCATAAAAAAAAAATTAGTAACGGCGCCGGTGGTATAGTGATAAGCGTGATTACCTCTTACCCCAGCAGGCCTGATTTCAATCCCAGTCGGCACCGCTGGGATGTTCTGAGGCATAACATCTCTGATCACGCCGAGAATCGCGCCTTCCTTCGGAAAGGAAGTAAAGCCATTGGTCCCCGGTTCATGAGTTCATGGATCGATAGGTAGGATCCAGGTATGGGAGCTGCCTTCCTGGCGTCAGTAGCATTGGTGCTCAGCACGGAAAACAAATCAAGGAAAAAACAAACATCATTATGAAGCAAGCAAGCGAGACACCGGACATTGATTATGATTATTTTTCTAAAACTTAACTATGAAAATAGTATAAACCACCTACCCTCTAGTATGTCCATCGTTGCACTGTCCAGCTTGGACCGTAGTTCTTTCATTTTCCTGGTGTACTTCACTGACATATATACAAATTACGTGCGTAAACAAGGCAGGATAGAGCAAAGTTTGAAGTATTTTTTTACCCATTAATGAGTATAAAAATACACATTTTTTGACTGGAACTACATTCTTAAAATGTGTATTTTTTTTACACATTTTAAGATCCCCAAATTTACACATTTTTTGACAGCTGCATATAAACCTAAAAAATGTGTATTTTTATACTCATTTATGTGTTTACGCTGGTTACCGTGTACGCATTTTTAAATGAAAACGGGACTACCCACAAAATGAGTAAAATTTTACACATTTATGAGCAATTACTAGTACAAAAATGAATAAATTTTATGCATTTATGAGTAACAGATAGTCATAAAACGTGTAAAAAATAACACATTTCAGGCGTAGTCCCTTTTTAGCCGAATATGCATCCTTTATAGTCAAAATTGAGTCCTATATCAGTGCTAACATTTGAAAACGGCACAAAAGCCATTTGTAAACAAATGGTTTGTGGGCCCTTTACTCACTACTTGAAGTACACCCACGCGACACAACAGCAACATCGGGTAGGGGAAATTTTCCCCTTCCTGACGATGCTGTTGGTTTGCGTGGGCGTTCTTCGGGTAGCGAGTAAAGGGCCCACAAACCATTTGTTTACAAATGGCTTTTGCGCCGTTTTCAAATGTTAGCACTGATATAGTTTTTTTTTATTTATCTTTATTTAAGAGATTGGCGTCTTGCAGCACAGAGAACAGACGTTCAAGTTCGGTCAGAAACTTCGCCGTTAGTGGCGCTTAAGTCGAATAGGAATCTCTACACAAGTTTTTAGAGAAATTTTGTTCGAGCGTTCATGTCTGTTCTCTGTGTCTTGTGAAACTTTTCCAAGCTTTCGCCACCTACATTTCGAAGTGAGAACTACTAGAAGGAGGATAGTTCCCAAATTTTCCAAGTAAAACAGACGATTTTTGGGTCAAATCGGTCCATAAACAACAACTAATAATTTTTCCGTGGAATCTTTTGCTTGAACACGCAGAAAAAACTATCGTCGTCACAAAAATATTTGAGGTAAATTTAAACGTAAACCACAGAGAACAGACGTTCAAGTTCGGTCAGAAACTTGTGTAAAATAAGTGGGAACGTCGCCGATACGTGGTGTTAGCATCTACTGATTTTCTCTATAAATTGTCCACTTTCGACCAATTTGGCGCTAGTATCGATAAATTTTCTGTTGAAAATTGCCACTTGGCGCTACTAGCACTTAGTGTCTTGTGTAATTTGTGCAACGCCAGCGCCATCATGTTGTCAAAGAGGGTTTTTAAGTGGGGAAGTCGCCGTTAGTGGCGCTTAAGTCGAATAGGAATCTTTACACAAGTTTTTAGAGAAATTTTGTTCGAGCCTCCATGTCTGTTCTCTGTGATAAAACGGTTTGCAAAGAAATGAAAAAAAAAGATCTGCGGGCAGGGCATCTTAATTCCTGCTCTTTTTCGGGTGCGATTAAGGGTGACCTGTGGGTATTGGGGTCCTAGTCCGGGATGCGAGGACCCGTCGGGGTTGGTGTCCGGGGGTTCTAGTTCAGTGGAACCGGTGCAAATTTGTGTTATTAGCGTCGTTTTGCCGTTTCTGCCACTGGTCCTCATACCGGTTTCTTTCCATGTTCGGTATCGGAGGAGGATCCGGAATGGATTCGGAATGGATGGTCGTTTTCTGTTGAGGTTGAGCAAAGCTGGGTCAACTTTTTCTGAATGTAACAACAGATTTCTATTTCACTTAAGCGTCACTAACGGCGACTTCCCCACTTTAAACCCTCTTTGACAACATGATGGCGCTGGCGTTGCAAAACTTACACTAGACGCTAAGTGCTGGTAGCGCCAAGTGGCAATTTTAGACCGATAATTTATCGATACTAGCGCCAAATTAGTCGAAAGTGATACATTTATAGAGGAAATCAGGAGATGCTAGCGCTACGTAACGGCGACGACACAAGTTTTTGACCGAACTTGGACGTCTGTTCTCTGTGTTCATGGTTGAAAAATACTTCAAATTTACCATGTTGCCTTGTGAATATGGTAACATCAACAGAAATGCTGTTTGGTTGGAAAACAAAACGATTACTATTTACCTGCTAACCGAGGTAAACACAGATCGCCATTATGTAAAAAATCATTCGACAAGTGCGCATCAGCGTATTTTCAGGTTGCAGATAAAATTGGCAGCTAAAGTTGAACGGTTGAACCGTTGAACCTTGAACCATAGAGCTTGAACTATTGAATCATTCCTGGAATCTAAAATTGTTTTTGTCTCACAGAAGCTCCGTTATCGATATGAAATTTTTCACTTCTGAATCAAAGTCATCCGAGCTAACGCAACAAAAAATTCTGGTTCCCGTTTACACTGACGAAAAATAAATCACAAACAGTGCTGCTTGTTCGCAACATTTTCTCTTGGGACTCTTATTATAACATCGACTCTGTGATGCATTAGCTTGTCAAAATCTGAGTAAACGAGAAATGTCAAACTGAGTAAAAGCCACTCAGTCAGCCAAATCCGGAACATAGAAAAAAATGCCAGCCGTATCGGAGCAAACGATCTACACAGAAAAAAAAGTTGTTGAATATTACATCCAAACTACTGCAACCAGGTCAATCCATCGGTTGTGTAATATAACGTTGTACGATGTACATCGATTTTGCGAACAAAATTACATCCATTGATGTAATATTGTATCTGCTTTTTGCTATTACATCATTGTTTCATACATCAGCTTGAATTACATTGATCGATATTACATTTTTTTTTGCTGTGTAAGAAACGGCGAAATTATTGTATAACACCGGTCGAAATCTAAGAAGAAGAGGAGAAAACTGGCTTCTTACTCTTTAATCTCTATCTCTATCTTTTTCTATATCTATCTCTATCTGTATCTTACGCACTTCAAGTCGGCCAATCGATTCGCGTTTAATTAACCACTTCATTCGAGCAGTTAAAATTACGTTTACTACCACTCGAACTTTGAAATAAAACATTATTTTGAGATTTTTTCTTCTAGAACCACGAGAAAAATAGCCAACATTTGTGCGTTTCATAAAAAATATAGAATTTAGTTGGTCCAGTTTTGTAAAATCGCTGGTAGAAAGTCACGCCAAAACTGCTTGACAAAGTGGTCAATTGAAAAGTGGTTCGTTTTCGCCCCCGTATCAACAATCAATACGAAACTATCGATTTGACATTGGCTCACTACTTGACTAGCCTATTGGTCCCAAGCAAATCGATTAACGTACCCCATTCTAGTCAAAATTCTAGTACTACACTATGTTTGTTTTGATTCGCTATGAAAGTTTGACAGATAAAATGAGGGGTTAGTGGAATTTCCTATGTTTCGAGGGGTGAATCGATTAGCTTGGGACCGAAGATAGTACCAGAGCTGAGCCAAAAAGTAGAGCTCGTTTCTTCGTGACCTACTAGCACAAACGAAGTGACAGACGGAGCGGCTCGAAAACTTTGGTGACGCACCTGCTATTGCAATTTTTCAGTGTACCACATGGCAACACCATTACTACTGGCTTGTACCACATGGCAACACTACTAATGGATTGTACTAGAATGTTTTGGTTCTATCTCTTTCACTCTACTCTAAACTGAAATGCATAAAAAATGACAAAATGATACACTCTTTGCACACTGTCAAAGCTCATATTGCACATAAAACCAACTATGTTCAAATCGAAACAAAAATACTATCTCATCTGGTGGATGATGGCAAAAGCTTCGAAGAAAATTCTATTACAGCGAACCACATTATTTTAATTGATTTCTTCGCCAGTTAGTCGTCTGTCACTTCGTTTGTGCTACACAGCAAAAAAAGTTGTTGAATATTACATCGAAACTGCTGCAACCAGGTCAATCCATCGGTTGTGTTATATCACATTGTACGATGTACATCGATTTTGCGAACAAAATTACATCCATTGATGTAATATTGTATCTGCTTTTTGCTATTACATCATTATTTCATACATCAGCTTGAATTACGTTGATCGATATTACATTTTTTTTTGCTGTGTACTAGTCTTAGAGTTACCAACAATCAATACGAAACTAACGATTTTAAATTGGCTCACCACTTTAGTAGCCTATTGGTCCCAAGCAAACGATTAACGTACCCTATTCTAGTTGAAATTCTATTACTACACTATGTTTGTTTTGATTCGCTATGAAAGTTTGACAGATAACATCAGGGGTGTGTGGATTCATGCAGAACATGCAGGGGTGAGTGAAATAGCTTGGGACTGCTTGGGACCGTTGTTCTGGTACTGAGTGAGCCAAAAATAATAATGATTTTCTTCGGGACCCAGTGGTCTTAGAGTTACCTCTATACGAGGGGGGCGACACATCTAAATCTCAATTCTAGATGCTCAACAAATCTAACACTAGCGAATAAATCTTCGAAAAATCTTCTTACATTTCTCGCATCTACTTGCATCGCGAATCATCTTTTTGCAGGAAATCTTCAAAATCGTGATAAATCTTCTGTCTACCTACTCAGCGTACGCGCAGCTAGCCACAGCGAAACACAATATTTCTTGCATCGTAGATAGAGTCGTCCCCCTCGCCTCTATGCTCATACCCCGTACAGACTATGGCTTATATCATGTAATATAGGCTGTCTTGCAATGAGCACTCATACATCTAGTTTTCACTGGAAATCCTATGTATGAGTGCTCATTGCAAGACAGCCTATTTTACATGATATAAGCCATAGTCTGTACGGGGTATCACCATCAATCAATACGAAACTAACGATTTTAAATTGGCTCACTACTTGACTAGCCTATTTTTTCCAAGCAAATCGATTAACGTATCCCATTCTAGTCAACATTCTAGTACTACACAATGTTTGTTTTGATTCGCTATGAAAGTTTGACAGATAAAATGAGGGGTTCGTGGATTTTCCTATGAAGAGAGTACCAGAGCTGAGCCAAAATGTTGAGCACCTTCGGGAGCTTCTAGTCTTTGAGTAACCTCTATGCTACTACGACCATATAGGTAACTCTAATACCAGAAGGCCCCGAAGAAACGTGCTCAACTTTTTGGCTCAGCTATTTTGAATGGTAATGGTTCTTAACAACCCATTATTTGAAAGGTTCATTTCCAAAAAACCATAATACAAACCATAATACAAAACCTCGGTTAAAACTTTATCACACAAACGCTTATGTAAAGTTCCATAACCATTTCAGTTAAAGTTTAGCAGGAATTGTAAACATGTTTTAACCATTTTCGGTAAGGCCAAGTTATGGTTCACGTTTATACGGGTAGAGCTGTTGGGATTAGAAATTATTTCTTGGGATATTTCCGAGGATATTTCAAAAGTGTAACCGATGGTTCCAGAATGTGGGCTTGTGACTATCATAATCGACTGTACAACAGTGTTGTAGAATGGTCGTCCTAAATCCAACTCTGCTTTTGGTCGCTCACTTTCCCATACCGTTCCATTCGCGTGCGGCACCACTCACTCTCATGAAACCGGTTGACAGCAGGCGCTCTGCCGAAAAGGTTGTCCATAGATGGGGCAAGGGGAGAGGTAATGCAGATAAATTGAAAACATAAATACAGTGAAATTCGGGTTCGCTCGTAGTTCATGGTTTTTCGGTCATTGCTTGGCGTGTTAGCAGAAGTAAATTCATTTCCTTCTTGACCGCACTCGGGAATAGTCTCAGTGCGCACCGTGCTAAGTTTTCCCGTAAGTCCGCCGAAAGGGCGATGTGTCGGTAGTGAAGTTTTTAATTAATGTGATTTGTTTCTTTAATTGTAGGGTCTAGTGCGTACCAGAAAAGTTAGAGTCAGGGTTAGTAAAGTTAGTGAACATAAAAATAAAAAGTGGTTAGTATTGTTAGAGATAAAAACATTTAGACACTAATGGCGGTAAGCTCCAATCGGTATTATCCTCGGATTAAATCCCAATCAAGAATGTCCGGCTGCTTTGATGTCGACATCAGAGTTATTCAACACGATGCTATGCAAACAATTCGCAGATCATCCAAACAGGGACGGTATTAAAAGTTAATCCGAGTTGGAGCTTACCGCCATAATTGTGTTCCTTTGTTCACAATCTAGGGTAGTGTGACCTATTGTCACCCCACATTAAATGTTCATTGTTCTGAACATTTTCGTCTGTAAGAAAAAGGTAATTTATTGTATACTTTTGTTATATTGTGAAAGATCTGGGTGAGTTTGTAAGCTTGCGGTTTAATTGGTGATTTGGGGCAGGGCAAAAACAGCATTGGGTGTTTGTAACTAATCCAGGTGGTTAGGTCCACTAAGGGCCTTTTTCTTTTGTTTCATCGACAGCTATTGTCCGGGAATCGGCGCCATTGCATTCCTCGGCGATAAAATTGTAGGCTCAGCCATTTTGAATTCTGGTTACCACTACCTGTCCAGATTGGCCAACTGGCCCGGCGAAAACTGCATGCCCCGTGAGGGAATGTGTGGGAACATTTTCGGAAGTTCCGTGATTCACGATACGCACCCGCACACCAGCAACACTACCGATACCCAGCACCAGCATCCTCCCCGCTGCCACCGCACCAGCACCACCACCCTGCACCGCCATTAGCTAAGACCCACCACCAAAACCGCAAGTAATATGTGACGTCAAAAATTTAGATTTAAGAAAGCAAACCCAAAATCTACACACAAAAAATTATCGTTGTTGAAATTAAAAAAAAATCGTTGGTAGAATTAAAAGTTTGCGTTGGTTCTTTTTGGTAGAAAGCGGTTAGCTTTCAAAATAAAAGTTAGCCAACTGTCAAATCAAAAGTAGTCCACTCACTACTTTTAAAAGTTTGAACTTTCAAAATGAATTGTACTACTGTCAATTCAAAAGCATCACAGTGTTGAAATTAAAAGTGGATTATTTTTTAACCAAAACAAACTATTAACATTAAAGTTCCTTACTGTTACAATAATATGTACCATTTCGATTTAAAAAATCAATATTTTCAGTATGAATACCAGCATTTTCAATCATAACAATCAAATTTTTTATTTAAAAATCTATTAATTATAAAATTCCTATTTTTGTGCTTCAATTTCAAATTCCAAAAATAAATTTATGTTTTAATATTGAATATTTTTATAGTTTACATGATAATTATTAGATTTTTGTATGGTTAGATAGACGTCGTATAGCAGCAGTCAGATTTTGCACTGCATCATCCATGTCTGTTGTGGTCCAGTACGGAGCAACAAACTCAATGAACTGGTGGCTTCGCAGAGGACATGTTCTATGTGGGAAGCAGCCAGCGAAGCGTCGTGGATCTAATCTAGAATGGTATATAGAAATTAATGAGAGTGTAAAAGTAAGGGGTATAATCTGAAATAATCTTGTCCAAGCAGGGGGAAATTTAAGGTCATTACTGGAATCTTTGTCGGACATTTGCGAGGTTTGCGTCTGTTCGAGAGTTTCTTGTGCTCGTGTTCGATTTCACTACCGGAATTGGCGAGCTGCTCGTTTCTAGAGCCGTATAGACGTCCTTCAGGTAGTTCCAGGTAGGTTTTCACGTTCTAATGGACGACCGGATTCTACTGAAAGATTAAATATTTTATTCTTGATCGAGACAGGGAATAATTTCAATACTCAACTGTTGCATGGGTCGATGCACAGGCTGGTGGCTGGTAAAATGTTCCACCTAATGTTTAGCGCGTTTTGTTTTTATATACTCACGCTACCGTAGAATAACCCATAAAAAGGTAGAAATCTACCCATGAAGAAGTAAATTTGACAGTAAAACAATTTTCGATTTGAAAATTTGAGCTTTTAAAACTACAAGATAAGATCAAATTGAATTGAAACGAATTGTTGATACTTTTAAATTGAAAGTTCAATATTTTTACTGGTACAATTTTTGTTTTTTGTGTGTATTTACATATACACCAAAAACTATAAAATAAAGTGAAAAAAATGTAATTTTTGGGAACTTTTCATATTCATTGATGATTTTACTACCTTTCGTTTTGCTGCGTTCTTCTGGACTCGAAAGGAGTTTCCATGCCTCCCTCCCTTTGCGGTTATTTTGGAGTTTTTTTACACTGTGGCTTTTGAGCATAACAATCATGATACCAAGAGCAAATTTTCATTACGTCGAATGTAACAAAGGTAAACAAAGTCGAGCTATCAGTGTCAATCGATGCTCCTACTATTACACTATATACTGTCCAAATATAGGATCACATCCCATTTTTAAATTTATTTACCAGTCGAATTGCTTTTTGACGTAATCACCTTCCGATCAAAATAGTTTTCGATGTTACTTAAGTCACCCGATTTCTATGGAGATGCCGTTTGCCTTAAGTAACAGCACTGAGAAACCCGTGAAAAGTGTACTTTCGTCGTTTCGCTTTCTCATTATTAAAGTGAATAAATCGAACTGTTTGTTGCTAAGATGATTTCGGTGGTCCTGAAATGATGAATGGGCTGCACGTAAGGAGACGTAATTGATAATTCTCTCGAATATCCTGGGAAATACACTTTGACTTAAGGGGGGAAGTACAATTAGAATTTTTTTTCGAAAAAAAATTTGTTGGCTTAATTTACTCTATATGTATCTGGGAATGAGCCTTTAAAAGCATAAAGCCGTCCGGAACTTATTTAAAAAGTTAATTCAGTGAGTGCATGTCAAATGGCTGAACATGTCAAAGTTGAACTTTAAATGCTTCTACTGAAAAGTAGCGTTTTCAAAATCGCCGTGCAATGTACAGGTCAGAGTTTTCATTCAAATCGATTCCGGTTTTCTGTTTTATGTTCATAATTAAATTCTCCACAACATGAATAGAAAGATTTTTTAGATTTGTTTGTTATAACATGTTTTTTTTATAAACAAAGTCGAAAAAAATAGGGTTTTTTAAATTTTTTTTTTCAATTTCAAATTTTTTTGTGAAAAAAACATTTTTTTTTTACATACGAATTAATTCATGTTGTGCGCTGTACCTTCAAATTTAATGCCCTGTTTTTTTTCAGACGTGATCATGGACGTAGGGACTGCACGGCGCGAAGTGCTGCTTTAAAAAATTGACTTCACATTATTTAGGGTAGAGAACTACTTCGACCTAATCGCCCATTTTGGCCCTATCGAGCAGAAAACTTCTAATAAATCCATGATTTCATAGTCAACAAGTCAATTATGCATTTGGTACGATACTTTAGTTAATAAGCTACCGAACGAAGTCAATGAGAACACGTGATATGAAGGTTTGCACCGATTATTCCCAAAAACAAAAGAAGCGCTCCGACCGAATCATTTTTTATCTTCATCCGATAGGCCGAAGAGAATTCACTGGCGTTACAATTGCGTTTCAATGCGTTTGGCGTTAAGAAGCAGTGTTAGACTTTTGACAATATCTCAACGATTAGTTTATATTTATCAAATCTTACGGTACTTACGGAAAGGTAAATAAATTTGGAAGCCATCAGTGATAATAAAATTCCGTTTGGTGCTAAACTGCGCTAGATTAAGAAAGACTATATGCGGGTTGTGCTTAATAGGCTGGAAATGGGGTAGTTAACCCTATAATAATTGGGCTAAATTGCAAAATTTAAAAAAAATGTCACTGATAATTAATCTTCATTAAATCCTTAATAACATACATAAAGAATCGCTAACATTCATTTATTTCCCTACTCGCAATCCACTCTCAAAGATAGGCCTCATTTTAGGCCTTCTAATTCTTCCCCCCTTAAGTAACAATAGGGGCCACCAAACGACGTATAATAACTTTTGACTCAAAAACCAGTATTTCTTAGCATGAAAGCTAGCGATTTGCCTTTGTTACCCGGCTAAATATGTTAAACATTGCTATCACTATGAGATTATATGTGTTTAATTGGAAATAGGAATAACTTTTCGGTCATCAAAACAAAACTTTATTTTTCTCGGATCGGTGCGAATGTTACTTACGACATAATGAAAATTTGCTCTTGATACAGTTATCTGCCATTGCTAATCCCGCTGCCCTGTTTATGGACTACACCCTATCGTTGTGAGTTCCTGCTGACAGCATAGATTGATGAGTGAGACTCATGAACCGGGGACCAACGGCTTTACTTCCCATCCGAAGGAAGGCGTGATCAGAGATGTTATGCCTCAGAACATCCCGGCGGCGCCGACTGGGATTGAACCCAGGCCTGCTGGGGTGAGAGGTAATCACGCTTACCACTACACCACCGGCGCCGTTATGTTTCGAGGGGTGAATCGATTAGCTTGGGACCGAAGAGAGTACCAGAGCTGAGCCAAAAAGTTGAGCACGTTATTTCGGGAGCTTCTATTTAGTCTTAGAGTTACCTCTATGGTACAACAGTGTACTTTGTATGTCTGTACAAGGTATAAGGCCAAATCAATAGTTAAGAGATTACTTGCTGAAGAAAAGCATGTAGGGCTGTTTGGATATTGAATAGTGTAATAACCTGCGAAACAACCATCCAACAGAATATAACCATTGGAATTGCTTTGAGCATTTTTCCAAGCTTCTGAAGGACACCCTTGAGAAAATTCTTTTGCTGGCCTACGCATTGGAATACATTTGATCGTCGATTTGGCGTAACTGGTAGCTCGCATACGCTTACTAACACCACTAGCAGGTAGGGGGAAATTTCACCTATCTGATGGTAGTGTTAGCATGCGTGGGCGAGCTACCAGTTACGCCAAATCGACTATCAAATGCATTGTTTACAAAAGCTGATACGTCCCTTTGAAAAAGTAATCGAGAAATGATGAAAGAATTTGATGTTCGATACGTCTATGAACACTAATGGCAAAATAATGTGCGTTCATTTTAACCTTATGGTTTAAAGGGGTTTAAGCAACATTTCAGTTATACCGGAGATATGCACGTTGAACGGCTCGTCTTAATTATCTGTAAGAGTTCGAGCATTTCAATTCAAAATCTTCAATGATTTAAAATTCATTTCTAAATTTCGAAGTCATGACTATTTTATTAGCAAATTTTACTCAAGTTTGAATATCATCAAACATGGAGTTAGTTTTCAGCATATCAATAATCATGTCGAGTGTATAAGTCAAAATATTGGATCGTTGAAAACATTTGATCACACGTCAATCACAAAGGGAAAAGCATGTAAACAAACCGATTATTCAATACACCACCCCGAAATACGTACCCGCTACTGAGCATTGTAGCAACAATGCTGAAAACGTTGTGAACTTTTATGGTGTGAACAAATGTTTCTGCTGTGCGTCTAATTGGGGGCAAAATCCACAATACCAAAGAAGTAAAGAGTAACAGAGCAACCGTAACGCTAATAACGGAAGAGATTGAATTTGAATAAAGAGACGATACGTTAAATTGGAACAATCGATAAGTCTTGGAGAAAATTTGCAGCCTCTTAAACAAAATCATTCCATTCGGTAGAAAACTTGTCAAAAGTATGAGATTCATTCTCTTCTGGAATACGGCGTTACAAACTCATGTAGTAAAACATTATTGGGTTATACAATGATAGTAAATAAAACAGTTAAAGTTACATTCAAATTTTATTGACACATTTCTTGTATCAATTGGATATTTTTAACAATACAAGATCTTTGATTTTTTCATATTCAAAGTAACGAGGAAAATTCAATGGAATTTGCATAAGTTTCCACCGCGTAATTCCAAACCTATTATTTCTTCTATAAAATACTCTCAAGAAATGTTCATAGCTTGGGGCTACCGAATCCATGTCTTCCACGGTGAAAACATAACGTTTTTCAAGAGCTATATAAACGCCCTTCAGCTTTGGTAACTCCAACAGTAAATTCTCCAATGTCACTACGAAGGCTTCGGTTATATCATCATCATAAATCACTGAAATAAAACAAAAGGTAAATTTATTGCTGATAAATCCCTTAAACTACCGGAACTGTGGTTATAATTTTAGATTTTTTTCTCTGGAATACCTGCATTGATTTGTTTATAATTTTTTCGAGAATTCTACTTCCAAACGAAAGTCTATGAAGGTTGAACAAATCTTTCCAGTATAATTGTTATATGTGTCTCCGATAACTCAAGTTATAAACAATGAAACTATTACTCACCATCGGCAGCTATTACATACTCCACATCTTGAAGTTGTGCTTTGAGTTCATCAGAATACTTAGCGTATTGCACTTTGAAATCGAGTTCAGTAACAACGACATTACAACTAGGATTTTTCAGATTGGAATTTCGCGTGATGTTCGCCTGAATCAGCTCCAGAAGACCGCCGACATTAATATCTAATGAGAAATAATATGTAATCAAAATTATATTAACGTATTATTTATAGGCTACTCACCAGTGCAAACGACTTCGCGCGCGTATAAGCTAGATACTATGCTGGTTAAACCAACTCCTGACCCCAACTCTAAAATTTTTCTATTTTTAAACTTTTTCTCGTTATGTAGAATATAATCTGCCAGCAATAAAGCCCCTCTCCAGATTTGCAGCCCAACCAGATCAAGTTTCGTTGATTTGAGATGTTCTGAAAAATATATGTATATATTAATAATCAGTACCATGAGTGTACCAATTACCGCTCACTACTACGAAAAACTGTGATTTTGCCAAATTCTATTCACCTCATATCATCTGTGTTTTGGTTTCTGCTCCTCTCAGTATTCAGTAAACACCAATTATATTTGGAAACATAAAATTGAAACATTGCACCAATGAGCGGTGATTGGAACATGAGCGGAAACCGATACACTGATGGTACGATCAATCAATATTACGTGTGGAAAATTCTATCATTAGTTTCCATTCAAGCTTACCTATTTCAATTACTCCTTTTTTCCTACGTTCAACTATCAAATCTCCATCTTTATCAGTTTCAATTGAATCCTTCGACACACTGTTGCCATCTGCTAAACAGTCATCAAAAGAAGCATTCTTAATGTCATTTAATGTAATCCTTTGTGTTCCATTGGAATGGCTGTTGCTGTGGTTATCCGCCCCATTCAAACCAGAGCCGTTGAAATTAAGTTTGATACCTTCTTCTTCCACACTACAAACAATTTGTTTGCCGCCTTTACATTTTTCATTTTCTTTCGGATAGATGAATGTAAATTTAGATATGCTGTCTGCGAAAAAAAATCAAGTTATGTTACTCGCAAAAATTTGGCAAAATCATCCAAAAATAGCTCTTACTTCCATTTGTTGTGTCCGTTGTAGAAAAGTCCGTTTCAGCATACAGCTCAGAACACACCTCGAAAGTTGCCATATAATATGCGCTTATTTCTTTTTTAATATAATCGACAAATGGAAAAATTAAATAGTCACTCAATCGTATCTGATTTCAACTGCAGAGTATCACTCATAGACTGAAATTGCAACCGGAAAGAAATACCACCGAAAATTGGCAAGATGAGAAGAGCCGTAGTATTCGCTACCGCATCTACAACAAGACTGAGATTACGCGTTTGAGAGAATGAATAGAACAAAAGAGCAGAGCGATTTTGTTTATAAATAAATATATCCTATTTCTCACACACTTATCTCGATCTAACATAACATGACAAGTGTTGGTTTAACTTAATGTTTACTAGAGAATGACTTTAAATCATACACTTAGCTCATGAAGCTAACATAATGACATTAGTCTTTGTAACATAGTTCCTTTGCCACCAATGTTTGGAATGATAACCCGCATAAACAATAACCATAAGAAGCGCCTAACCACCAATTCGGGATATCATCCCAACTTTATGTGGGATAGTCGTACCATCTATGATATCGTTAGAGTATGGTACCCGTTTATTAGGGAATGCCAGTTCAATTAATTTGACAATGCCTAGTTTGTATTCATTATTTATTGCTTGATTCAAATCAACATCAAAAATCTAGGATAGATGTACTCATTCCCGAAAACAAGCTACGTAATTTTACTGATTAGAGCAAACCAACACATTACTGCATCTAGCTACCACGCGAACTATTGCCATGATTGCAGTTGTCTGCTAAATTTAAACTTACGCCTCACTATAAATAACTTCTGGGAAAAGCATCTGCAATACTTTCACTTTCTATTGACTGCACGTGACGAAAATATTTTCTTAAGATGGAAATGTTTTTCAATCGTTCAATGGAATGTTTTTCATTTGTTAGGTAGATTAACTTCGTTTAATGGTTAACACTTTGATTTTCCTTTGGATTTGTCTTTGCAGACAGGCTAAGACCACGACTGGTCCATCTCGCCGGTTAAAATACTTGTAATGTACGCGATTCGAAAATCGAACCAATCTTTAACCACAACACAAAGGTAAACAGCACGCTGCGTTTAGTTGCCTATGTGATGTAAACACTTTTTATGAATGAAAGTATATACACACGAATGTTTGATGCCATTGACATTCAATACATGCGTACCGAACGTCAAGTCAGTTCACTCATGAAGATACTGTTTACGTCAGAGGCAAATCAAACTAGCGTCTTTTGATAGTATCAGTGGAATGTTTCAATAGCTTAGTTAGTGAGGGCGTGGTATATTATGCTACTTAGAGGTGGCGGATTCAATTTGCTGTCCGATCGAAGAACTATCGGGCAGGACATCTTCACGACTGACCTGATCATAGAGTATCATACTGCACGCCACACAATATACAATTTCATGCAATGTTAGGCTACACAGCTCTCAATTAATTACTAAAAAAGAACATTATATAGAGAACAGGCATAAGTTCCATATGGGGTGTCAGAAACCAAGAACAGAGAAGATGAAGTGGCTTTGTTGTGGATTTAAATTTAAATTGACTACGTAAAATGGTCAGGTTTACGCATTTCGTCACAGAAGCTATAGCACTATGAATACATGCTCAGTATTCTTTTGTTAGAAGCATTTGGTGACAGCTGATGTATAAAAATAAGAAATGCAGTGCAACAAGAAAACAGTTTTTTTTAATCATGCTGTTTGAAGGGTCACATAAACGGTTTAGGTGAGGTTCTGAGGGCATCCTGAACATATGTAGGTGGGAACAATAGCTCTTCAATATTAATAGCTATTTTTGTACATGTACCACAGACAAACAGACAAAACTCATTAAATATTTTTTTACTGTAAAACATCGACACAATAACACAACTATCTTATAGATTCCATAGATAAGCGTCCCCTAATAAAAAAATAATACTATACCCTAACGATAACCCAAATGATAGAACTATTTCAGAAATGGTTTGCATATATACGTCCAGGGTGTGTGCAAAATAACCATACAAATTTTATTAGGTTTGGTGAAGTAGAATTACAGTCGTTATATTAACAGGCTGGCGGAGAGAATTTCGGAAACCACTTGAGCTGTCAAATAGCGGAACCAATCGAACATATCACGACCAACAACGGAGAAGGGGATATCAGGTTTTGAGCCTGAAACTCCGCAAACACTTTTCTCGCGATTCAAAGCTTACCTCCGCAAAACAACACCACCATAACGGCGCCGGTGGTGTAGTGGTAAGCGTGATTACCTCTCACCCCAGCAGGCCTGGGTTCAATCCCAGTCGGCGCCGCCGGGATGTTCTGAGGCATAACATCTCTGATCACGCCTTCCTTCGGATGGGAAGTAAAGCCGTTGGTCCCCGGTTCAGGTGTGGGAGCTACCTTCCTGGCAAGTCGGTAGCATTGGTGCTCAGCACGGAAAACAAGATCGACGAAAAAAAAAACAAACCAAACGCCATGTTTTTTTTTCCCTTGTCGGGTATTTTTATCACTGCGACCATTTTTCTGATCTATTGTGATATTCTCCTTTTTTTTCTTTAGCTATATCAAGATGCCGTATCACTATTATTAGGAGTGATCGTCATCGTTTGACTAATAGCATTATCCCAGCACGGCATTATACTTCGAATAAAGTGCACTGCCGTACTGGGAGTTGTTCTCTAAATGTCAAAGGGTTCTATCAGCCGGACAATGGCATAGCAAAAGTTCCGAGTCTTCCTTTTCTATGCCACAGAAATGACATACATCATCTTGAAGTTTTCCAATCAATCCAATTTCAAGTGATAACGGCTCGGACAATGACCTGTTATAAGATCTTTCTTAGAAAGTTCCAGGATTTTGTGGGTCACAGAAATGTTTGGATTAATGAATCGCTTAGACTGCCTAACAATAGAAGTGTTCTTCCAGTTTTCCTCCACGAAGATTCCCACGCTTTTAGCTCCATTCTAAGAGATGCAGCCGATAAGCCACAAAAGGGTTCTGACCCGATGAACTTATGAGAAGATCCGAGTCTTACTAGTGCATCAGCTCTTTCATTACCCTCAATCCGGCAATGACCAGGAACCCAATATAAGTTGACTTGACAATTTTTGAAGTGATTGAACACACTCCTGTCGCTGACTTTAAAGCATTTAGAGCAGCTTGACTGTCGGACATGACGCAAATATTTGAACTCTTATAGTTTCTACGCAAACATATAATGGAACACTCTAAAATTGCTTGGATTTCAGCTTGGAACACAGTTGGCCATCTGCCCGTAGGAACCGATATCCCTGGGCCAGTTACTCCTGCTTCCACTTGATTGTTCAATCTTGAACCATCTGTATAAAAAACAATCGATCCTGGACAAAGAACCGGGCCACCAAATTGCCACGAATTACGCCCAGGGTCAACTACTTGAAAAAGTCGATTGAAATTGTATCTTTTCTCCATCCAGTGTTCGTTGTTCCTTACTAGAGAGTTGATACTAACAGTTTTTAGAATCCTAAGATGTCCTCTAAGGTCTCCTTCAAAGAGTTTCACTGACCTTGTAATCCTTAGAGCACACTTTTCGACTTCTAATTGTACAAATTGATGCAATGGTAGCATATAAACGAAGACAACAAATCAAGAAGACTGGCAACTTTGCCAGAATCCAAGCGATAGATACAGTAGCGCTGCGCTTGAGTGAAAGTGGAAGCAACGCATAGAAAAATGAGCAAATATACAAACCCTTCTTCTGAGGATGTAATCTTTGCTTTAAAATTCGTTCGAAGCATTTACCTTTGAGCGGCAGATGACGCAATTGTACCTGTATCATAGAAAATGGAAGAGTTGCCAGTCTTGCCAGTCTTCATTGATCCAATTTACAATGCTTTGATCGAAATCACGTTTCATCATAGCTGTAGTCATTGAATCGTGAGATGAATTATCGAATGCACCTTCAATGTCAAGGAATGCAGCAAGTGAAATTTCTTTTGCTTCAAAAGATCTTTCTAGTTTTGTAACAACCGTATGGAGTGCTGTTACTGATGACTTACCTTCCTGGTATGCAAATTGATGTTTGCTCAGAGGATTTGTAACTAAATATGATGACTTTATGTGTTCATCTATTGTTTTTTTTTTCCATTATTTTTAGCAATAAGCTTATTGGCCTGAAGGATTTTGGTGAAGTTTTATCCTTTTTATTTGCCTTGGGGATAAAAATAACCCTCACTTGTCGCCACACTGCCGGTATATAGCTTAATATTCAGCTTGCTCGAAATATCTTTGTTAGAATAGGCATTACAACCGCTTTTCCCTTCTGTAGTAGTACAGGAAAAATTCCATCCCTACCTGGTGACTTGAAAGGTTCAAAGGAGTCAATCGCCCATTCAACTTTTCTTTCAGTAAAGATTTTGTTGGCCAAAGTGCAAGCATCAGCTCTTGTTCTGTCTAACTCAGTCGTTTCATTCAATATTTCATGAATATCCGTCCTGGTTTCATCGATACCAATTGCTGTTGTCGTTGCGTTTTGGTTTTCGTTTGAATTAATAATAGAACATGGAAAATGCGTTCTCTCTCATCATCAACTCTAACGTTTCATTTGTAGAAGTAGTAAAAGAGCCATCCTCTTTTTTCAAAGTGCCCAGACCATTGCAATGATCTTTAGCGAGTATTTTCTGCAACCTAGCAGTTGCTGGAGTATTTTCAATGTTCTCACATGTATGCCTCCAGTGTATCCTCTTTGATCTCCGTATTTCCTGATTATAAGCGGTGAGGGATTCCTTATATTGTTCCCACTGTTGTGTTCGTTTAGCCCTATTGAAAAGCTTCCGGGATTTTTTACGAAGTTTCTGTAGCCTGTTGTTCCACCAAGGTACATCCCTGTTTGTAGAGCGTTCCTTTTCGATGCAGCTCTCATAAAAGACATGTTGGATCAAATTTGAAAGTTGCTTAGAACTATTCTCAAGTTCTTCACATTGTCGAAAACATAAATAATGGCTTTTTTTTAGTAAATGACTCGTAGGTCAAAGTCAATCAATGTAAGCCACTAATTTTATCGGATAGGAGGACTCTTTCTCTTCACAAGCATGGTGTTGGTTTTCTTGAAGGATTTTTCATTTTCGAGAATTTCACACAAAAATAATTGTTTACGTTTGTAGCATTGGCCCTTATACGAAAATAAGCATTGGCGTTGACTACGACTCTGCAACTCTTTACTCCTGGTAAAATCCCATAAGCATCTGACAATCTGTGCATGAAACCTTATCTCTTCATTCCTCCAGCAAGCCGCCGCGAGGGGCGTAATTGCATTTGTAAACAATGGCTTTAGCCTTCGATTTCTCACGAATAAAAGCTCACTCATGAAAGTTATTTACACCACCAAATAGGGGAATGTTTCCTCTATCATCTAGAATTGTTAATTTGAAGAGGTGAGCTTTCACTTGCGAGAAATCGACAGCTAAAGCCATTGTTTACAAAAGCAATTACGCCCCTCTGAAATGTTGGCACTGTATTGACGAATTTACGTTCTTCTTCTTCTTCTTCTTCTTCATTCCTTTATTTAACGTCGGTCTCTGTTCCGCAATCTAGTGCCAATCACCGACGGACATCGATTGCAATCCATTGACGGCAATCGAAAGTCGAGGGAAATGCGTAATAGACGAGTGCACGGGTGAACTTTTGTTCATCTACTGAACAAAAATTGACACAACAGCGGGGCCCTGTTTACTAAAAATGAACACATGAAAAATGCTCGCGTAATTTTTGAAAAGGGATCTTTTTTTGTAAACAACTTCCTAGGCCCTTTTCACGAGAACCGAAGTACGCCCACGCAAACCAAGAGCACTATTGGGAAGGAGAGAATTTCCCCTACCCGATGTTGCTGTTAGCTGGCGTGGACGTATTCGGTTCGCACGAAAAGGGCTTTACAAGTTTTGTGTTCAAAAGTTGGTAGGCCCGTTTCGAATGTTACGCGAGTATTATTCATGTGTTCATTTTTAGTAAACAGGGCCTCGCTGTTGTGTCACTTTTTGTCGAGTGAGTGAACTCAAATCCATCCGTGCACTCGTCTATAACAAGAAGGAAATCAAGACCACAATTGAAATCCTTAACTCCATTTTGTAAACAAACCGAAGTCCACAAAGTCAAGCCAGCATAATGAACAGGTACACAGCAAAAAAAAAATGTAATATCGATCAATGTAATTCAAGCTGATGTATGAAATAATGATGTAATAGCAAAAAGCAGATACAATATTGCATCAATGGATGTAATTTTGTTCGCAAAATCGATGTACATCGTACAACGTTATATTACACAACCGATGGATTGACCTGGTTGTAGCAGTTTGGATGTAATATTCAACAACTTTTTTTTTCTGTGTAGGGGAAATTCTCCTCTACCCGATTGTGGTTTAGGTTTGCGAATAAAGGTTTCGGTTCGCGAGAAAATTGCCTTCCAAGGTTTTTTTTTACAAAATGGAGTTAAGGCTATTTCGATGCTACTAATTTTTGAGTTGAAAATCATTCAGTTCAGCCAAAAGGGAAGTTACGCAAAAATGAGTAAACGTGCTAATGGATGAAACTGGGTAACGGTTACTCAGATCATGACGTCTCTTTCGACTAAGATTGCCCTTCATATTGACAACGGTCTTCAGTTCCAAACATTTGGTGTCGAATCCTTCAAACTGGTCCTCTCCATTTTATATCCAGACCAACCTCGCTCAAGGGGACTGAGGGACTCATCGCGAATCTTCTTGAGCTTGGCTTCCCGCTCCTTATCTTCCATACATAATCTGCTGCTGTTGGACAAGCTCTCGACCTCGAATAATCGGCGCTGACAATCCTGGCCATACAATGTTGGCCTTACCGAAACCAAACACCTGTCCTTTGTTCAAATCCTTGGGAGTAATACGTCCGGATCCCTTGCCTCGTTTTCGTTTCTTGCCGCCATTACTAACCGAAATGATTTATATCAGAACCATTTACCCAGAATCTGGGTAGATTCGACTCATCGGAGCAAAACCAGTTCACTCATTTTTTGACAACTCCATACAGCATGCAAAAATGAGTGCGATCTACCCAGTCACTGAGTAGCCTCGAAATAGCGTGTTGAAATAAAAAGGCATGACATTCATGTCGATGTTGTTCATTTGTCAACTTGTCACTCCCAACACAGTTTACCCATTTTTGGATAGGTTCAGTTTTGACCGATATGGGTGGATTCCACCCAAATTTGGGTAGTTTTGAAATAGCGTGTAGGTTCAGTTTTGACCGATCTGGGTGTATTTTACACAAATTTGAGTAGTTTTGAAATAGCGTGTCTCAAATGTGAGTAAAAGCATGTTTACCAATTTTTGAAAACTTCCGTTTTGGCTGCGGACTGAGACGTTTTTGACTCAAAAATGAGTAGCCTCAAAATAGCGTGTACACCCTTGCTAGGTAGATATGCAGCAAACATTGTTCCACCAACGCAACGGTTATTCGAGGGAGAAAATTATTTAATATTTAAGTGAAGTAGATACATATTTAAAATTTATTAATATTTGTTAAAGTGTCGCAAAATGGGAACTAAAACTGCAACGGTGCTCGATGTCCAGATGAATGTAGATATTATTACGGGCGAGTCGTGTTCGAAAATGTTGCAAACAATCGTACAAACGCTATTGTTCCAGAGAAGCCAAATCCCATTTTGCTATCAGATGTTCCGAGCTATTGTGAACAAGATAAAAGCCGAAATGGCTGGAACGGAGGAATCCAAATGGGGAAATTACCAGTTAGCTAAACAACGTGAAGTCGCTATCAAAACCTTGGAAGAATTACAAACCCTCTTCAAGGTTAGTGGTGGTAAAATGCAGTTTAAAATGTATATTTTTTTGTTTTCATAAAAAATTGTTATCGTTATGTTGCAGGAACTTGCAGTCATTGTAGAGAATAGTAAGCAGAATGTTCAAGCAATGGTTTTGTTTGGATCTACGGTGTATACTGCTAAGGAAGCATTTGTAATCAATCTTCCCATGGCGGACGAGAATCACTACGCTCAGCACCATCGACAAGGGTTGGAGTCAGCTTTGAAACAGATTACAAAGCAGATTATCCTGGCAGAAGAACTTTGTCCATCGGGAAAGTTCATTGGGCCTACCAATACATTTATGCTGCTGGGACTAGTACCCATGTGCCGAACGGAGCAGTCAAGGATGTCTAGCGAGGTTATTGAATACAGGCCAATCGAGAATTACCAATTACCCGCGAGCTGTCAAAAATATGTGATCGATGTTTCTGTCCGTGGAGTGTGTAACGAAAAACTGATCTGCTGTAAGCGAATGAATGTTTTCAGTGATTCTTTCCAAAGTATGCAAATAGAAGAAATGAAGGAAGTTATGAACGATAAGAAACAACAAGAGGTACATGAAAATCCAGAAAACATGTGGTACCAGATAGGGAAAGGCATTAAAGGGTACAAAGATGTATTGATTAGGGGAAAGTCTATTTGGAATGATGGATTGTAATGGTTATTATGTATGCTTTGACTGATGCATTAAGTTATTAAATTATGTAAGTAAAATATTTGAATGATAAATAAAAAATACTGTGTGTAAAAATAGTTCATTGTTGTCATATTTTTTAGACGTTCGTTGATTTCGATCAGTTTTGATGATTTTTCCTGGGACAGTCTCGTCATAGATAGAGGTCGTGCCAAAAATCGAATAATTTAACAATCACCATTATTATCGTTTACTTTCACACCGTATTTTCCAAACAAACAAACAAATAATTCAGTGTCAACATTTCAAAGGGGCGTAATTGCTTTTGTAAACAATGGCTTTAGCCGTCGATTTCTCGCAAATTAAAGCTCACCCCTCCAAATTAAAAATTCCAGCTGGTAGAGGATACATTCATCTACCTGTTGAAGTCATTGACTTTCACGTGTGAGCTTTTATTCGCGAGAAATCGACGGTTAAAGCCATTGTTGACAAAAGCAATTACGCCCCTTTGAAATGTTGACACTGAATTTATATGTAATATACGGTTCGAGCGTAAATGGAAGTATGTGTGAATATTTATTATAAAAAAACAACTTTTTTTTTTTAATTTTGTAAGATCTACATTCTGTTTGTATGACTTTTCATACATTCTACGTGTAATGCTTCTTAGGAATTCCATTTATCCTGGCATTCATAGTTTCATACATACATTGAACATGTATTTATTTTCAATATTATTTGGTGTGGCATTATTGCCCTGCCCTACTCTAATTGCCCCTTAATAAACCTGGAACTGCAGTGAGACTTGCTCCCTGCCCTGCCAGGGGAAGGACCTCTTTGTGCTTTAGGTTTAGCACAGACCTATATGTACTGTCCTATTCACTATAGTAGTCCCATTCATTAAAACAGCAAGCTGAGAAAAACACGTTTGAAGATTTTATTTCATGAATGGGACAACATAGTTTTGGTATTTTTCGCGGCATTTTCTGAACAAATTAGGCAACTTTTCGTGTACACTAAAGTGATAGTACCTAGGGGAAATGTTGGCTTCGGCAATACCTTAACTTATTATCGTCAGGGGGTAAAAACCGTCCTTGAGAACTCAATTTTGGCATGTGGATACGTTATGATTCAGAGCATCTATTGGCCAGTGAGGAGCGCCCACTGCTATCGGACTTAGTTCCAATTATCATACATATATTATCATACCTCATAAAAACTAGAGGCCCGTTATCTTCTCTACCCATGGTAGTAGCACAACTTTTCGGTCCGTCTCCGTCTTTGTCAATCTACCATTATATAGTCAGTACTTATTTAAACTTCTCCGTATGTTCATTATTCTCGTCCATATGTATTCTTGAAGATTCAACTGTGTAACAATTGCGAAAAAAAATTAACATACTATTGATTTCAATTAAAAACTGTTTTTTAATTATTAATTTAATTTTTGTTTTTCAAAAATACAAGCCTCGATTATTATTCGACGCATCATTTTAGATCACTATGAATAGTTGCCATCACATTCTCTATGCTTTTTTGCGGTTATGACTAAGTTTCATTGCGTTGATTCAGGCTGTCATCGAAATAAGTTTTACTGATGATTTTTCAGAAAAAAAAAATCAAACATTTATTACTTACGGTTGTATGGCGCTTCATTGCCGTTGGTCTTCATGTACTTCCTTTCGATGAGCTTCCAGGTGCGATAAATCTTTAAACATAATTCTACGATTATTTTCTTCGCACTCAAAGCAGCTATAGCAATTGTTCCCTTCGTGTGTTAACATATGGTTCATAGCCGCTGGTCTGGATAGGATTCGATAATTAAATAAATAAATAAATAAATAATAATAACATAATTTGAAAAAAAAAATATGTTTTCAAAATACCTTGATTTAAAGTTTTTCCCGCACTCACCACAGGAAACCGAATGGGAGATGGCCTTTCTTTTTTCAGTTGATTTGTAATGCGTCTGTTGATGGTATAAGCTCTCCAAAAGATCCTCGATTTGATTTTCATCGCACATAGCGCATTCGAACGAACCAGTGCGAATGGAGTCAAGCTCGTCAACATGCTTAGTTTTTAAGTGTTCCAATAATGCAATAGGAAGATCAAACAAATCAGAGCACAGAAGGCAATTCAGCGAGGGTTTCAACTTTTCGTCTGCCTTTTGATGTACCAACTTGTGACGTACTAGGTTGCGGTTACGCTTGAAACCTGCTCCACATTGTTTACACACGAAAGGGCGTTCGGGAAGGTGAACGCGATAATGGTCATTGAGTATGGTCTTCGAAGGAAACTTTCTTTCACAGGTTTCGCAAGTATATCTCCGTTCCATATGTTGCATCGTCAAATGTTGCCGAAGTTCATTTTGGCTGAAGTAGGATTTTCCACATTGAGAACATTTGAATGACTTTCCCGTATGTCTACCTTGATGGATACGAAGGGAGCTACGATCAGTGAAGGTTCTTGGACAAAAGGCGCATTGGTTGTCTTTAATGTTCAGATGTATTCGAAGGTGCTTTTTGAGTGTGTTTCGACCGCGATACACGTTTTTGCAATAGAGGCATTCTACCAGCGGAATTTTGCGGCTGCCTCGGTCAATAAATCCTGAAGGTTGAACCTCCATGGCCGCATCCATCATTTGCTGCTGTTCATTGGTAAGATTATAGCTTTCGTTAGGATTTTCTCTATCCTCTTCTGGAATGTCTTCGATTTCTTCTTCTTGCAGAACGATTTGTTCATCTATTATAGAAATCTGCTCATCTTCCAAGCGTTCGATAGTCACTACATCGTCTTCGGTACAGTTATCATCGCCATCATCAACGGTTGGTTTATCAATAAGATATTCCTCTCCATCATTACCATCTTCTTGCAATTCATCATTTTGAATAGATTCGAACTCGGCCTTGCCCTCTTTAACTGCAACGTGAAAATCATAATTATTTCTTTATCCAATCAATAAAAGGGCAAATACTTACCGCAATTGTTGTCTATAGATAGATTCAAAACTTTCCCTAGAACTTCGTAGGATTTTTCGCACGTTGCTTCAAATTCGACAAACTGTTCGACACAGGCAACACATTTCATGCAAATGCTGTTCGGAAAGCCATCATCTTCGTCGATCTTGGCCAGAAGAATATCCAACAATTGTGCAAGCCGTTCGTTCAGTTCAAGTTCGCCGGTGAAAATTCGAATGCATTTCTCCTTCGATAAGCAAAATCGGCAAAGTTGGTGAAAATCAGCCCGAATCCGAAACAAATCCATTTCAATACAGAGCTCAACTACCGGTTTTAACTTTATTACTATTTTGTCCTGACAAAAGGTTAACCAGCTTTATGTTTACCTAAATAAATTATAAAAAAAAAAATTATTCTTACTTTACTTCCATGGAAGTTTGGGAAGTAGTTTCGCGACGCGAAATTTTGCGAGATTTTGTTTATTTACTTTATTTAGTAAGTCACAAATCTTCACGGTAACCAGCGTAAACACATTAATGTGTATAATTTCACACATTTCGTGAAAAAAGGGAACTACTCATAAAATGTGTAAACTGCGTTTACACATTTATGTGTAAACCCATCGAACGTCAATAGATGTGTATTTTTTACACATTTTTCAAGAACAGTTTTTACTGTAATCATTCAAATAATTTAAATATGATAAGGACACATGGTTTTTTATTAATATCGGAGTTTTCTTATTTGTGTCAAGGATTAAATGAAAATTGATCGGATTCAATAATATTTTATTAAAAAAATCGCAGCCAGACACCGGACAATGAAAACCTTAATGTTTATTTTTCCTTTCTAGGACTTCCCGCATAAGCGCGAACCATAAATTGACCTTATCTAAAATGGTTAAAATTGTTTATAATCCCTGCTAAACTTCAACTGAAATGGTTATGGAACTTTACATGAACGTTTAATGATAAAGTTTTAACCTTAAGTATTATAGTTTTTTGGAAGTGGACCTTACAAATAATGGGTTGTTAAGAACCGTTACCATTCTAAATTCTTGTTTTCTCCATACATTTTCGGAAAGAAAACTATACTAAAACCTTTTAACTTATGGTTTGAGAACATTAATGGTAATGGTTATGGTAACCAGTAAGGTCCATGAATGGTTTTGTAACATCGATCAACTTTATGTGGAATATATCGCGAATTGGTTGTCTGTAAATTACTGATTACCAATTCACGATATATTTCACGTAAAGTTGAGCGATAATACAAAACCATTAATGGACCTTACTGACTACCATAACCATAACCATTAATGTTCTCAAACCATAAGTAAAAACGTTCTAATATAGTTCTCTTTTCGAAAATCTATGGAGAAAACAAGAATTTGGAATGGTAATGGTTCTTAACAACCCATTATTTGTAAGGTCCGCATCCAAAAAACCATAATACATAAGGTTAAAACTTTATCACACAAACGTTCATGTAAAGTTCCATAACCATTTCAGTTGAAGTTTAGCAGGGATTATAAACAATTTATAACCATTATCTGTAAGGTCATGTGATGGTTCGCGTTTATGCGGGTTAGCTATGAAAATAATATAAATTACTTACCCTCTAGCTTCCCTAATAAAAATGATATGGTTAATTTGCTTAACGACGTGTTCGGGGTATCATCCAAACCATTAGTGGAATAGTTCAATCATTAGGGTTATCGTTCGTTTATGGTAATTTTTTATTAGGGTTGTCCACCGTTGCTCTGTTACAGTTTGGACCGTAGTTTCTTATTTTTTCTGTTAAAATTGCTGAAAGTTTTTCGCTTTGGCAAATGTCGTGCATCAACGAAGGAGGAGGTGGCAAGATTTGAAGTTTTTTTTACCCATTAATGAGTATAAAAATAAACATTTTTTGACTGGTACTACATTCTTAAAATGTGTGTTTTTTTTTACACATTTTAAGATCTCCAAATTTACAAATTTTTTGACAGTGGCATATAAATATAAAAAATGTGTATTTTTTTACTCATTTATGTGTTTACGCTGGTTACCGTGTAGGGTTACAAACAGTGCAAACAGAACCGAAAACCTCACATACGGTAATTCGCTACACTGAAACAAATCGACATGTACCGTTTATTGGATCCATCTTATAACATAGCAATGTCAGCCGATTTTTTATTCATTCTATGTGATGATTGATAGATTCCATTTGATTATCACTTAAAAACTATGACTGCGATATGGAATGATTTCAATCGTAATTTCACATACTTAGTACTTGATAATAATAGGTAAGATGTATATGAATATTGACTGATATATTTCATGGTGAAAAACTGGTGATATGTAATGGGTGGGAACAGACATCTAGAAACAAATGGAAAATCATATAAGTTTGCACTATGAGAAAATTCAGTAAAATATACCTGTTTTCATGATGAATATTGTTCACTAAAAGATATATCTTATAAGATAATCATGTATATTTTATTGGAGTTGATTTTAACGATTTTGGACGTTTGTTGATATGTTGCGTGTGAACAGACATGTAGAAACTATTGGAGTGTCATTTAACTTTGCAGTATACCCTAATAAACGGGTACCATGCACTTACGATATCATAGATGGTACGTCCATACCACCTAAAGTTGGGATGATATCCCGAATTGGTTGTTAGGCGCTTCTTATGGTTATTGTTTATGCGGGTATGTATATCTCATTGGAATAGCTTCCTTTGATTTCTGAGGTTTAAAGATTGTAAACAGATCTATCCCAATCATTAAATAGTCATATAGGTTTGCCTTTTAAGAAATCCAACAGCAAACATTTGTTTTGGCATGGTTTTCTGGGATGAATATCGCTCCCAATAAAATACATCTTACATGATTGTTCTTTATAAATTATTGAAACAATTTTCAACGATGTTATCGTACTCTCATTAAAATAATTAGTCGAACTAAATATTGCTAACAACCGCAGAAAAAACTATCGTAGAAACAAAAATATTTGAGGTAAATTTAAACGTAAACTCAGTTTGTTCTGGCCACAAAAATAAATTAGGTTGATTTCAAACGTATTCCATGTTTGAAGTCATGTGAAATCAATGTTTAAAATAAAAATATTGTTATGTTTATTTTAAAAATATTCGTGTTGAAAATAAATGTTTTTGTTTTTGTTTGGTTTGACAGCTATGCGAACAAAAATAAATATTTTTATTTTAAACATGCTTCTTATGTTTAAAATAAACATACATATTTTGAAATTATTTTAATAGTTGATTGCAGGGTAAAGCAAGATAAAACGGATTGCAAAGAGAAAAAAACAAGATTTTCGGGCAGGGCATCTAAATTCCTGCTCTTTCACCCTTCGATTAAGGGTGACCTGTGGGTATTGGGGTCCTGGGCCGGGATGCGGGGACCCGTCGGAGTAGGTATCCGGGGGTTTCCAGTTCAGTGGAACCGGTAAAAATGTGTTATGTTAGCGTCGTTTTGTTGTTCTGCCACTAGTCCTCATATCGGTTTCTTTATACATTCGGTGTCGGAGGAGTATCCGGATTTTCGTTGTCCTTTCGAAGTCACGTGTGGAGGATTCTGTGGGGTTCCGCCGGTTTTGTTCGGCTGGTTTCCGGATCCATCTTCGGTTTTGCTACTTTCGGGCCGTTTTTTGTTGTGTTGAGCAATGGTGCCCTAATAAAATTGTTATGGTTATTTTGCTTAACGACGTGTTCTGGGTATCATCCAAACCATTTTGGGAATAGTTCAATCATTTGGGTTATCGTTCGTTTATGGTATTTATTTATTAGGGTGGGGCAACTTTTTCCGAATGTTACAAGAAGTAAATAAAAAGACACGACACGCTAAAAACCGTTTACCCAAATCCTATATTGTTGAAATAAACATGCTTTTAAATTTAATTCAAACATAAATATTTTAGTTTTAAACATGCTTTAAATTTACTTTAAATAATTCATATGTTTAGAGCAGGTATAAATCGGTAAAATATCTCAAAAATCGGTATTCTGATGAACCTTATCTGTATGTATCTAGTTCGGAACACGCTCTTGAAAGTACCCATTAATGTTTGAAAAAGACCCATTTTGAAGAAAAGTGGCTTAACTCATTAAATGAGTAAATTTTTTACCCATTAATGAGTATCTGTTACCCATTAATGAGTAATTGTTAATCATTAATGGGTAACAGATACTCATTAATGGGTAAAATTGTTTAATCATTAATGAGTTAAGCCACTTTTCTTAAAAATGGGTCTTTTTTACTCATTAATGAGTACTTTCAAGTTACACTGTAAGAAAAACTACTCAAAATTAAGTTTAAAAAAACTCAACGTTGGGTTCTATCATTTGAGGTCCGCCGTTGAGTGAATCAGAAAAGCGACGTTGGTTAAAATTTACTCAACTATTGAGTAATAATAAATAAACTCAAATATAAGTTTATTTTCATTGAGGTTGTCTTATGTGCCTTTAACCATTTCATTGTCACAAGCGTTGATAGACGAGTGGTCAACACACGGGCCCCGTAATCTCAACGTCCATGGTTCGGTTCCAGTCTGCTCCGTTTTATTATTTTTTGTCAACTTGGTCAACGTGGATTCATGATCAGGATTGCTCAAAATTGAGATTTCTTCTTTAACTTAATTTTACGTAGCCCCACGGAAGCCACGTGATGAGTGAAAGGAACTCAATTTTGGGTACTTTTTTCTTACCGTGTAGCGTGAAATCGCTATAAATACCTGGGGGGGGGATGTGCTGTCAAATCAGCCTACTGATCATCTTGTATGAAACTGGTTCCAAACGTAAACAAACGCTGTAGGTTTCTTATGGCTTGTTTACGTTTGGAACCAGTTATGCGAGGTAGGCGACGATTGTTCGTATTTGACAGCCACCTCCCCCCCTTGATAAATACCGATAAATCGGTATATCTGGCAACGCTGGTACACACGGCCACTGCGAGTAGCCCCACTTTTATCGAAAATAAATTTTCAATTTTATTTTTTTTTTTTTGCATTTGCATTTGGTTTGTTTGCAATGGCCGTGTTCATAATTGTTTCGTGCTTTCATTCATTTTGTGCAATGTGTACACGGTAAGAAAAAAAGTACCAGTTCACTTTTACCTACTTTAAACTTGTTTGTCTCATTTTCTCCTTCTAATGTTGTCAAAAACAAATAGCAAAACCACCCAACAGGGGTAGTAAAGTAAGGGAACCCAGCGTTGAGTATAAACATATTTACCTCCTTTTGGGTACAACTAACTTATTTTTGTGTAGAAACCGTGTGGAACATTCCATACGAATTACACACAAGTGAATGAAAACTACTTTGACCCGCTTTATACTGAGGATAAAAAAAAAGTAAAGACAGGCGCACAATGCATACGTTTTCGGGTTTTTTGACAGATAATGCATGGGCTAACTGTCATAAAACCTGAAAACGTATCCATTGTGCGCCGGCCTTAAGCATTCCATAAGAACCACTTATGAATTTTAGCCACAAGAAATTTCAGTTAAAGTTTAGCAGGGAATTTAAACAAATTTCAACAATTTTTGATAAGGTCATGTGGTCCGTATTTATGCGGGTTCCCCCTTTTTTACTGTAAATTGCTCAAATATGTACCATGATTTTCATTGTTGTGAACCATGAATTTCGTTGTGATTTTATGGTAATAAAAAAAATCCCCAATGTTTTGACAGTAAATACACAGAAAAAAAAAGTTTTTGAATATTACATCCAAACTGCTGCAACCAGGTCAATCCATCACGGTAAGAAAAAAAAATACTCAAAATTAAGTTTAAAAAAACTCAACGTTGGGTTCTATCATTTGAGGTCCGCCGTTGAGTGAATCAGAAAAGCGGTGTTGGTTAAAATATACTCAACTATTGAGTAATAATAAATGAACTCAAATAGGGGAAAAGTTGGCTTCGGCAATACCTTAACCTATTATCGTCAGGGGGGTAAACAACGTCCTTGAGAGCTCAATTTTGGCATGTGGATACATTGTGTTTCAGAGCAACCATTGACCAAATTTGAGTGCTCTAGGACTTTGTTTACCCCCTGACGATAATAGGTTAAGGTATTGCCGAAGCCAACTGTTCCCCTATAAGTTTATTTTCATTGAGGTTGCTCTTATGCGCCTTTAACCATTTCATTTTCACAAGCGTTGATAGACGAGTGGTCAACACACGGGCCCCGTAATCTCAACGTCCATGGTTCGGTTCCAGTCTGCTCCGTCTTATTATTTTTTTGTCAACTTGGTCAACACTCAAAAATATTAGAAAACAAATATAGATTAAATTTTATGCATTTTATGCTTTTTCAAAATTTATACATTGGTTCGATTAAAATTTTCGTCAAAATTATACTAAGTCCGAATAACGGAGTGGAATTCGATCAGTGTTTACTAAAATGACAGGAAAAAGAACATCTGGATTCCCTTCGGAGCTTCGTGCTGGTGAAGAGCTTTGTTCCGGCGTATTTTTACTGCGCCTGTGATCTGCTGGACAGCATCGAAATTGTTAGTATTTTTTAAATAATATTCATAAAAAATAAACTAATTCAAAAAGCTTCCTGAGACCAGGGTTGCTTCCACTCACTTGCTATAAAACATATTTTTTGGAATTATGCAATCCTTAGATGATATAATGATATGTTGAACTTGTAAGTAACGAGAAGAGGGTGTAAAGTATGTGTTTGACTCACAAAATCTGTCAATTTCACTTTCAGAGCGTGACAATAAGCGATCTTATGATTCGTGAGCGTTCACTCAGAGTGAGCACTCACGAGTCGTAAAATTGCTGATTGTGACGCACTGAAAGCAATATTGACAGATTGTATGCGTCAAACACATACTTCACGTCCTCTTCTTGTAACTTGAAAGTACTAATTATCTCTATACCATCTCATGATTTCATAATAAAAAAAAAACATTTTTTATAGTAAGTGAGTGGAAGTAACCCTGCCTGAGACAATTTTTATTTCTATTTGAAAACAATAATATTTACCATAAATACAAAATACATTCTCTCGAATAAACCGTACCTATGCATTGTAAGTATATTTCGATTTTATACTATGGCACGCATAAACCATTTTTATACTAAGTTTGCATTCTCTCCCTTTATACCGACCTTTGCGTCGGTACGGAGAGTTGCGATTTAGCGTAACTTTTAAACTATTTAGATTTCAATATTTTTTGAGTGAACGTGGATTCATTAAAGCCCTACAGTAAAAGTATGGACGACTGACACCACAAAACTGAAAAAAGCTGTTCCAATCCAATGACGTTTATATAAGGTCTGGGCCAAAGGGCTTATTGGTGTTAGTGAAATGTGCAAATGTTTAGTGGTGTTCGTATTTTATTACAATGTTTATCTTTTTACACGAAACAGCTGTTGGCAGTGACGTATTTCTATGTGTTCTCAGTATGTTGGCAGTGACGTATTTCTGTCTGTTCGCAGATGTTCAGCAATGTTTACAACATTTTTGCTTCTAACACCAGCAAGCTGCCTGTTGGCCCAGACCTTATATAAATGTCATTGGTTCCAATCGAGCAAAGCGATGCATTTTGACGGTTCGATTGGAACAACTTTTGACAGACGTCCATACTTTTACTGTAGGGCTTTAGGATTCATGATCAGGATTACTCAAAATTGAGTTTTCTTCTTTAACTTAATTTTACCTAGCCCCATGGAAGCCACGTGATAAGTGAAAGGAACTCAATTTGTAGTTTTTCTTAAACGCTGTCCAGACTGGAGAGTTATAACATGTTATAACGGTTGTCAACTAATTGCAACACAAAAACCACCATCAAGATAGCGCTATAACATGTTATAACTCTGTAGTCTGAACGTACTATTACCGTGCATCGGTTGTGTAATATAACCTTGTACGATGTACATCGATTTTGCCAACAAAATTACATCCATTGATGTAATATTGTATCTGCTTTTTGCTATTACATCATTATTTCATACATCAGCTTGAATTACATTGATCGATATTACATTTTTTTTTGCTGTGTTTCATAATTACAATGACAATGAAAATTTTTTTAAAATTTAATGTATTTTTATAGGATTTTTACGGGTTACTTTTGCGTACTTTTTTCTTACCGTGTAGTTTTGTTTACAATCAGAGAAAACTGGAAACTGTAAAATAATTATTCTGTTTGCAGGGTTTGCAGTGATCAGGCCGCGTCAAGTTCTAGTATTTTATATAGTGAATAATTCGGGTTGATTCGTTGTTAAATAGGACTATTTCACCCAGTATAAACTAAAACTTGTTTCAGCATTTGAATTTGAAATACGTTCTAGTAATGGATCCAAATAAGAAGAAATCCATTTCCTCCAAGCTTTCGGTGCTGTGCAGAACTTGTTTGATGGCAGAAAACGAATTGGATCTGTATCAAATTGCTGATATATTCCTGGAAGAGGACGAGATTACCAGCCAGATCCAGTCTTTCGAGGAGGTTCTTTGTTTGTTTATCGACGATGAGGTAAAACCGGCTTCGTTAAAAAATTTAACACTGCTGTATTGCATATTCATTTAATTTCTCTTGCAGGTTGGCAATCAAAAAGATCGTCTTCCGAAAAGTATCTGTATGGCCTGTATCGAAAAAGCTCGATCTGCATTCCAATTTATTGAGATGTGTCGTCAAACGGATGCTCTATTGCAGGAGCTACTGAGGGGCCCGAAAAATGAACAGAAGCCAGAAGAGACGGTAGTGGCTGAACTGGATGTGAAAGTCCCTTTAGAAACCCATACAGTATTCACTGAAGAAATCGAGATGCAAAGTACGGATGCAGAAGAGCCTAGTGAAATTGAAACTAAGAAAGAAGTTCAGACCGGTGATGATAATGGAGAATCTACCGAGGAGGAATCGAAGCCGGCAGTAGCAAAGCAAACAAAACGGCATGTTTGTGATGTTTGTTATAAAACTTTTACGCAACCGCAGACCTTGAATCGTCACAAGAAAATTCACTCGAAGGATAGCGAACCCGGGAAGTCGTGCAACTACTGCAGTCGTATGTTCTTGCGTGCGGATGATTTACGTCGTCATATCCGAACGCATACCAACGAACGACCATATGTATGCGAGCTCTGTGCAAGGGCCTACAAGCAATCCTTCGAACTGAAAGAGCACAAGGCATCAGCACATCCTGAGTCTGGCGTTCGAAAAGTGCACACGTGTTCAATCTGTAATAAGCAGTTAACAACTCGGAATGGATTGTATGTACATATGAAGGCGCATCGAGGAGAGAAAAATCATGTGTGCGCTTTTTGCGACAAACGGTTCGTCACTTCCGGAGAATTATCATCCCACATGAAGCATGTTCATACAAATGAAATCAACGCTGAGCAACTGCCTTGTGGCGTGGAAGGGTGCACGAAAAAATTCGTTACAAAGGCTGCCCTGCGGCATCATCGCATTACTAAGCATGCAATCAGTGATGAAAGAGGAACAAAGTAAGGCCAATCATCGGTGCAGGCAAGGTAGGTACGCTGGTTGTTTCAATAAAGATGTCATGTGCGGGAAAACTGTGTGCCAGAAATAACGCTAACGTGATATTTCAATACTAGAGAAATTGCCTTGCAAATTTAGTTTAGCTAAATACTGTTACTACACACCTATCCCGGTCACGTAAACCAACATCGCCATCGGGAAGGGGAATCTTCGAGAAGTCATTGTTAACAAAAGCTGTTAGGCCCTTATTTTAGCTCTATATATTCACTACCTTTATTAGATACAGTAGAAAAGATCAACGTATGCAAAGCAAAGTATACCTCTTTAATTTCAAGTATTACCATCTCTGTGCGTTACTAAATGTTCATTCAAATTCTTCGAACGCTTGAACGTCCTATCACACAAGCTGCACGCGTAAGGTCTAACGTCCGAATGAATCTTCTCGTGTTCCTTCAAGTGATACCTGCAAAATTAAAGCACAAAAACCGTTTGTGAAATAATAATTTAGCTTGTTGTGCCCAAATTAATGTCTTACTTCATGGCAAACATTTTCCCGCATTCATCACACTTAAACTTTCGCTGTTCATGGTTCAAACTGTTGTGCTGTAGCAGGCCTGTAGATGTATAGTACGATTTGCTACAGATGTTGCATGTGAAATCTTTCGAATCCCGGTGCTTCACCACGTCGTGGTACCGCAGCGAGCTACGGTCGGTGAACGATTCCGGGCAGTGCTCGCATTGATACTTTTTTATTTTGAGATGGACTGAATTTATGTGCTTGCGCAGGGTGGTATCGTGGGCAAACTGTTTACTGCAATAGGAACAAGCGTGGCGCTTGACACCGGAATGCATTGGCAGGTGCTTGCTAAGTTGAGATACAAACTTTCCACATATCGGACAGTTTTTCCCCTTTCTTAGCGATGGTTTGATGATTTCCGACTCATCGTCATTATTATCTGACTCAGGATAATTAGTGTACGCTTGCTCATCCATACTTGTCTCATCTAGAGGTTGTTCACTTTCGTCTATAGAATTGAATTTTACATCGACATTTTCATGTTCAAAGTTTTGTATAAATTCTGCCTTTTCTGCACAACTGATTTCTTCGGTATGTACTTCTGTGCAGCTCTGTGAGTTCGTTGAATGCAGTTCCGTGATTTGCTGAAGAATTTCGTATGCTTCTTGGCAGCGTTGCTCAAGCTCTGCAAATTCGAGCACGCACTTGAGGCATTTTTGACAAATATTGTTCGGCAAGCCATCATTCTCATCGACCTGAAATTATAATAAACATTCATTATATAGATTCGCATACCATTAACTAAACTGCAAAACTACAAATTGATAAGCCACACGATACGCAACATTTAGGGCCGATTTCTTCATTTTCTACCCACATAGATAAACCTGGTATACAGCTTAAGCAAATGCGAAGAAATCGGCTCTTAGAGGTAGAAAGAATATTCATGTAACTTCTTAGGTACCTTGGAAACAATGAAATCGATTGCTTTTTCCAGGTGTTCATTAATCATACCATGGGACAGAATTTCCACACAGTTATTCTGTGATAAACAAAACCGACAAACGTTGCTGAAATTATCGGACAAATACTTGCTGTCGTACTCTATCATGCTTTAGCTTTCACTTTAATGTATTTTTTAAATATATTTAAAGCATTTAAAGGTTAATAAAACTGAAAGAAAGTCAAAAAGTGTTGGCTGTTTTATTTGCATGTAACCTATTTAAAAAAGTTTGTTTTGTTTTGGGTTTTGTATTGTTTATACACACTAAAATTATTCAACACGCTGAAAGAAAAGTTTACACGGTAAGAACAAAATACTCAAAATTAAGTTTAAATAACTCAACGTTGGGTTCTATACTTAATTTGAGATCCGCAATCGGAGTGAATCAGAAAAGTGGCGTTGGTTCAAATTTACTCATCTATTCACGGAGAATCGAAAGATCTCCAAATTTAGTCGCTTGTACTCATCTTGACGATTGTGCTACATTTCCCCGAATGTTGTTTCCCCGAATGCTCATATCCCCAGAGTTGATAATAGAAGAGTTACACGGATAGAAATCTCCTTATACCTTTTGGCAAATTTCTATTGCTGATTATTCATAAAATGTATAAGTCAACTAATAAGCAGATGCCTTGCAAAAAGTTAATAAAGATCATGTGTCCAATGAAATGTATAAGCGGTCACACCTTTTATGCATTCTTATACACTGACCGAATTTGACATATTCCTGTTATGTGGAAGTCTAATAAATTTGCGCTATAAGATAATCCATTGAAAATGATATGATTGAAAATGTGTCAGGTAAATTCTATATGAATATCTGATACATTTACAATGCTGATAATTTGGTAACTTTTATATGATCGTCATATGATAAATGAAAATCGATCAAATTATAATAATTAACTGAAATGAATTTGAAACCCATAAGCATAAGCTATACTTTTCACCACAATATAATATATGTGTCATAAATCAATCGAAGTAAAGTTTATGTGAAAATAACATGAAATTTACTTCTTCTTTTGACACATATATTTAATCGATTTCTAAAAATAAATTCGAAAAATAAACATCAGGCAGTGGGAGCTTTCACAGTTGTGCCTTTTTTTTATTGTAGCTGATTTGGGATTCGATCAAGATCTGTTGAGGTGTGATGCTTTCGGTGTCTGTGCTCGATTCCACTGGGCTACGGCTGACTTCAAGATTGAGCTCGTTCAAATAGCATGAAGTAAGAACAGCTCTCCCGACATGGAATGTAGTGCAACTTTATGCTCGTTTTGCTAGAGTGAAGACAAATAGCACTGACAAATTTATGTTCCGTTTCGGTGGTGTGGTTTGTTCAAATCTTTCTTAATGCACCTGTGTGCAATAAATCAACGTCTAAATTATATGATTTGATAGAACTGGCTCATGAAGTTCGAATACTACTTAGGGCTGGAATCTGAATTAGCCGTGTAGAAGGCTTACAATTAGAATCATAGCAAAGTAAATATTACAGTAGAATCATTTTTTTTCAATCTCAATACATTCTTTTCTGGAACCAATTATCATATGAAACAATAACAAACAAAGATTATTCAATACAGTATCATTGTTGTTAGTAGTATTTAGTTCAACTAATCATTTTAATGAGTGTACGTTAACATCGTTGAAAATTGTTTCAATAATTTATAAAGAACAATCATGTAAGATGTATTTTATTGGGAGCGATATTCATCCCAGAAAAACATGCAAAAACAAATGCTTGCTGTTGGATTTCTTAAAAGGCATTTCTATATGACTATTTAATGATTTGGATAGATCTGTTTACAATCTTTAAACGTCAAAAATCAAAGCAAGCTATTACAATGAGATATACATGTTTTCCTATACTGCAAAGTTAAATGACAGTCCAATAGTTTCTACATGTCTATTTACACGCGACATATCAACAAACGTCAAAAATCAGTAAAAGCAACTCCAATAAAATATACATGATTATCTTATAAGATATATATTTTAGTGAGCAATATTCATCATGAAAACAGGTATATTTTACTGAATTTTCTCATAGAGCAAACTTATATGATTTTCCATTAGTTTCCCACCCACCCATGACATATCAACAGTTTTTCACCATGAAATATATCAGACAATATTCATATACTTCTTACCTTCGCTAACCACGTTCGAAGCAAAGTATTATCAAATACTAAGTATGTGAAATTACGATAGAAATCATTCCATATTGCAGTCATAGTTTTTAAGTGATAATCCAATGGAATCTATCAATCATCACATAGAATGAATAAATCTGCTGACATTGCTATGTTATAAGATGGATCCAATAAACGGTACATGTCGATTTGTTTCAGTGTAGGACCTATGTGGTTTGTCTTAGGATTGGGCGATCTTGGATCGATCTTTGGAAGATCGATCTTTTTCATCCCGATTTCTGATTTTTCGGATCGATTCTTTGTCCACGAAGAAATCGAAAAAAATCGATCTCTTCTTTAGATCTTTTCGATCTTCAACAAAAAAAAAATAGGTGTTAAATTTTGTAATTGTATTGACATCGCTACCTCCCTCCTTACCGTCACGACAACATTTAATTGAATATAATAAAGGGAAGAATTTCTTGGGGTACCAACGTAAACAAGCGTATAGTCCATTGATGGTCCGAAAGTGAGGATAACAATAACAAAAAATTTCGCTAGAGCGAAAGTGAGGATAGCAAACTAAGCACTTGAAAATGGGATTTCGCAAGTGTGCAAGGTAAGATCCATTAAAATTAAAACCATAAGATCGATCTACAAAAGATCGATTCTTTGGTACCGATTTAATCAGTGGACCGATTCTAGAGCCAAATATAAGATCGATCTTTCTCTGAAAATCGCCCAATCCTAGTTTGTCTTATGGAATGTAAAGGCTGATGTTTTGGCAAAAATGTATAAGTGAAACACATGAATAAAATGATTGATTTTCGTTTCGTGTACACAGACTGAAACCAAAATCTACCTAAACTGTCAAACCGTCTACCTATCGAGCATACACTCAAAAAATTTATCACATATCTAATGGATGAAAACCATGTGAACTTCACATAGCTTTCATGTGATCACATAGCTAAAAATCCCACCACAAAATCACATGAATATTATGAGGCCGATGAAATTCATATGAAAAATCATATAAAATTAACGTGATCCCATAAATGTTATGTGAAATTCAGATGAATCCCATTAATTTTGTTTATGGATGAAAATCATTTGCGTTTCCAATGGAAGCTACATGAAAACTATTTTCGGTGTAGTAGACAAACTGACTCTGTTGCGTGGGAAGTATTGTTATCGAAACTAGAGTCGGTGTATAATGAGTCACGCCAAGAGTGAAGCCAAGTCTACCTATTGAGCTGTCAAACCGGCTACCTATCGTGCAGAGTAAACAAACATTACGATGCTATGAAAGGTCCACGAAAGGTATTGCAATAAAATATAAAATATAATCGAAGAAATGATCATAAACTAGCAGTGAGCAATAAATTGTCATGGAATACGTTTGGTAATGATCACTTATGAGAATTTCTACTATTTTTGGTTGAGATAATTTGACTAAATCACTGATATAATGATTTACTACAGCCGCTATTTTTTTTTCTCGCTAGAAGTCATTTGAAGTTGATGTAGAAGTCATCTGTTGCCAAGTGAAAAGAAAGGGAATCTTTCGAAAACCGTGATGCGAGTTCAACTGTTTTTCTCTTGGCGTGACTCATTATACACCGACTCTAATCGAAACTAGAGGAAACTGTCACAACGCAGGTGTAAACAAAAACAAATGTTGCCAACATTAAAAAAAATGTCCATTGATCGACATCAGTGTTGCAAGCTTCACTCTGCGTAACTCTTCTATTATCAACTCTGATATTCCCGAATACCATACAAACATATGCATACCCCATTTCCCCGAATGTATAAAAAAAATGATAAAAAGCTTTGACTGTACTACATTTCTTAGGTTGGTTTCGCGAGCATTAAGAAGACATCTGCATAAATATTGCAAAAATTAACCTTAAAAGAACAACTAATGAATAAAATAAGGAAAAAGTAAATCAATCGGGCGAGAGTTTTAGAGTTACCTCTATGGTTTTAGTGAGGCGGCGGCAGTACCAGAAGCGGAAGTGTACAAATTGGTAATATATAAAACAGTAAAAAAGGTTATCTTCCATTTAATTAATTTTGGTATCCATGACAGATACGTATTTCAACTACAATGTGCAGCACGCTATGTTTAACCCTCCCCTTAGCTAGTTTTTGCACCTTGCTGTTGGTGGGCGGGCTTAATTTCATGCTTTTTAGTGGAGTGTTGGAGACGGTAGGTTTATGGCCGGCGTTGCTGGCTCATGCCGCGATAGAATGGCGCCATGGACAGGCAATAGGGATTACTAAGCTTCCCCTCTCTGAGAAACCACTGCATGAGAAAACCAAATATCTAGTCCAGCAGTGATAGTATCACACTTGTTACTTCTTTGAGAGCCGCGTCGTAGTACGCTTACGTATAGGCACTGACGTTGGGTGTGAAACTGGCGGGTTTTGCCGCAAATCACTCTTGTTTTATATATTTTTGTGCAGATAGATTTATTTGGGTTTGCAAGGGAATTATACCACAGACAACCAGACATAACACTCGCAAGTTGTTCATCGAACAAGCATTTAACGGACAATTTAAACGTATCGTAGTTGGTAGTACCGCCACCTGTGGCGCGCATAGTCAATTCTCTTGCGTTTGACGTTTACACACTACCGCCATCTGTTCAGTGTAGTGCCCACCACAGTGTACTCAACAGATGGTGGTAATGTTTTAGCGACGATGTTTTACAGTGAGAAATATTCAATGTGTTATGTCTGTTTGTCTGTGATTATACTATTGAAATATTTCAGAAAGTGCCCAACGGTGCTCCTTCTATGTGTGTGACAAGTTTTCATTGTTGTTTTCATTGAAGTATTACTCAGGAAACAATGTTAAACACCATTTTGTACATGGTATTGTAACTAATCTTATATGTGCTTAATTATGATTTGGAATAAGTGTTTGAACTATGACTCGGGATTTCCACTGTGGTGTGCTTCTATTGTGACATACCCATATGTATTTTTGTGGTGCGACATAGTGGAAACGTGAGAGCGTAATTGAAACATTTACCCTATA